GTATTACATTTCCTCACTACTACCTTCCCAACTTCTCACCTACAGCAGTTGCTTACGCACGTGGGAGTTTATCTTTTTAATTATTGAATTTAAAAACAATAAGAAGTAGCCAAACTTTCCATTACTATAATAGAGTTCCACACTCCTAGTTTATATTGTAGATATTTTCTTTGAAAAAGATTAAGTAACTAAAAATATTTTACCATACAAATTAAAAATACAAAAATACGTATTTACTACACAAGTATACTACTTACGAAAGAAAATTGATCGGAAAAACGATAGGGCGTGGGAGTTGTATGTTGTAACCCTCAAAAAATATATACAAAATAATATCATCTTCTTGGCTTTATTTTGAGAAGTCTGCGGGGATATTAAAAGCTAAAAACGCCCTCCTGCAGCAACAACGTGATGAAATTTATCCTAATGAAATTCAGGCAAACTGTTAACACTTTAATTACCTTATATAACAACTCTAATTCTCGAGTTTGAAGTAATGTGGCCCAGGGGGAGTTGCTTGAAGTTTGAAAAAGTAGCTGAAAAAATATAAATATACAGGACGACCTTTTTTTTTTTAATTAAATTTTGCATGTATTAAAATTCTGATTTTTGGAATTTTTAAACCGATATTTTCGAATACTTGAATTTTTCACAAATTTAAAGAGTATTCTGTGATGATACAAACTTTGGTTTTTTAATTGAGAACCTATATTAAAAATTCCACAAATAGACTGAATATAACTTTAAATCCTTTTGAGGGCCACCGAGATATTCTACTTTTAAGATTAGGTAGGGGGAAAGTAGTGGAGCACTAATAAAATGCCGTGCGCCATGCCTCTAGACAAATAATACTCAACTACTCTCCTATACCTAAACTTAAAACTGAAATATCTCATCTACGAGTTGACGAAAATCAAAAATTTTAACACCAAGATTCTGATTTGAATTCAGTTACACATATTTTGAAAGGCCGTAATATTTATAATTTGAAAACAATACATTTTGTAAATTTCCCTGTTTTTCCTAAGTTTTTTCCCTCATTTATAATAAAAACTCCTTAGAAAATCAGAGTAATTACGCCCTTAAAGTACCACCCTAGTCAGTTTTTTTTAAAAAAAAAGTGTTGCACTTGAAAATAAGAGCAAAATATCTGGTAGAAAAATTGTTCACAAAAAAAAATAAACAATTGCTCCGCTTAGAATCTGAAAAATAACCTAAGTTTTTAGAGGAAATTATTAGGAACTAAATTATATACAATCACAAAAATACACTGAAATACTGACTTACTAAATTGTGTGCATATTAAATAGTATAATACAAACAATTAGTACTGTACTATACATTTATGTATAATAAAACAAGAATTTGATATTTAAAACCCTAAGAATGTGCATTAACGAGCTAAAAAAATTAAAAGTTAAGGTTTTAACTTAGCTTATTTATTTTTTTTTTAAATATCCTTAAAAGTACAATGATAACTTTAATAAGAACCCTTTGATTTTGTATTAACCAATAAAAACCTTTTTTTTTCATTCACTTGTAATAAATAACGAGTTTATTTAAAATTATACTACCAATTTAAATTTCTTTTGTGTTTAAAGTTATATATTATAAATTTACAATACTATGCCACGTATACACAACTAACTCGATATTATATTTGGAATTCTGACTTTTGCGAGTTTAAAATCAAGATAATTTCATATTCCTGGAATAAACTACTCGTGTACATTGATGACTGTCTAAATTTCAATAACTCCAAATTCATTGTATTTGACGACAACAATTTTACAAAAACCAAATCAAATCATAGCTCGACATAAATGTATAAATTACTAAAGTCCTGCATTAGCAAGTCAAACACGATGAGCTCATTTTATAATTTTAAATTTGAGAGGGGGTTGGTATTCATAAATCAGAGCAGTGTTCGATAGACCTGAATCCAACTAGGTTCAATTTATCAGAGGGAGGGAAAGTGATTAAAAAACCCAGTTTGAGTATATGGTATAATAATTATGATGAAAGGCAATTCGGTGAAAGACATTTTGGCGAACAGATAAATCGGCCACTAGATATATCGACGAACAAATTCATTTATTTTGAGTAAAAATAATACAAAAAAAGCTGTTCTAAGATAATGGGGACAGGTGCAGCCACTGTTATAGATGGGAAGTTGGGAAGGTAGAATACAAAAAGAAATTTAATATATATCTGTAAGCAACGGTTAACCATTACTAACAAAAAACGATTCTGAGTGGAGTTCAAATGATAGTGATGCTTTTTCAATTATATATATGTCATATAATTATAAAAAAAAAATTATATAGCTATTATATATTTTCTTTAATAATATTTGTATAACATTGATCCGATTTTCCTGTTTTACTTACGTTTTTCCTGGTTTTCCCCATTTTCCTATGTGTTTTCAATTTATAAGGAAAACAGCTGAGAAAATCAAAAAATTACATTCCAAAAGTACCACCCCAGACAGATTTCTTTCGAAAAAAGTACTATCATTGTTAATCGAACTAAATTGCTGGTAAAAAAAGTTGTATACAGAAAAAAATAAAAATAAACATATTTGTAAAACCAATACATTGCTTGATATACTCGGAATATAAAAAAATTACAAAACGTTATATTTAATATTAATAAAAATTAAAAATCAATGTTGTATGATAAACTTTTTAGATACTGCATTATGTTCTGATTTGAATAATTTCCCAACTTTTTTATATTTGTTGTGGTTGTTTTCCATTTTAATTTTAACTTTTCTTCTTTACCAACCTTAACGTGTGAAATTTTTTTTATCTAGCTGGTCCGACCTCTCTTTGTAAACATTTAAACATCTTTTAAATTTTCACATGATGATCACCGACTTGTTTTCGAAGGCTATTATGCCATCCTTCCGAACTATTGTTTGTACGAAGTATTCCTATGTATAGGTAAAACTTCAAATATACCTAACCTAACTATGTATGAATTAATTTTTATTGTTATTAAATATTAAGTTTTGTAATGTTAGATTCTAAGTGGAGCGAAGAAGCTTATAGTTTTACTAAAAAATTTATTTTCCTTTTTTTTCTTTATCTGTAGACAACTTTTTTACTAGAGGACTTGCTTTGATATTTTCGTATAGTACCTTTTCTGAAAGGAAATCGGGCAGTAAGGAGGTACCTTAAAAAGGTTGTTTTTTGTTTTTTTCATGAGTTTTCTCATCAAACACCAAAAAACAAAAAAAACGGGAAAATGTACGAAATATATTATTATAATTATTATGGTTTTTTTTAAATGGACAACGTTTCTACAGCAATTTTACTTCAACCTTTAATGATAGCAATTTTTCTAAAGGAAATTTCACTTGGGGGGGGGGTACTTAAAAGAAAGTCGTTTTTCAATTTTATCCGGCATTTTCTCAACAAATGTGAAAAATCGAAAAAAAAACCGAAAAAAGCATCACTATCAACTGAACTCCACTCAAAATCGTTGTTTCGTAAGCAATGTTTTATCGTTGCTTACAGGTATACATTAAATTACCTATAACAGCTGCATCCGTCGCTATTATCCTAGGATGTCTTTTTCTTATTATTATTATTTTTAGTTTTACTCTAAATAAATTAATTATTTCGACGAAATTTCACCGATGTATCCATTCGCCAGAAATGACTTGCCAAATTATCTTTCGCCATAATGACTGGATACTTAGACCGGACTATTTAATCACCTACCCACCCTCTTCCTGATGGATTGAATCTAGTCGGACTAGAATCCAAGTTTAGCTAAGGATTAAATACTAATTACATTTTCGAATTGACATTTTACTTGATTTATTATAGTTTATTAATACAAAAATTATCTTTGAACTCCATTGACTTTTCATTTCAATTGAGCAAAGACTGAATTAATATCATTCGTTAACTTGTGCCGTATCCCCACAAAAAAAAGAGCTAATATTGCTGCTAGGTGTACCTACCACTATTATAAATGGGAAGTTGAATAAGTAAGATATAAAATTGTTTAATTTATATGTTTGTGTCATGGTAAATCATTTCTAACGAAGACAATTTTGAGCGAAGTTCAGGTACATACGTGTTGAAATTAAAAATCGTCTTAAAAACTCATTATTTGTATTCTGTAGTGCAGGTGACTATGACTATTTTTAACTGAATTATTGCAAAAAACAAAATGGAAAACAATGAAACTATTATTTCTGTAAATTGTCTAGTTTTTCCAAATGCTAAGAAAACAACAAAAAGGAAAATCAAAAAATGACATTCTCAATGTAATAACTAGATCCAAAATTCTAAAAAGAGCTCTCTTGTCATGATTGGAACAAGATTTCCGGAAGACAATTGTTAATATACTTTATAGTTAAACCAATATTTTTATCGTTTCTCTCAGAACTTAAAACATTATCAGATTAGTTTCAGTCGAATTATAGTGACCGTGTTTGTCCTTCTATTTTTAACGCCACTTATAAAATATGATAATATTCGGTAGGTCATAAAATAGAATTGTATTATTTTTACAGATCCGTTTAATTAATCGACATCAACCAATCGTCCAAAAATATCGGCGTAAAACTTGGGTAAGTTTCTAAAAGAATTATATTATATCATTCAGTTTCTAAAAAACCCACTTAATAATATAATACTATTAACACTGCGTTCTGGTGGAAACAAACATAGCGGTTTCATCATTATTCCGACATCGCAACAAAACTCTTCGTTTTTACTTCTTTTCTCTTCGGTTTACTTTTTAACAAGATCGCTTTTTTCGGGCAATATAAATGTATAATTATGTTCTCTTCTATTATGATAATATATTATTCAAAGAAAAACAAATGAACGAAAAAATTATACTCTCGATCGTACACACGTCATTTGTAGTCGCGGTTCGACTCACCGTGTACGGCCGGGGACTGTACATGATGTGCGCCGGCTGCCGCGGAAACGTGCACCCGCTTAGTATGCCTCGGAGCGAACCGGCACGACACCGTAATGGAGAGATTAGCGTATTGTCACGTGCCACCCGGGACACCGGCGGCCATGCGGTCTCGCGTTATTTTATGTTGGGCAGTGGGCCAGAGCCGGCAGTATATAACGTCGAGACGAGAAGGCGTGGCCAATCATTCGTTTAGGATGTATCGCATTACAGTAGTGTCAGTGTCCTTAGTCCTGTTAGCGGTAGCAGCAGCGACGGCGGCAACAGCCGCCGCGGTCGCCCAGCAAGCGACCGGTGACAACGGTGGCAGCAACCTCTTGGACAGGGTGCTGGATAAGTGTGCACTGGGACCCGGAGCGGTTAGTTGTTTGAAAAGCAACGTGCTCGATTATCTGCAAGACGGCGTCAGGAAAGGCCGAAGCACAACCGGCGCTCCCGAAGACATGGACGCGGAGCTCATTCGGGCCGCCGGCGAGTACGTTGGCCGGCAGATCGGTTATTATGACGGATTGGAGGAGTCGAGAGCCGAGGACGGCCAACAGCAGCAGCAGCAGACGACCACGACCACGACGGCTAGAGGTTTGGACATTTTAACTATTTACGAATTTCTAAAGGTGGTGCGATCCGTGTTAAGTCTCGGCCAGGCTCTGGCCAAGCTCAAAAGATCCGAACTCACCATTGCGTTTATACCATTTGTAGCTGACATGGAGATGGGCATGATGCAAGACAAGATGCTCATGCCACTTATGATGCTCATGAAGATGAAAATGAAGATGCTCATGCCGATCATGATGGCTATGGTCAGCATGAAAGCCACCAAGGCGCTGATCCTCAGCAAAGTCGCCGTGCTCCTGGTTCTCGGGTTCCTGGTCAAGGAGTTCCTGAAGAAGTCCGGTGGTATTCCCGGACTACCGTTGCACTTGCCCGGTATGATGCCCGCCGCTCCGGAACCCTCGTCCACAGTCGGACCTCCGATGTATGGTCCGCCACAGTCGTCCGGTTACGAGTCTTCGGCCTCATGGGAACCCACCGGATACTCGTCCAGCGCCGGACACACATCCGATTCCGCACACTCGATGGCCTACAGCAGTTACCTGCCATCATCGTCCTCATCGTCATCGGCATCATCATCGGCCTCCAAATATTCGTAGGCGATTATCGCGTTCGTCTTAATTTATTTATTATTTTATACTATCTGGCAGGTATATATATGTATATATATATATATATATATATATATTATTACAGCTCAATTAATTTATTTCATAATATTGTTAAAAAGAAATTCAAAAACAACAAATATATTTATTATATTTTCGTCTTAAATGTCGTGAATTTCTATAAAATATATTATTATCAACCTGTTTTTTGGAGGAAAAGGGGGGTAGAGGTTGAATTATCAGAATGAAAAATTTAGGAAAATATTACACGACAATCTGAAAAAAAAAATGTACTTTCAAAATCTATAACAGTAAAAAAATACACAATATCTTTTACATTATATGGAAAACTATGGGCAAAATAAAAATGACATAAAAATATTATAATTTTCCACTATTATTGAAAACAAAACATATTATAATGTCATTGCACCAAATCCCGACTTTAATTATCAAACTATCAAAAAAAAAAAAAATAGTATTAGTATGTTCACTAAATTACAGCGGGTCGATAGCCGAGAATCAATAAATGGTCTCAGGTTAGTACAAAGTTTTTTTTTTTTTTTTTATATCGTGAAAACAAATATGAACTTTGTGTAAAGTCTACATACAAATAAACTATAAGTTATTATAATAGTGCACAAAGACAAATAAGCAAACAAATTTTAAAAAAGGAGTGCAAGTTTACATTATTCATTATACGTTATATAATACTATATATTATACACTTTTTACAATTTTTAATTAAATTTCTTATATTTAAAATACTTATGTTAGATTTGAAGTGTAACGAGGAATCTACTGGTTTTTTTCTGTCTGTAAACGACTTTTCGAAAATAAATTTTGCTTCGATGTGTACAATGCAATATCTTGTCTGAAAGGAAATTTGGTCTAGTTGGTGCATTTAACAAGTCATTTTTTTAATTTTCCAAAAGGTTTTTAAAATAGTTTGGAAAAAATTGGGAGAAAATTATTGGTAAAACCGCAAATTATAACGACGGGCCGCCACGACATTACTGTTTCATTGTTTTTAATTTTTACGACTTTTTTTTCAACAAGACATATTGCTCCAAACGAAAAATTACAAGATATTGATTTTATTCCTTTCAATATATAACCACTGAAAGATACAGTTGTTTTTTCATATCTACAATATTTATCATGATAATTGGAAAAAACCAAAAAAGACGAAAAATACGATTTTTTTAGCACGGCAATTTCATTATATTTTAAAGCTTAATGGCTTATATTTTCTACAAAAAATATATGCTCCAATAGAGAAATAACAAGAGACCTTTTTTAATTAAAAAGATATCAATCAAAATGTATTTTACAATAATTTATATAAATATATAATAGGTATTTATAATTGTCATACAGGATATACGGTAGATACGGCCATATACCCGCGTATCACCGATTTTTCATAAGTTTTACGCCATTGATAAAAATAGTGTATTGGGTAAACGTCGTATACCCCCGAATACCCCCCAATAAACCATTGACAGTAGCCATATCCGTCGACAGTATAAGTGTTTTTTTTAAATCTTACTAGACTTACTACTGAGTAGGTATTATTAACAAAGAAGCTATAATAGTTTATACAAAGATGTATTTTATTTTTCGAAAAGCACTATTTCAATTGGCTTAGTTTTTTCATGTACTGAACTTTAAAAGATATTGATTTTTTACTTGACATTTTCGGTAAAAATTATTTAAGCTCTTTCGAAAAATGAAAAAAAAAGCTGACAACATGCCTATGTCAATGTAGCGTTTTTAATTTTAATTTTTTTTTGCATTCGTAAAATTACTCATAATTCTATCATTTGAACCAGTTAAATCTATCGATATGGTGAATATTTAACTCGCGATTTCAGTTCTGAACTTCAATTAACCATTGTTAAAATAATAAAAAACATTTCTTACAAGTAACGATAGATTTTTTTTTTATTGTTATTATTGTTTTAATCATGAGTCAGAAAAGTCGGTTTGTCTTTTTTTTTTTTACAAAGTATTTGTTCATCTACCAATCGTTTCTTCAAAAGGGTTTAAAGCGAGGTAATAAATTATAACTAATTGTAATTGTAATTAATAATTAAATAACACTTTAAACCTATTTTTGTTTTAAATATAAATATAATATTGAATATGTTTAAAATCAAAACAATAAAGACAATACCATAATAATAACAATTGTAATATACTAAAAAGTTGCAACACAGTTTTAAAATAAATTATTACCCTAGAACATTCGTTTATATGATGCATCGTAACAAATACTTATAGAGGAATAAATATTATTATAATATAATTAGTATTTGTTTTAAAATAATTTGAATTATTAAAATACCACAAAAAAATAGCTGATATTGCTGATAAGTATGCTACTGTTTTATACGTAGATGGAAAGTTAAAAAATTAGGATAAATTAAAACAGTACTCCTGTAAACTGTAACTAAACTAAACTCTACAAACCTAACCTAACCATGGATAACGATAAGCGATTCAGAGCGAAGAATAATTAACTATGTTTTAAAATACCTATCATCACTTTTACGATTTTCGTCAAAATTTGAATTTAAAACTCTGGATTTTTTTTTTTTAAAGTACTTATAAGTACTTACTGCAACCTATAATGACATATTATAGTAAAACCAATACTCGATCTGCACATGATTAAATAACGTTACATTTTATAAATATGGGCAAGTGGTCACATATATTCGATATGTATACATAATTATTTTATTTAATAAACAAACGTAGTATGTATGAGAAAAATAAATCCATTCATAAAACGTGATGAAATGCGTAATGCGTAGATAATTATTGTTATCACAACCAAAATATTATACTTACAATTACTTAAAAACAATAATAATTTACTCAATGACTAATCACGTGACGATAAGTATAATATGTAAGCAAAGCACAAAATTTCCAAAATATCTTACGATAATGTTATATTATAGGAAGAAAAAATACACCGTATGCAACATTAAATTATAAATAATATTATTTTTTAAAACCCGAATTATCAAAGAATACTTACGTAATATCATTCGAGCTTAGACAATAATTAAAAAGTATACGTAAGTATTATAAATTAAAATAATCATTGGAAAGATCATTTTTTATACTTCGATAATAGGCATAGTGTCCTCGGATGTTATAATTTAACCTTAAAACATTAATTAAACTTATTTTTATGGAATATTATAATAAACTGTCAGGAAATACGAGAAGCACGTTTATAATAATTGTTCTCGTTTTGATCTAACAATTTCCGTTCAAATTCATTGTCTTTTCGATGTCGTTATCCGCAGTGAATTCTGTTGATCCTACTGTCGTAGTTTCTGTCACACGGTCCTCGTCCGTTTCCGTCATCACGACACCGGAACCATCATCCTCGTCGTTTCGCAAGTCTTCGGTCAGAACTTCAAAATCGTCACCGAAGCCGTTGACTTTGTACTCCGTCACTTCCACCACACGTTCAATCATGTCGGGCTCCGTAGTCACTGCCTCGTCGTTGGAATGAATATCCGGGCCTAGGTTCACCGTCGTCCCGTCGACATCTTCCGTGACGATTCTTTCCGGCACACCGATTATGTTTGCACCAATAACCACGTGCTCATCAATACCATCGATAACACAGTTGGACTCTGAGACCACTCGATCACCGCCACTGTTCAACGCCAGCACCTCAACACCACCTTCGGCAATTGGATCGTCGTGCCCGGCCGTCTGAGATTTGGACCGTTTTGTCTTACTGGATTTCTTTTTTTCCTCTACCGGTTTGGACTCCGTATTTACCACGACCGGCACCACCCCGTTCGTCTGATTTATGTCCTCTTTCAGTATCTTATTGATCTCAGAAATGGGTTTAAGCAGAGCGATCAGTACATCATCATCTCTTCTCTGAAATCATCGACAATTATTTCGAGTGTGTTATTTATTTTTAAATTTTTAACCCAACCTAACCTAACCTAACATTCGGAATAAGGAATGTATTGATTTTAAAATTATGTTTATTTTTTTTTTTTGTGAACAACTTTTCTATACTAGACATTTTGCTCCCGTAAGCACAACTAGGGGGAGATTGTAGGGCTAAACCCCCAAAACTTTTAATAGCCAAAAATAAATTATTCAATTGTTTCCTAAAATATTAATAAAGCTTTTAAAATTCAACCGTAATCCTTATCTTTTTTGGAAAAAAATTTAATTATTTAATTTTTATCCAAAGTGTATAATTATTTTATATTACCTATGATAAATATTTTAAATTCTAAATATCATTAGCTGTATACCTGTATTTGTTTGAAACGATTTATGTTGGTACTAGTTTACGTTTACAAGTAAAAGGTTTCAATATTACCAAGATAGGCCTAACATCATATTGATAAATAAGAACCCGATCAACTGATCGACATAGGTAATATACGTTTTCTATGTGCTGCTGTATGTTTTCTATAACAATAACGTGTTTTTAAATTCTGCTAACCACGTATCTTTAAACTCCTTATCTGTCGCAGTAGATCTCGTTGAAACAATAGACAATCATAAAAATTATATAAACACATATTTACGTTCCACGATGAATCAAGATCGGTTTATTAATTTATCAATACATCATATTGAAAAAGATATTGGGATTAAAATTAATGAAATATTAAGAATATTCATTGAAAAAAATAAAAAATTAAATTTGAGTAAATAGATATTGGTTTTTTTTTTTTATATGTTTTATATTTTTAAGTGAATACATATTGGTGTGGGGGCTTTGCCCCCACAGGTTACTTTTTATGTAACATCAGAAGTAGCACTTTTGTTGAAAGGAAATTTGACTAGAGTGGTACCTTATGGAAGTCATTTTTGATTTTCTCAGAGGTGTTCATAATAAATGGGAAAAATCAAAAAACATAGGAAAAATGGGAAAATGTACGAAATATATTATTTTTAAATCGTAAATATTACAACCTTTCAAAACACGTGTAACCGAACTCTGCTCAGAATCATTTTTCATTAGCAACGGTCAATTATTGCGTGCGTACAAATATACAATAAATTTCCCTCTCATTTTCTCATAACAGTGGCTCACCTATCGTGCTAAATATGTCCGTATTTTTTCCCCTCATTTTTGTCCAATTTTCCCCAAAAGTAGAGATATTATCGTATTGCGTTGTATCTATTAAATATATATATATATACACATTTTCTCGCTACTTTTGGACACTTTTAACGACTTTCTTCTTGATTATTTGAGCGCGAACTTGAGAAAACCAGTATTTTTATAAGTGAACTCAAATGATGTAATTTAAGTTAAGTTTCAATATGAACTTCGCCATATTGTTGCAAGGGGAGGTTTTTAACTTTTACACCATTAAGGACCAAACGACGCCAAAGAAAAGCAATTTTCTATATGCATAATGTAAGTATCAAGTATACGTCTTTTGGAGGTTTCAAATTGTAACCTCCCCTTCAACAATTCGTATGCTCAAATTTCATATTTTCACAGAAAATACCTGATTTAGATCAATTATTTTGGACAAAAGTGAAATATTTTAATGGCGATAAGTAAACGGGGTGGAAAATTCGCCTCTAATGACGGAACAAATTTCTTTCTATGTACAAAGTGCGCATCATATAGGAACTATTTTGTTGTTGATAAAATATACGTCGTCATATTATAATATTATTATAACGTAATTATCGCGTGATACTACAAGTGAAATTATTAACTGTAATCATAGACTTAAAATGGTATTTTTCTAGTAATAATATTTTATTAGCCGTGCGAGATTACGAAATAACCGTGAATAAACACAATGGGAGACGTGCGGTGACGGTAACGGTGAGTCATACGAAAAGTAGAAGAAAAAAAACAGAATTGGCATTTACCCGCGAATCATTTGTTTAGCAATTTCTCGGTTAACGGAAATAAAAATAAAAATAAAAAATATGTATTACAATATAATATATATTTATCATTAGCTATGCGGTTTTTTTCGTTTTTAATTCGGGCCTAAAGCCAAATGTTGCTACGCATTCCTGGCACGCGCCCGATTGATGAACTTTGTCAAAAAAAAGAAAAGGGTTTTTTCACCTACCTACGTACACAGTACATAACGACAGAAGGGACGGATGAAAAAAATAAAAAAATAAAATAATAATAAGAATAAATATCGTATGTGCGTAGCTTCGGCAAACCTTATAATAATTTTACAAAAAAAAAAACGTTGCCAAAACATGTCCGGACGCTCGTTCCGGACATTTAGGTGAGTATCATATCACTGCGAACACTCCGAACAATAAAAAAATGGATGTGTGTCTAGATAAAAAAAAAAAACCCCCGAAAATGTAACTTATGTAGGTCGGAATCGTGAAGTCATTTATCGCGTCTACGATATTTTGGTATGCGTATAATAAATTCGTTAACGATTACACCGTGGTGAGGACTGACATTGGGTCTACAAGTTAGGCGTATAGGTATATACGGAATCCGTCTTTATTTTGTTGTACGTTGAGGAATTCCGGCGATGGCGGTTCGCCAAACTGAGAGAGACTCTCCGCGGAGCTTAATCGGCGGCGACCATCGATCTATTTCTGTATTCAAGGTGGACACGGCCGTTTTGGTGAATTTACGATCCATTCGCTTTTCATTCACAAATTTAATAATAATACAATTATATATATATATACGTATAGTGCTGCACCACAACACGCGAGTACCGCGTGGTCCAAACCCAATAATGTTCCGAGAGAGTTATAGGTAGTGTCGTAAATGTAAATCTATAAAACTCGTCTATAATAGAACTAAAGGTCCTAGTCAGTAGCTGCTTGGTTACTCATTAATTCTTCGGCTGAACAAATAATAGAGTCCCTGCATAGATAGATAAAATTATGGAGATACGTGGCCAAACCCACTAAAAGTCTTCCTAGTTAAAAAACAAAAAATGTTTACGCACTAAGGAGAGCTAAATTAGACAAATACACATTATATTAGCCCCCTGTCGGCCAAAACTTAATACCTAAATTGCGCCAATGGGTCCTTCTTTAATCGACATCATTGAAATATTAAGTATTTATTTATAGTATTTATTTATTTTACACTTTTAAAGCTGGTTAATTATATTAGTTAAATAAGATTTTATTTTAAGTATTGTGGAAATTATTTATACTCTATGTTTTAATAAAATGTACCTATATAATTTTATAGTTTTGAACTATTTAAATTTTTTTTTATTATTTATTCAGAGTTTTAATAATTTATGTTTTTTTTTTTTAAATATTGAAAATAAAGGCATAATATTCAAGGGGGCCTCATTAAAGAAAGGCCCAGTCGACGATCTTCGTCTTGCTAACTTGGCCAGGCCGCCACTGCTTCTAATCAATAAAAAACGACTACGGGCCACGTATTTCTGTACTTATTACCACTTAAGCTGAATTGGGATAGGTTCTGTGATTATTCGTTCCGCGAATTGTGCGGGCATCATGCAATAAACTCACTTGGAACAGTATTTCACGATCAAAGTACACAAAACCCCGGCGTTTGGCCGCAATTAACAGACCTACCACCTTGTCCGATATCTTCGTGTAAATCTGAAATGAACAAATATAATATATTTTTACAAATTCACTCTTAACTTAACTTATTTTATTTTTAGATTCAAAGTCAAGCGAGGAATGTCTTGATTTTACAATTACGTTTATTTTTTTTTCTTTGAACAACTCTTCTATCAACAATTTTAGTACGATTTTCAAGTATAGTCCTTTTTTAAAAGGAAATCTGACTAAGGTGGTACTTTAAGCAGGTTATTTTATGATTTTCCAATGAGTTTTTATAATAAATGAGGAACAAAAAAAATTTAGGAAAACCCGGAAAATTTACGAAATGTATTATTTTCAATTCGTAAATATTACGCCCTTTCAAAACACCTAACTAAACCTAACCAAACCTTACCTAACCTAACCTAATCTAACTTAACCCTATCAACTGAACTCCACTCAGAATCGTTTTTTCGTTAGCAATGGTTGATCGTAGCTTACAGATATACATTCAATTTTCCCTCTACTTTCCCAAATTTTGACCTACAACACCCGTCGCCCGCTTATCATGCAAATTATATCCGTTTGTTTTTGGATGAACTTGATGAATAACGATTTAATTCTGAATTATAATATACATACCAAGTTAAGTAAGTTTTAATTTATGTTTATTTTATATTTCGACGTATAAAATTTATAATATATATACTGTCGTGAAATTAATAATAATAATTTTTTTTCGAAAACTCGTTGTTTTGTCCTAATTTTTTTTATTTTGGAGGGAGGGGGTGGGTGTACTAAAAATATGCTCCACTTATAACCTCCTGTATTTAATATCTTATTGATCATATTTATTTTCAGCAAAACACAAACTCTATATTTTATTAAATCATTTTTACGGTAAAATTGTAAAAACACAAATATTTCAAAACAAAACTTTAATTGACTTAATACGTTTATTGGATGTTCAAATTAACTTTACTTAACTAAGTTACTAAGTTATTATTTTATTTGTTAACTTGCTCAACCTAGTATTTTTGTATTACGTCCGTTTTGATTTTCTCCCAATAAAATTTAAAATCACCCCGTGCAACTGAACAGATGAACTTCATCAATGGATGACCTAGAATGTGTTTCTTTGCAATTCTAAAAAAAAAATCAAACTCACTTGAAAAAGTTCACCAAAACTGACGATGATCGTACCGTCATCCTCGATATCGTCGTCGTCATCGTCGTCATTGGGTATACGCTTTTGCGCTTTGTAAGTGCCCACGTCGTGGATAACGGTGCACAGTTCCAAAATTTCCCGGCAAATGTGTGTCTTGGCTTTTCGCCCCCTCAAATCCGTTTTACTTCCCGCTACGGGCCTAGGTATATTTTAAGACCATTTTTTTTTTTTTTCATAAATTTCTACACTATTTATTATACTATTATAATCTAGTTACTCACTTCCCGTACTCTTCTTGGGAAAACCGAGGTGACGGTGACCGCGACTGTTTGAACTGATCGGAAAACGGGTTCAGTGTCTGTGATTTCGAATGGCTGTCAGCCTGTTGATTAAATTTGGAAACGATGTCCTGCATGAAAGACATGACCAGAAAATGTACACAAAAAAAAATCGTTTAGAAACAAAAAAAATCCGTTTATTCTTATGTTATTATTGTGATTATTGTAACTTATATGGTGCGTGTATACGGACACGAACACTGTATGTGAGCGTTCAACTGACGGAATTGAAGTATTTAAATAGAAACGAGCTGCCAAGAAATTCCGCGCAAAATCGTCATCGCCGGCGCCGTCGATGCAAGAACCCACGTGGTTTATGATATTTCTATATTTTTTCGCAAACGTTCGGAAACTTTACGAAACTTACTCGTCCGATAGTCGGTCCGGCACCAACGTAATGTAATAAAAACATCGTCAAATTGGTTCTTTCTCTCTTTTTCTGTATTTCTCTTATTTCCCTTATCATTTTGATGGCATTGCGATGATAATAATATAAACAATATGACAATATACATATAAAGGTATTTTTTTTTTTTTGTATTTCTCCGTTCCAAACGCGTCCGTAAAGAGACGTATAATCAAATAGTGCCAAAAAACACGATTTCCTAATTTTGTCAAGGGCTTTCTGACACGTTTTTATACGATAATAATTTATAATGATAATACTTTCATATCTTCATATATCTCAAGACGAGTTAAGATTATTTTTAAATTGTAAATCAATTATATACGAGATTTTCTTTAACAAAACTCGTGCGTAATCATAATTCGACTGCGATACTATAGATGGTAGGTTTATTTTATTATAATACACAGAAAACGTCCCAGTATTAAAATTAAAATTCTTTTTAGTATAGTTATATTTGTAGCCAAACGATGACACGATGGGGTTTTTGGCAAAAACATATAAGACACACACTAATACATGCATTTTAGTTCATCGGGTAATTGAACATTTTGGCACAAACACGTTCAACCATTTTCAGCTGCGAAAATCCGGTTTGTCTTGAAAATATATAGTGTTATACACTTAGTAAAATACAAATAAAAAGATGAATATACTTATGGTGCCTGCAGTTTGTTATTTTTCGAAAATCATGATGTCATTATTTTCAGGGATACCTAATCTGAAATTATTACAATTTTTTCTTTATATGATTTTCTCTCACTAACACGTACCCCGGAATGAATAATAATTTAATTTATTTTTATTTCTAGTAAGTGTATAAAATTGTACTTTTTTCCAATTTAATAATAACTCAGTAAAAAAATTAATGTTTAAAAATATTTCGTCTATCCTTTGCGGTGCAATCCGAACTGCAGTACCTATTTGATTTATTAAAATATTATTTTGTATGTACCATGTGATATGTGATACCTGATAAAAACATGTTTTTTGCAGTCGTACGTACCTACTCAAAATAAAGTATACAATAAGTATTTTACTTTTTTTTTTTCAAAAATCGTTATTATACCTATATTCGCGTTTGTCATAAATCTATTAAAAGAATATTGTGTTTACTTCGTATGTTCAATATATTTTTGTAAATAAACAACGTTCTAAATTTAGATAGGAAAAGTATATTTATAACAACGTGTATCAAAGAGTTTGATAATATTAAAAGGATATGCCATATATGCATGTGCTAACTCCGACTTATTCCTGTTGAAAACAAATTTGCCATTTCGCCCGTTTATTAACACTGTAAGTACCTACTGTTAATTTTAATACTACCTGTAAAGTGAATTTACCTATTATTGAACCTAAAGGTAAGAATATTTTTCAATGTTTTAACTTTTAAGCGAGATACGTGAATATAAAATATAGAATGAATGAATACTCGGATCTGCATTTATACAACTATCTCGCTATCTTAGTCTAATTAATAGGTGACGTAGCAAAATTACATTATTTAAGAGGATGCTTCACCGACATCTATTATCTTTGTCTTACAAACGCGAGACACAGAAAATTTGCGTTAAATTGTGCCGTTAGTTTTAATATGAAAATAAATTGACATATTACCAAACTTAAAGATAGGAGCACTATATGTGCCCTAACGTTGATGTTTTTTCTATATTTTAATGTTTCAGCGAGACATAAGTAAGTATATTTAATATCAGAGTTTAAAAATTATTATATTTTGCTTAAAAATTAAAATATCATTAAAAACATCAATTGTGGTGTTTAGGTTGAAATCAAAGTTCGAACGAAATTTAAAGAGGAGAATATTCTTGATGGAAAACATGTTGCTTTTTTTAACAAAAATTTTTCAAACAAAATTGTTACGCCACACTTTAAAAAAAAATTTACTAAGACAAACCGATTTGAATTTCCCCTCAATAATTAAACCAGTATGGTTTTCAGAAATTAATTCGATTAAATTGATTTAAATATATGGCTAGCTTGTTTAATTTTTTTTCGACCGTCGTGATGAGGTGGTTCAAAGTTACCGATCTTGATTTTCCCCCTTCATAAACACGCGTTTTCTCTTTCATTTATCAGTATCATTACTATTTATGTTTTAAATTTTAACGGGTACAATAGAACATCTGACAAGTTATATTCAAATCGGTTTTAATACCTTTAATTTTTAGCTAAACCTACGTAAATTATACATAAACCTCCATCGTTGGTACTGTTGGTAGTGATACCAAAACAGTTATCCAAATCGGTTTGCGTTGACAAATTTTTTGATGTTCTATAAATAACGTGATCTTGCTGTCATCCGTTAGTTAGACTTAAAAGTAAATGCGAGTGTAATCACCTTTTACTAGTTTCTTGCTGCACTAGTACTATTTAAAAAATTTCAAATAATTATTAACATGAACTGAAATTCATGCCGGCAAACCATCAAAATTAAAATTAATCTGTAAATTATCATTTATCAGTTATTTTCAAAAAAAAAAAAAGTTAGAAATATGAAATAATTGAAAATTGTCACACATTGCGTCATGCGGTGATCACCTTAAGAAATAACTATTATAATAATATTTAATTTTCAAAAAAAAAATATTTTGTTGAATAATACCTAAAAAAAAAATTATTATTAACAATTATTGATGACATCGTTTTGTATTTTTATACGTAAGACAAAAAGATAAAAACAAAATGTGAACTTAAAAATCCGTTTTGGCAATAATACACTAGAAATCTAAACAAGACAATAAGAGGTTTAAAAATAATTACTTTTTATTATTATTATTATTTTTAAAAGTAACTTTGTTAGAACATTTTAAAAAATGATTTTAAGTAATAATAATTTAAATACCTGTAATTTGTTCTTTAATATTAACACTGTAATAGTTAAACATTTTTATGTATATTAGAGTTCAGTTTTTAAAACATGTTGTTGAAAATCTGACATTAACGGTAGTGAACTCCAAAAATTATATTCGTCCTCAAACGGTTTTTCGGCCAGAACGGGTGTGGGTGATTTTATCAATAAATATTTCATGTCTTTTTTATCGTATACCGGCCAAATATTTCCGGTACTCGTCCCATCTATAGTCACCTCACTAAAACAAAAAATTTGAAAAAAAAAGAAAAATAATATGGTCAATATTAATAAATATTATGAGCTAAATATGGAATAATTAATGTCGAAACTTAAACAGTTAAATAACCTGTTCAAATATTTCAATCATTTTTATTTTCAATAAATGTATTCAGAATGATTCACTAATCGTGCTCACCCCATTTTTTTGGTTAAATTTTGCATACATTCAAATTCTAATTTTTAGAATTTTTTAAGTGTAGTTAAAAGGAATACTTAGATTTTTACAACATTTAAGGAGTATATTTTTAATATAGGTTCTTATTTGAAAAACCAAAGTTGGTATTATCGCAGGATACTCCTTAAATGTTGTAAAAATCTAAGTATTCCTTTTAACTACACTTAAAAAATTCTAAAAATTAGAATTTGAATGTATGCAAAATTTAACCAAAAAAATAGGGTGAACACGATTAGTAAAGACCATGAAGACTAGAATAAGGAGGCCAAACTAGTACGGCTGCCCGCATGAAAAAACGTCCCGAAATGAGTCGCCCGATTAAACGGCCACAGTTAAGCTGCCCTGTGTACGCTAAGATTACTACTTTAACCTACGAAGTATAGCTATTATTCAGGGTTTTTGTGTTTTTTTTTTTTTTTTGAAAATATATGCATTATTTCGAATCATGACGCATCATAAATTGTACAGCTCGTAAAATTACGCATCCATACATGTGCAAATGTGTATATTTCAATATAATATTTTTTTTATGTTAGAATAATCTAGTCTTCATGAATCATGGCTGTTACTATATTTAGCACAATATCTATGTTAAACTTATGATAATTAAGTCAAATATTATTTAATTCAGTATCTATTATAAATATATGTATTTTGTGTATAATATATGGTATTTAAGTACCTACAATAGGTTATACATGATTTTTTTTTTAAAATCTGTAAAGTATGTACTATTAATTACTATTATTACATTATTACAGCATGGTGTATTGAAATTCAATATAGGTACGCGTACTGTATACATACTGTTGTTGTTATTGTTGCTGTTGCGTGTAACAACCGTATTTTATTATTTTTAAAGTTAAAATAATTGAATTATCTCTTTGCTATCTTAAACACAATTAGCCGCGCCATACATAGCTGTTGAACAGCAGCGTTTTTTGAATTATCAAAACAGCCATAAATAGATGGACAGCGCCAAACATCGCGTTTGCCCCGCAATCAACCGCGAACCAATGCGACATGCAGCGTTTCGGTCACCGAATCGCATACTTCCCAAATCGCATATTCTTATCGATCACGTTGATCTACTCCTACAGTTTTATGCAGTCATTATGACTTTCAATTTTATAAAACAACTTTTTGTCATCTGCAAAACAAAGTAGCTTACAGTGTAGTAAAACATCTGAAACACTGTTTGTGGAGACAAATGGGGTTGCTTTGAGGTACGCGAAAATTGGTTAATATTGTTTAAACATTTCTGTAGGACAGTAAAACATGATAGAGCCTATACTGCAGACGAAATATTGCCGGCAAAGCGCATACGACAAGTTGGCCCGATTCAGTTGAGAATGATATTAGAACAGCCGGTGTAAGCGTGAGGAAAGATCGGATAAAATGAATGTTTAGAACGAGGGTGGCCGACCCCAAATAGTTGGAATGAAGGCGAAGGGGAAGATAAAGAGTTAAAATAACAAAAATAACTAACGTAGGTAGTTGCGTAAATAATGTTTTTATCTTTAAGTTGATTATTAATTCGTTCCAATTAAAATTAACAGCACTAAGTTGTCTCTGTTGAATGCAAGGTATAGCACCTTTTTAAGATCATACACTAAGTACAGAACTTATCTCAACCTATCCCTATTTTCTGCATATTTTTTTCATTGGGTCTTTGGGTTTACTATCTTAATTTTCTTCTAAGTAAAATCTTCCTATCTTAACCTCAATCTTTCTAAAGACCTTTTCTCATATATAGTCTAAAATTTGATAGCGTTAGCGTGTTTTTTTCATTACTATCACATATTACGCAATTTGTATGAATTTGTATGGCTATTTTCGAAATTCTTACGACCTCCCCTTCAAGGCTAAATAGCGATTCAAATATTAAAATAAAATAAAAAATCCAATCAATTTGTTTGCATTCAACATGAGTAATTAAATTATTAATTATTTTAAAAAAAATTGTGAAAATCATATGCGGAATGCTGGGGAAATATTGGTATTATTATAACTTAAAATTCTAACAAAAACAAGTATATATTTGAAAAAAAGAGGTCTCTATTTACTTATGTCATGATCCGGTTAATCGCTTCATTCAATATAATATAATGAGATGAACAGTATGGAATGAGAATTAACATGGTTTATCGAGTGGAACGTAATGACAATAATTTTAAGTGTAAATATGTGTACAATTTTGTAAACACTTCATCATGTTATTCGACTTTATAACGTAAAAGATAAAAACAATTTTAATAAAACGTACGCAAAGTCGGAGCTAGCAAAGTATGTCCAAATGTTGACCAAGAGTTTCGAAACATTCGTATCTGGTTCATTCAGTTTCTTTCCCAAGCAGTCAAAAAGGCTAATCATTTCGTCACCATGAGAGACACCCAAATTTTTCGGACATGGTCCAAAGAACGCATTTAACGAATATTTATTTGCATAATCGTACACGTAAAAACGAGCGGGTGACATAATGTTCTGGGCCATGTCGATAACACCCTTTAGGAATGCACCACCGGAAATCATCTGCGGTATGATATAAAAAAAAAAATATAAAAATAAACAATAATTTGTATGCGTTTTATTTTTATTTTTATGACGAATCCATACTAACATCAACAGTGTTTTTTGGATTATCTTCTATAGAAATGCCTTTCGGAAAGTAATGTTCTTTGATTTTGTTACTAATAAAATCCACGTCCTTATACGACGCTGTAAAATGATACTGTAACACTAATGGCACTATCCGATTAAAGTTATTTTTAAGTTCAGGACGGATTATACCATTTTCATCGTACAGCCCTATAGAAAGTATGACATAGATAAATATCATAATATTGTATAAAGTATAAACTGATAAAATATTTATTAAATTGTTGGTACTCACAAGAAGCGAATAAGCCGCCTTCTCCGGTATTCATACCGATTATAGTAGGTACCAGCGACACTTGCTTATAATATTTCAGCGGGTAATTGCACAAAAACGACTCGTGCTTGTTGTTCTTGTGACATTTTTCGGCAACGACTGAAAAAGTCACAGACGGATGTATTTCCCATTCCTGAATACCAGTAAAACAAAGTAAAGCACGTTATATATACGTAAATCAGAGTTAAATATTAATAGTTAGCTTAAAAAACCGAAAAGGCATTTTTACAATTATTTAGACTATGTATGTACAAAACATTATTATTATTGTATAGTATATTAGTTATTTTGTCTTAGCACAGTTTTTTATTATTCGAGGATTTTAATCATCTCTTACGTCAATACTATATTAGATTCCGAATGTAACGATGACGCCATTGGTATTACTAAGATATCTTTTTTTCTTTTTTCTAGTTTCTGAACACGTTTTTTACTGGTAAAATTGCTCCAATTATTACATGTAGCAATTTTTCTGAAAGCTCAAATTGTCTAAATGGTACTTTAGCAAGGTCATTTTTTTAAATAGAGCACTTCATTGGGAAAAAACTGTAGAAAAACGTACAATTTCAAGTTTTTATTGTTTAATAAAAACATGGACGACGTTTTCTACCAGAAAAAAATGATTAAATCAAAAAAACCACAAAATACGTTTTTTTGTAATCTTTTTAATTTACTTTCTAAAGATATCATCGCCAAAACTTTTAAGCCACTTTTGAGATTTTAAGGAATTTTAATTTTAATTTTTGGGAGTTTTTTGCTATAAGTCAGTTATAAATACACGTAGAGACTTAAAACTTGGTAATAATACTATGTTGAACTTAATTAGACGTGGTAAAATTTCTAAATCATCGGATGAATTTTTTTTTTTTTAATGAGCGTTTTGAAATCCAATTTAAACGAAAATCGCAAAAAAAATTATCAAGTTAAATCAAATGATTTTAAATGCTCCGATTTAAAATGATAGCACTTTTTCTGAAAAGAAATCTGATTAGGATGGTACTTTAAGAAGATAATTTTACGATTTTCTCAGGAATATTCTCAACAAATGTGAATAACCAAAAAAAAATTAGGAAAAACGGGAAAATGTACGAAATGTAGGTATACTTGAAAAATATTTCGCCTTCTTTTTTCCTGTGAACCATTTTTCTACCAGCAATTTTCCTCCAATTTACAATGATAGATCTTTTTCTAAAAAGAAATCTGACTAGAAAGGTACTTTAGGAAGGTCATTTGATTTTCCCAGCAAATGTGCAAAACCAGAAAAGAATATGGGAAAACCGGGAAAACGAAGAAAAACGTGAAAATCGGTACAATGTTAAACAAATATAATTTAAGAAAATATATAATGTCTATTTAATTATTTTACCATCCTATGATATATATATTGTTAACACTATCAACTGAACTGTGCTCAGAATCGTTTTTTTTTTTTTTGTTAGCAATGGTTTATTGTTGCTTACTTATACATTAAATTACCTATAACAATGGCTGCATACGTCTTTATAATCCTAGGTAGTCTTTTTTTTAAATTAAATTCAGTTTAAACTGTTTTTAGAGTCTTGAAATTTCGACATAAAACTTATGTTTGCTTTTTCTAAACGTTGTCCAATTTTCAAAACATTTGAAATATTTTTGAACTATTTATAGACGTTTTAATTTTGCTAGTTCTTTTATGTAATCCGTATTCGGTAGGTACTATGTGGATAAAATTGTTAAACCGAACAGAAATATTTGAAAATTTGTTTGAAAGTTCATTATAAGTCGTATTTAGTAGTAAAAAAAGAAATATTGACTGAAATGTAGTTTTTTTTTAGAAGAGTTTTAAAATCATATTTTGACGAAAATCGTAAATATTACTGCCATTAAAAACATATCTATCCAAACTTTGCCCCAAATCGTATTTATGTGTTGTATTTAAATGGTTTATCGGTTATTAGTCTAAATTAAGTAACTTTAAATAACCCACCTCCCCAACTAACCAGCTACAAAATTAGCCACACCTGTCCACAATATTAGCTCTTTTTTTTATTATTAAAACAGTATACTTAACGCAACGTACGCAAAAATTCCGTGGTAAATTTACAAGCGTTTCAGCGGGCAATAACCGCAAACAGTCGATCATATCCTTAGAATTTGAAGGGCACCCCATAATTGTAGAGGCAGCTTTAGCTCGGCGTTCGGCCAAACCTGGTGGCAAGACGGCCCACAAGCAAAACGGACTTCCACTCTGTAAAATAGCTTTGTGAAACAGACCTGATCGGAATTTTCAAAAAAAAAAATTAATAATTACCAATACGTTTAGTTTTCGTTTCGTATGAAACAAATATTATATTGTAAATAATATATACCTTTACTCATCGGGGATAATAAATGTAAACCAACACTCGCGCCACCCGCGCTCTCGCCAAACAACGTGACTTTTTTTTTATCGCCTCCAAATTTGGCTATGTTTTCCTGAACCCAATGAAGCACCGCGACTTGATCTTTCAAACCGTAATTTCCAGGCAATACATCGTCTTCAGTACTCAAAAACCCTATAAATATTCATTAATTAAATTCCTAACCGATTTATAAAACGGACATAATATTAATAAATGGACTACGCTTTTCTCACCCACCATATATGATATTCGTGAACAATATTGAGTGAAAAGGATAACGATAGTTAACACCAATCATAGATGAAATACGTCTATATTGAACTTAAATTGATTATAAATATTCATAAACATAACAAACTTGTAGATAGATAACTAATGATAATTGCGTGATGCAAAAACAAATATTGAATTATTTTTTCCATACTACCTATTTGCATACTAGTTCCATAGCTATTCCCAACTAACACTACCTTTCTCGCTCAATATCGGTTCTCTGTTTTCCTCCTTAAGTGCACTTAAGGAACTAATATTAGATGTAATGTGTTTTAAATTTGTTGGTTTTTATTTTATTTTGTTTTGGTTCAGCTAAAAATATTTGAACTGTAATTCATTTATTAATATATATATTTATAATTTATGTAGATGAATATACGGATTATGAATACGTCCGTTTGTCATTATGATATATTGACCTATTACACCTTACCAAAAACGCCTAACCTATAGTTCATCGTAACCAAAATGACGTCCTTGTCCATTAGGTATTTTGGGCCGTAGAATCGCATACCGCCGTGGCCGGAGCTGAAACCTCCACCAGGAATCCACACCATAACCGGTAGATTTTTATGGCCAATTTTGGGCAGCTATTCGGAAAGTTTAAAAAAAAAGGTATTACTGGTACTATAATATTATTCGTATAAATCAGAAAAATATACCTTAGGCGTATAAACGTTTAAATACAGACAATCTTCGCTGCCGACAAGAACGTTGGCCGTCTGATACATGAACATATTCTTTTGAATGCATGCCGGTGGTTCCACGGTGGCGTTCAGTATGCCATTCCAGGAACTGGCAGGCTCTGGGGGCTGTATAAACAAATCATTGATAGTATAGGTAGAGGTACCTAACTGTAAAAAATAATTTATCCACCAAAGGTGCTACTAGATGGCCTTGAGCAAACCCAAATATAAAACTGTTATCCCAAACCGAATTTTGAAATTTATTATACGTTAAATAGTTTATTAATACTGCACCGTAAAAACAACTCCAAAAGTATGAGTATCATCAGTAAAAACATATTACATATTTTCGATCCAGCAAAAACACTCAAACATTTAACACGAGTTTTACTACGAGTTGTACTTAGTATAGGGTAACCATACGTCCTGTTTTAAACGGGATTGTCCTGTTTTTCAGCTTGATGTCCTGTTTTTTCAATCGGAATTAAACAGGACGCATTTAGTCCTGTTTTCGGTGACTGTCCTGTTTTAATCCTGTTTTTTACTATTTTTTCATTAAAAGTGGTTTTAGCGATTATAATTGATAAATATGTCGTTAATAATAAACTACTTTAGTTTTTTTCATCTAGAAATCCAGTCATGTTGAGACATTTATTTTTAGTGTAGGTATTTTACCCAAAATTACGGCGATGTCGATTGCCAATAAGAATAATATATCTTTTAACTTGATACTTTGGAACAATATTTCTGGTAGAGCTTCTGTATACAGAATAAAAAAAAATAGAAAAAAAGAACTGATACTGAGGATAAGTGTAGCCACTTTTGTAGGTGGGAAATTGAAAAGGTAGGATACACAAGGTTATTTAATTTATATTTGTAAGCAACGATAAACCATTGATGACGAAAAATAATTCCGAGGGCAGTTCGGTAATATATAATTTGAAGTGAATTTTTTTTGTGATTTTCGTTTAAATTTGATTTTAAAACTCTTATTAAAATAAAAAAGTCGTTTGATGATTTTGGAAATTATACCATGTCTAAGTGAAGCAAAAAAGAAGGTCGTAATATATTTCAACTTATACCTACATTTCTTATATTTTACCGTTTTTTTTTTTTTTTTTTGATTTTTCGAATTTGATGAGAAAACTTCTGAGATAACCGAAAAATTACCTTTCTAAAGTACCTCCCTACACCAATTTCCTTTCAGAAGAAAAGCTACATATAAAAATTTTACCACGCGTAGTTAAGTCTAAGATAAATATTATTACCAAGTTTCAAGTCTTTAAGTGTATTTATAACTGAATTACAGCAAAAAAAACTCCTAAAAATTAAAATTCCTTTAAACCTCAAAGTGGCTTAAAAGTTTTGAAAATGATACCTTAAGAAAGTAATTCAAAAAGATAACAAAAGAGATATTTTGTGGTTTTTCGATTTAATTATTTTTTCTGGTAGTAAAAGCCATCAGTGTTTTTATGAAATAATGAAATCATGAAATTATATGTTTTCCTATGGTTTTTTCCAAATGAAATGCTTTTAATTAACAAAATGACAGAGAAAATTAAAAAATGACCTTTTTAAAGTACCATTTAGACAACTTGAGCTTTCAGAAAAGTTCCTACATGTAATAATTGGAGCAATTTTACCAATAAAAAACGTGTTCACAGTCTAGAAATTAAAAATAAATATCTTAGTAATACCAATAGCTCTCTCGCTTCTCTCAAATTCTAAAAAATTGAGTTTAATATAGAATGTTTTTTATAACAATTTTAATATCAATGTATGACGAAAATCATTTTAGTAAAAATTACCTTAAACCGTAGATTGCCCACCGGTGGTTTGGCGTACGGTATCCCTTGAAAGGCAAAATAGTTCCTTCCGCTTCTCGAGACGTAATTTTTTCCCTTTAACTGACCATAGTGTATATTTATTAACGGGCCCGTGCAAATCGCAGACCTGAAGAATGACACAAACATTACCAACAATACGCCACGCATTTCGAAGAACTATAATATTAATAAAAAAAAAAATTTATTAAAAAAGATCAACATAGTTTGCGCGTGGATGAGTTACTGTTGTAGTAGACAAGGTTGGGTTGGTTTCGGAAGGTATTAGAGGAGAAATCTAATGTATATCTGTACGTAACGATTAACCTAATGAAAAACTTGCTAATGAAAAACAATCCTTGGTTCAAATAATAGTTTTGTTTTGTTAACAATATATATGTCACATTATGGTAAAATAATTATATATTTCTTTAATTATATTTGTTAAATATTGTATTTTTTGCCTCGTTATTCCTCAATTTTTACTATGTTTTTCCCATTTATTAAAAAAAAACTCATGGAAAAAACAAAAAATGGCGTCTTTAAAGTACCACTCCAAGAAAATGCCCTTTCTAAAAAGGTGCTATACGTGATTTTTAGGAACAAGATTTCTAGTAAAGTTTTTATACACGGTGTAAAAAAACATTAAAAAAGACGATAATGGGGACGAGTGAAATCACTGTTGTAGGTAATTTAATGTATACTTGTAAGCGATGAAAAACTATTGCTTACAAAAAAACAATTCTAAACGGAGTTCAATTGAATATGATTCTTTGTCAACAATATATATCATATTAGAGTAAAATAATTTAATAGAATTTTCCTACGTTTTTCATGGGTTTTCCATGTTATTTTCCCTATTTTTCATATATTCCGAGAAAACACATGAGAAAATAAAAAAAACACATATTTAAGTATCTCCCCATACTGATTTTTTTTTTAGAAAAAGTACTACACTTAAATATCGGACCAAGATTTCTGGTTTTTCACACAAAAAAAAATAAAAATAAACATCTTTGTAAAACCATAAGCTTCATTGCTCCACCCACAATCTAAAATACACATCTTTGCATAACAACTAAATTTTTTGCTATACTCAGAATCTGAAAAAAAAAGTAACAAAAAGCTGATTTAGGATAATGAGGACAGATTTAGCAACTCTTATAGGTGAAAAGTTAGGAAGGTATAATAGAGCGGAAATTGAATGTATATTTGTAACCAATGGTAAACCATTTTTAAGGAAAAACCAATTTTGAGCGAAGTTCGGTTGATAGCGTTGCTTTGTCAACACTATATATGTCAAATTGTTGTAAAATAATTAACTATTTATTTTTTAGTTTTATAATTTTTTGAATAAAATTTGTTTAATATGTTACCTATTTTCCCTATTTATTAAGAAAACTATTGGAAAAATAAAAAAAATGAGTTCCCAAAGAACCTTCCCAGTAAGATTTTCTTTTATAAAAAGTGCTATCATTGTAAATCCGAATAAAATTTTTAGTAGGAAAGAAAAAATATAATCATTGTAAAACTAATACATTTCTCGTTCCACTCAGAATCTTATAATCTATCACATTATCATTGAGATATCACAATAAACTGTGATATTTATTATACGATTGAATAATGATGTTATATTAATAAAGATTTCTTTCATTTAATAACATGGACATAATACGAAATGTATTAATCAGTATTGATTATTAAATAGCTATAAAAAAAAAAAAAAAAACTATGATAGTTGTATGTTACTTAAGATTAACCTTCCACATAAATTTTATACAATAATAACGACATCGCAGTAATCAAAAATCCATTTTACAGAGAGTCAAAGCGAATATTATAATGTTAAATATTATGTAGCGACTCATACATTGTGTCTCAAGGTTTTAAGAAGAATAGTTGTTTGTCTGCAATTAAGGGGAGAGGTCGCATTAACTGTCTCTATCTTACAAACGCATTACTTAGGCAATTTGCATTCAGCAGAACCAATTTTATGCCTTTTTGGTTTGAATATTACAGTGAATATTGACCTTTTATCTAAGGTAAGTAGTGGCACATTTGAGGGGGGAGGCTATAATGGCAATTGTCCTCCTCTGAAAGCTTTAATTTTTTTTTTTTTATCTATAAAAATAAAAAATGTTGTCTTAGGATAATGGGACGAGTGTAGCCACTTTTGTAGATGAGAAGTTGGGAAGGTATAGGATATAGAAAGGAATTTAATGTATATCTGTAAGCAACGATAAATCATTGCTAACAAAAAAACAATTCTGAGCGAAGTTCAGTTGATAGTGATACTTTTTCAATAATATGTATGTCATATTCTAGTAAAATAATTAAATAAGCATAATATATTTTCTTTAATAATATTTGTTTAATATTGTAGGGATTTTCCCATTTATTCTACATTTTCCCCAGTTTTTCACATTTGCTGAAAACTCCAGGGAAAATTAAATGATGATCTACCTAAAATACATTCCCAATCAGATTTTCTTTTAGAAAAAGATTAGGTTAGGTTAGGTTATCATTGTAAATTGGAGCAAAATTGTGGGTAGAAAAGTTTGTCTACAGAAAAAAAAATCGTTATGTTTTACTAATAATTCGTAAATTTTCCAAATTTTTTCTCAGTTATTTTTCGGTTTTTCACATTTGTTGAGTAAACTCCTAATAAAATCGAAAAATAACCACTTTAAAGTACCTCCGTACACTGATTTCCTTTCAGGAAAAGTGCTACACTTAAAAATTGGAGCAACGGTAGAAACGTTATCCACAGATAAAATAAAAAATAAAAAATATACATCTTTATAAAATCATAAACTTTTTCGCTCCACTCAGAATTAATTAATAATTATAGATTGAAAATAACATAATTTTTCAACTTTTCAATCAGACATTTTTGTTCCAATCATCAACAGCAAGTGTGGTTTTTGGTACACAATTTTGTACTCAAGTCCTTTTATAATGTTCTTTTTACGAATAATGGTTTTTTGTTGTTACTCAGTGAAAAGTATTTCCATAGTAACCTGAAATTTTCTCTAATGACTTACATATTAGTAATCTTTAAACGTGGTTTCAATAATGTACATTAAAACGGGTATTTTTATTTTTATAATGTAGATATAATTTTTCAGCTTCTCAAAAATAATCCAATAATGCACACAGGTTATTCATAATTTTTATTCTGTATAAAAGCGAGCTACCTATAAGAAATTGCCTTCAACTGTACGTATAATTTTAATTTGTTATGATTTTAAAATGATGCTAAAATGTTTCTATATTTTTTTTAATTCGGAGGTTAGGTAAACTCGTATATGTATGAGTGGTGTGCATCTGAATTATACACCTCCCTCCAAGATGGAGAGAATTGGAGAGAATATTATATGCGTTTGTACTTTGATTTTTAAGTGAATCATAGGCATTTCAGATTTGAATAAAAAGGAAAAGCTTATATTTTTACAAAGATGTTTATTTTTTTTTTTTTGTTCTGTGGACAACTTTTGTACCAGAGAACTTGCTCCAACTTTTAATGATAGCAATGTTTCCAAAAGGAAATTTTCCTAGCGAAATACATTAACGAGGTTATTTTTTGATTTTCTCAGGAGTTTTCTCAACAAATTTAAAAAAACAGAGGAAACAAGGGAAAATGTATGAAATGTAAGTAATAGTTAAAATTATTAATGCCTTCTTTTTTTCTACGGACAACTTTTCTACAAGCAATAATTTTGCTCCAATTTTTAATAATAGCAATGTTTTTAAAAGGGAATTTGACTGGGGAAGTACTTTAAAGAGGTAATTTTTCGATTTTCTTTTGAGTTAATAATAAACTTTTTACAATAGAGATCAATACACTTTAAACTTAAACTAAAAGCCAGAAATTATTTCTACTCAAAGTAAATTGTCTATGTCGTGCATGTGTAAAACGGAGACAAGAAATGCATGACTTGTACCGCACTCTTAATAAACAAAAAACATTATTGAGCATTACTTAAATTATGAAAAATATTATAATTGGTACTTACGTACATACGTAGGTAGGTGAACAGTAATATAATATCAAATATTAATATTGATCAATTTTTAGGTGATCCAAATTCCCGATACGAAATAATACAATAATAAATAGTTCGGTTCAATATGTGAAAAGACTGGCACTGTCCTGTGGTCGATAAAGTATTTTGACGTTAATTGCTATTGACTTTTGAAGACCTTTAGGTTTAACTACACGACCTCAACAATTAGCCAAATCTACTACATCACCGACAAATCTAATTGGCAACAGTTGTTTGTTGTTTTTTTTACCTTTACCTTTCGTGTGCCGTGTTTGATTGGAAATAATTTATACACTTTATACTCATAGTAGGTGGGGAATAATAAGTTCAAGTGCTGCACGTTTGGGCACATTTACCCAGCTGGTATTTAAAATCCACACAATGTTTGGATACTCGATATTTTTAAAAAGATAGCACGTTTGGATACTAACATGAAAAATTATATACGTTTGTTTAATCGTCTTTCGTCAACAATGGTTTATCGTTACTTGCAAATATAAATGAAATAACCATATATATCCTACCTTCCCAACTTTTTAACTACAACAGTGGCCGCTCTTATCCTCAGTATCAGCTCTTTTTTTTTTAAAATGGTACTTTATTTTTTTTTTTACTGTAGACCGCTTTTATCTTAGAAAATTTACTCTGATGTATAAATGTAGCATCTTTTCTGAAAAAAAAATGCGAATTTTTCATGATTTCGTTATTTTAAATGCCACGTTTCCTAGCACAAATATAGCTCCAACTGAAAAACGACAAGAGACCTTTTTTTTTTTTATACAATTCTGTAAGTATATTTGTTTAAAATTTAACTGTTGGTTCAATAATTAAATTACCTACTTTAAAAAAAGCAAAGGAATTCTTTAATTGATAATTGATGATTTATTAATAGTTACTATGTGTTATTATTAGTTTCCCCGTGATATTCGAGGGGTTTCGGAGTTATGAGTCCAAGAATGCTGACTACCGATAAATTGGAGATTAGTTGTTTTACCTACCCAGTGTCCACGGTGTTGGCCAGGAATAAATGGTAAATACCTGTAGAATGTAATTGTTCTCCGTGGTTCTAGAATGGCGAACGGCGGTGACAACACAAGTATCTGAATTTAAGTATGCAACACTTTAAAACTGCGTATACTCAGAGAGGAGGTGTCAAAGTTTAAATTATTATCGTGTAGTAAGAAAGAAATTAAAATAAAAGGAAAAGAAGGTTGTATAAGAGGGTTTTGTACATGGAGGTTATGAAAGGAAGGGTTGAAGCCTAAAGGTATAATATAACGTGTGGTGGTATAATATTATAATAATTGTATATTTGATGTACAACTCGAGCGCGCGGTTATCTACCGATAGGATTATCGACAGGTAATGTTGCACAATACGCAATTGGCCGAATATGACCCTGAATACTCGCAACGTAATACGATGTAAGACTGTTATAGGTAATGTGTGTGAAAATGGCAGGTATATATATTTAATTGTGTTTTATGAACACATATTATATTAATTATATATATATATGGCTGTAATTACCTGTCCTAGGAAGATAATATTTCTTTATGCCTAATTTATTATTATACCAAAACTAATATCCTATTATGAAAATATGACAGGTATCATATATCTTGGCGAAATACTTGAAGTTTGCAAGATGTTCATTGTTCAGAGCAGTGGCAGTTGGTGGTGCTAAAAATAGTTGATGTACAAAATAATAATCAACAAGCATTAACAGCTACAGCTATGATGTAACATGTTTTTCCTCATTTATATAAAAGGAGGACATTTTGTTCAAAAGGTTTTCTACTGAATTCATTTTTAAAGAAAAAATGACTTATTAATTCTAAAAGGAAATAATTCACTTTATAGGTAAATATACAATAATTAATATTATGACATTATATACATATAATATTATGAAATAATATCGACTGTTGTATACAGAAATCAATATACAAATGGAAAAACCTCAAAATTAAACGTAGATAACGTTTATATTAAAAATCTGTTTGCAGTATTTAGTTGCATTATATTTCTACACTGGTCTACACTGGCCTACATTGGTCAATCATAGTATTTTATACCGGCGTTTCGATGCGGTCCTGTCACAGCGCGGCGCACCGATTGGTGTGTGCATATTGCATAACTGTTTTTACTTTAGGAGCAATAATATGTTCAGGACATAATAATTCTACATTGATAAATATTTTTGGACATTACTTTTCAATATGTAAAACCAAATCACTGGGAAGTGATGGATGAATTGAAAAAGAAGCCAAACCAGGTAAAATAATCCAACACAACTGTTCTCTGTGAATTTTTTATATACATGATATGAAAAATACCAGGTGATCCAATCAATAAACTAACAATAGAAATCTGACTAAAATTAACTTTTTTTAGATTCTGAGTGTAGCGAAGAATGTATTCGTTTTAATAAAAAGATTATTATTATTTTTTTTTTTTATACTGTGTACAAAAATTCTATCAGAAATCTTGCTCAAATATATACGTGCGGCACCAATTCTGAAAGGGAAAATTGTCTAGATGGTACTTATGGGAGGTAATTTTTTGGTTTTCCAAATAGTTTTCATAATATCTAGGAAAACCATGATAAAACGTAAGAAAAACGGAAAATTTACAAAAATAATTTATTTTCTGTGTACAACTTTTCTACCAGCAATTTTACTCCAATTTAAAATGATAGCACTTTTTCTGAAAGGAAATCTGATTAGGAAAGTACTTTAGGGAGGTAGTTTTATAATTTTCTCAGGAGTGTTCTCAACAAATGTGAAAAACCGGGGAAAAACACAGGAAAACCAGGAAAAATGGGAAAATCAGTACAACATTAAACAAATATAATTAAAGAAAATGTATATTGCCTATTTAATTATTTTAACATATATGACATATATATTGTTGGAAAAGCATCACTATCAATTGAACTACGCTCAGAATCGTTTTTTCGTTGGCAATGGTTTATCGTTGCTTACAGATATACATCAAATTATCTATAACAGTGGTTGCACCTGTCGAAATTACCCTAGGACGTCTTTCTTATTATATACTTTATTTAACATACATATACATGTATAATATATCATAATATAAGTACCTATGTATATCCATGAACTTAACTAAAAATATTACAAAATACTCAAATAAACGAAATATTTACCTCTACCTATCTATTTGTATTTTGATTTTTGAAATTCTAGAATAATTTCTTTCAGAATATTAGATCACAACAAACTACATTAAATAAACAAATAATTTAAGGTATTTATATAAGCAAACTGTGAAGTATAATTGTACACTGTAGTGTTTTACAAAAATCTACTAGCCTTAATTAAATGTCATTATTTTCATGTAATTAATAATTAAAATTCAGTTTTCAGTACATTCTTGGACCCCTTAAACGCTGATAACAGCGGCAAATCGTTCCAAAACATATACTCGTCCATATACAGTTTCTCGGTTATGACAGGATTACTCGAATTTATTAATAGAAAACTCTGTTTTTTCGCATCAAACAGAGGCCATTCATTTCCGTTTTCTTTGCCATCCACGGTGATTATCCTGAAACAGGGTTTTAATTATTTAAAACAACGTATTATTATTTTGTGAGTAAGTACTCGATACTTTTATTTTGTATTACGAAAAAAAAAATATGTTTTATTAATAATTAATCAAACGCTAAAAATTACGTACTTGGCGCTAGCGAAACGTGTCCACAAGTTAACCATTAATTCTGATACCTTTAAATCCTCCTCCTTTAATTTCTTTGCTACAGGTAATGCAAACAGACTTATAAGGTCGTCACAATGCGATACGCCCAATGATTTGTTACACGGTCCGAAAATCGTATTGAACGTGAATTCGTTTTTATGGCCGTACACATAAAAACGTACCGGTGACGTTAGACTGGTCGCCATATTGATTGAACATTGAAAAAAAAAACCGCCGGAAATCATCTATGAGAATTTGTAAAACTAAACTACAATTAATCTGTCAGTAATATTATGTTTCTATATAATATTATAGTGTAGTCGTTAATGATAATGACTGTTATTCATTATGTAAGTAAAGACTATAAATTGTTAAAAAACATTAAAAAAATGTAATATACCTACTTGATTTTTTTTACAAAGTTGATCCTGAAAAATTCACTTCGAATATCTATTGTATAATTTAATATAATATAATAAATAGCCGAATTTTTAGCTAACCTCAATATTCCTAATATTCCCACTTTGAATTTATATTAATAATACGAATTATCTAATTCTAAGTGTCTATAAAATATTTAAGCAGCGATTTTGATTATACATAGTATTATAATAAATATGGTATTCGACATTTTATTATTCAAAACTAAAATCGATATTAAATTGCAGAATTTGCAGAACATTGCAGGATAAATTTAATTTTTAAACGAGGCTAAAATCGATGAGCAGAATCCATTTGGACCAATTTTGAAGACCCGTTTGGGCTAAAAAATACTACTTTTAACAGTCTGTTTGGATCAGAATTGTCCTTATATTAGTTTAACTGAACTTTTATTCAGTGAGCCTTTATATAATGGTATTTTATTTGTGTAATCTTATCGTATATAAGATCTAGATACATAGATATCTGTAATATAAAGATAATAGATATAGATATACATTTAATATAACTGGATATTTGATATGTTTTAAAACTAAATTTATACACAGAAATTGTATGTAAACCTAAATAATTTACTTGTTATATAATTTAAAAATTAGTTTCTGTAGTTTAACCATTCGTTTATTTAGCGAACCTTCATAAAAGTTTAAAAGTATTGGTCCAAACAGATTCATTAAATTCTAGTCCAAACGGGTTGAAGTTTTGTTAATGGCCCAAACGTGCTTCACCCAAAATCGATACTAATAATAAAAATTACGTCCTAAGATAATGGGGACGGATGCAGCCACTGTTATAGGTGATTTAATATATACCTGTAAGCAACGATACAGCATTGCTTACGAAAAAACGATTCTGAGTGGAGTTCAGTTTAAAGTGATGCTTTTTCAATAATATATATGCCATAATATTGTAAAATAATTAAGTAGGCTCTTTATTATAAACTATACAGACAATTCTTTAATAATAATTGTACCGATTTCCACTGTTTTCCTACGTTTTTCCCGGTTTCCTATGTTTTTTCCCAGTTTTTCACATTTGTTGAGAAAACATCGAAGAAAATTGAAAAACGATCTCCTTAAGTATCTTCCTACACCAATTTTCTTTCAGAAAAGTTGCTACACATAAATATCAGTCTTCTATCAAGTCTTCTAGTAGAAAAGTTGTCTAGAGAAAAAAAAATAAACCTCTTTGTAAAACCATAAGCTTCTTCTTTCTACTAGAATCTAAAATATATACAAAAATCTTTCAATATGATTTTCGGAATAGGACATGCCAATTATTATTACTCACCTGATCAACGATAATGTTAGTTATTTTCCATATTATGTTTAAAAATTATATTTTACTAAAATAACCATATTCGAATAGATTAAGTTAGGTTACATTAGGCACGGAATGCTAGCATTATAAAGTTCACAACAACTTAAAAAAAAGCATTCCAATAGAGAATGTTGGACTTTTTTAATTTTTGTGAACTTTTTGGTGTAACTAACAAAATATTATAATTTATTTAACCAACCAACTAACATATTACCATGATTTATGTTATAATAGTACCTATCATGTGCGTTATGTAATTGAATTTCAGAATATTATAAAATAATTATGTACATATTCTAAATTGTCAGGAATATATTATTTTTACTATGATGTGTGTTTTCACGGACAAATGACATTTAAAGTTTCCTCACGCTCCTTGTGAAACCTTACTCCCTTTACATACCATAAACTATGGTTGTAAACACTCCATCCACAACGACATGCGTCTTGCTAATGAGTACCATTCTGCCTTATAATCTTATGTTAATTTATTATGCTTAATATAATAGTACATTTTGGGGCTTGACCAGTTTTATATAAATAAAAATAAAATAAAAATGTATTCTACCTAAAAAAATGCACACCCATCAACAATATCAGTTTTTAGATTCTGAGTGAATTGAGGAATGTAAATTGGTTTTACAATGGTGTTTATTATTTATTTTTTTTATCTGTAAACAATTTTTCCACCAGAAATCTTGCTTAGATTTTCAAGAGTAGTACTATTCTGAAGCAATTTTTATCTATATGGTACTTATTTAGGGAGGTCATTTTTTAATTAGGTATACGAGCTCATATAAGCGGCAATTGTTACTGATTATAAATTGGTACACAGAATGTCCAACGAAGATAGTCCCATAGTATTATCTCCGGAGATAATAAAAATAATCAAATTCTATTTTTTCATATTATTCATAGGAATAAAAACTAAAAATATTCATATTGCAATTAATTTTTCATGTTTTTCTAAAAAATTAAAAAAAAAACTTATGATTTTAGTATTTTTGAAAAATGTTAAGATACTAATTTTATACAGTTTCTTTTTTGAGCCACACTTGACTTCCTTGGTATCGGCCATCCGCTTATCTCCTGGCTATCATCCTATTTAACATATCGTGGCAATTTGTTACCCTAAACGGAGTCGTTTTAGAGTTATCAGTTGTTTCCTCCGGTGTTCCTTAGAGAGGTCACCTATGTTCAATTCTTTTTCTCATTTTTGTTAATTCAATAAATAAGTGTTTCTCTTTTGCTAATGTTCTCTTATTTGTTGATGACACTAAAATTTTTTGTAAAATCGAATCTTCCGTTCACTGCCTCTTATTACAAGCTAAACTGAATGCCTTCATCGTTTGGATTCAACAACTTAACTTACTTCCTTACTTGAACAAATGTCTCTCGATGACCTTCACTAGGAAACGTAACTCCATACTACACTTATATTATCTTAGTAGTTACTCTCTCCTGCGTGTTAATCTTATCAAAAATGTAGGATTCTATCTTTCACCCGTCCTTTCTTTTAAACACCACTTTTGGCCAACTTCTCCACAAAATGTTACGCCTGTTCAACAAAACTTAGTCTTACTACTTTACCCCTCTCTGTTCACTTATTTTCGCAATTTATTATCAATCTCTATATCTACTTTATATCTACACTAGTTTATTTTTACCAATGCCCTCCGGGGGGGTATAATTATTAAATAAATAAATAAATAATAAATATAGGTATATAAAATGTTACACTTTCGAACTGTTTAAAGACTATAACATTATTATAAGTTCATGAAACTTAAAAATCTATTTAAAATTCTTGTACAAAAAACTTCTCAAAAAAAAAAAAAAAAAAATAAATAAATATGTATAAAACTATCCAAGATAAAAATCACATACTCATTAGTCATTAGTCATTACTCATTATCAATACCATCACATTGCATGTTTTAGTTGAAACATTTCATACGTTTATATATACATATATATATATATATATATATATATATATAACGTATGACGTTATTTGAAAGTAAAACTTTGAACAATTCGTTAAATTGAAAAAAAAAGTCTTAAAACATATCAAAAGTGATGTAGTGCTTTAGAAAAATGCTAAAAAATACCTTAGACTGGGTTACAAATTAAGAAGTTTTAAACAGAATATAATTTGGAAAATAGTAATTATGGAAATGTATTCAGTCCAGAATAGATAAAGTGAAATAATGGCATATTTTAAAACAAGAAAGTTCATTAAAAGTATTAATTGAAAGGAATATTGAAGGACCCGTGGAAATAGAAAGAGCACCAAAGGCGGAATAATATATCAAGTATATGACTCAAATAATGAAGGACATACATACTACACAGGGAATATTGATAAATTGATAAATACAATGAATCTATGTGAATCAAGTGGTAGCAAATAGGCATGGAAAACTGCAACAAACTAATCTAAGTACTTCTGACATTAAAAAAATGAAAATTAAATTAACCTATTTATTTATGATAATTGGTACTTACATCGACTAATTTCATAGGATCGTCTATATTTCTACTAGGAAAATAATGTTCAAGTATCTTGTCTCCTATTATTGGAATATCAGACATTTTCGATGTATACTTGTACATGAGTATCGAGGAAATGAGATTATGGAAATTGTTCTTCAACTGCAATTTAGAAAATTTACAGGATTCGTCGTACATTCCTGCAGAGAAAAAATGTACCTGTATTGTAGTATATTAAAATAAAAATGTGTAGGCATATACATTTTGTACCGTTTTAAAAAATGTTTAAAGCATAATATTAATATAAATTTAAAATCAATAAACACCTTCGTAATTCGGAAAAAAATTACTTTTTCTAATTTAAACCATGTAGACAAAAAATAATATGTTATAACAACCACTCACTGGAAGCAATTAAACCGCCCTCTGCAGTGTTTAATCCCATTAAAATTGGTACGTTCGATTCTTGCTTAAAATCCAGTAAAGGATAATGACATAAAAAACCTTTTTTATTTTCGCAATTTTCGACCACAGGATTAAACGTTACTGGGGGGTAAATTTGCCATTCCTTCAAAAGTTTAATATGTACATTTTTTAATTTAACTTGACTGAAATATACTTACTAAGACTTACTAAATACTTACAAAAAAATTGAATTGAAGATCCACCAATAAGTCTGCGGGAATTTTACGCAAACACTCTGCTAACAGTTTTGGATCCGACGGACATCCGGCAATAGTGGACAAAGACAAAGCTCTCCGTCTAGCCCAGCCTGGCGGAGATACGGCCCATGGACACAATGGCGTGCCACTTTGCATTATCGCTTTATGGAATAATCCTACAAATCATGTTTAAAAGCAATATCCTGTTCAGTGAAAGTAAAAAATATATCATATTGCGTTTACCTTTGCTCATCGGTGATAATAAATGTAATCCGACACTCCCGGCTCCAGCACTTCCACCGAAAATCGTAACCTTTTGCCGATCGCCTCCAAATCTTTCAATATTGCTTTGGATCCATTGTAATGCTAAAACTTGATCTTTCATACCGTAATTTCCAGGCAAATTATCGTCTTCAGTACTCAAAAATCCTGATAATTAATTAAATATATATATATATATCCGACTGAATTATATTTCTTTCGCGAATTATTATTTACCTAAAATGCCAAGTCTATAGTTCATAGAAACAAAAATTATATTTTTGTCTAGTAAATATTGAGGATCGAAAAAACTTGAACCTCCATGCCACGCGAAATAACCTCCACCATGAATCCAAACCATAACCGGTAGAAATTCCGTATCTTCTTCTTTTGGTATCTACATAATATATAACAGTTTAATTATTAGGATATACCTAACAACATTTATAACTATTTTAAGAAGGTTTTTAATATAATAAATCGATTTTACCTTCGGAGTGTATACGTTTAGATATAGACAATCTTCATGGCCAGACACTTTTGAGTCTGGTATATAGCTGATATAATTCTTCTGAATACAAAATTTCGGTTCACTAGTAGCGTTTAAAATATCAACGTCCCACGAAATTAATGGTTCTGGATCCTATATAATCAACAATGCTCGTTTATATTTTAAATGATTATCACTGTATCATCTTTAAGATGTACGAGTAGTACGATTTACTTTCAATCTAAGATCACCGATCGGTGGTTTGGCATACGGTATTCCCTGAAAAGCTTTAAAATCCCGTCCATTCCTGGATACCATACTACCACCTCTAATCCAGCCTTGGTTTAATTGCAATAAAATATTATCCGTACTGACAACGAATCCGAAGAACAACGTAAAAATAATAAATGTTTCCATTTTTATACCTAAGAAAAAAAAAATGTTTAAGTATCGTAAACAATTTTTAGATTTACCTGATTGAATTACAAATATATTGTAAATACATGCCGAAAATACAATTATTATTCCCTATTTATCTAGTAAATTTCATTAGATACACTAAAAAGTAAAAATCAATGTAATCTGCAGTTAATACATACATATTATATGTTTAGAGTATAAGTTGGTAATTATATCTTACGGGTGCAGTGAATTTTTGTGTTTAATTTCCACTCATAAGTTCCTAATCGCGTAACAGAATTATACTTAAATCATTTACAAATACGATTTGTTCAATAAAAAACTCAAAAGAACATGACAGATATGTATTGTATTACACTCATATAATTGATTATTCGATGTATTTTTTTTATCTTATACCTAATTTACTTGGTAAAATTTATTGATTTAGCAATATATATTTATATTGTTATCGTAGAACAGTTGAACTCAACCTATAGTTATTATTATAAGTATAGTATAAGTTATTATTAGTATAAGTATAAGTAATTATTATTATAAGTAATTATAGTTATATTAATTATTACTTATTATAAGTATAAGTAATAACCTATAGTTATTATATTATTGTTATATATATAGTTATAGTTATAATTCACTAAGTGTGTTCACCCCATGTTTTTGGTTAAATTTTACAAATATTCAAATTCTGATTATAGGATTTTAAAGTGTAGTTAAAACAGATATTTTTGAATACTTAAATTTTTCACGATATTTAAGGAGTATCCTGTGGCGATACCAACTTTGGTTTTTCAAATGAGAACCTATATTAAAAATTTCATAAATAAATTTAAAATTTAATAAATTTAGGTGTCAACATTTTCGGTTTCTGTTAACCCGTTAACGAGTATTCCACTTTTAAATATTATGAAAAATCTAAGTTTTCGAAAATATCAGCTTTAATTACACTTAAAAATTTTAAAAATCAGAATTTGAAAATATGCAAAAATTTAAACAAAAAAATGGCGTGAGCACACTTTGTGAATGGAATATATTTAATGTATACAACTTGTATTATTCGAATAGTGCTTACATACACATATATATATTTATATTTATTTTACATCTAAAGTTTTGTCATAAACGTTATTAATAACATAACAAATTTAAATAAAATCACACCTAAAAAACAGACATTTTTCATAAAGTAAATTTGTCATTTAAATTAAGATGATTTTTTATTTTTTTTTTATAATAAATCTAATAATATACCTATAATAAAATTTTAAATAGAAATGGGTTGTAATAAAATATAGTAGAAATATAAATGTATTAAAAATAATATTGAAACGCTATTATTTAAAACAACTCAAAAAATACACAAAAGTACGAACGTATATATATGCTTAGATACTCATGAGTAACTGACTGTAACCACCGCAACTCCGCAACCCAACTCCGTTGATCAAATAATAAAACTAAAATACAAGTTAGTCTATGCCTATATATTTCTTCATGAAGTCATAGAGAAACAATTTTGATAGTACAAATTATATATAGACTACTAATGTTTAGTATTTCTATACACCGCCACAACGCCTTATATTAAATGTCTGTGGCTATAAAAGTTTCAAGGTAAACGGGTGAGTAACCTATAGATAACTCTATAGAATATTTATTATATATACTTGAACTCAAATACAAAATCCTTAAAAAAATAATAAAACATGGTTTGGTAGTTAAACTTTAAAGTGCCTGTATGCTCAAAATAACTGCCGACTTTGTGAACAGCCCAATTTTCTATTAGATAATCATTTAAGTACTTTCATGAACGTATTTTTCCCAAAAATATTCATCATATATAAAAAAAAAATTTCCCAATTTCTCATCTACAACGGTAGCCCACCCATGTGCGAATTATATCAGTTTTTTTAACATTGTATGGTATTTAAAACTATTATTATTAACGTGTATGCTAACGTTGTACAATTAGATATTAAATAAAAGAAAAAACCGAATGACCGCAAATTAGTCATGGGTCGAACCAAACCCTCAATTTTAGTTCGTTTCGAAATTCGAACCTGCAATTAAAATTTCAAACCAAACTATTTAATATCTACAGTACGAAGTTCAAATTCAATTTACACTGCTATTTTTATTTTTATCATCAAATATTTTTTTGATAAGGGGCAATAACCTTGTTATTCCAACAATGAGTACAATGAATCATGAAATGTGAAAAATATATTTTTAATTTAAGGAACTTATAAGTAGCAATATTCCACTACTGTGTCCGTTATCTTATTAACAACAATAAAAATACGTTATATATATATATGACGTTTTTATGTCACCTCGGTGCTGCAAATTCCTGTATAATTCCAATATATATATATATATATATATATACGTTAATATACGTTATTTTAAGTTATATGCGTACATTGAATTTCTGTAATGTATTTTGTTAGTTCATTCGGTTATATTTATAAATTGTTACAGTGTATACACAACTCAACTCTACTCAACTCAGCTTAACAAGACATAAAAAAAAAAATTAATTGTAATAATTATGGTTGGACATTTTATATCCATACATTATATGAAAAAAAAATCATGCTTGAGTTTTAGTTCAACTGAAAAATATAAAAGTTCGGTTCGGGTTTGGTTCGATGCCAAAAATCAGAGTTCGGCACATCACTTCCGCAAATGCCACCAAGTAGTGACCGTAAGGCACAAATACAGTGCCGTAATTAGGAATTTGCAGCACCGAGGTGACATAAAAACGCGATGAATAAAAAACAACGGTTATCATCACAATATGTGTATGTGCTTGTTTCTCCCGATCAGCCTAAAATCTCTTTATAACATTATGAGAATTAAAGCCGTCTCCTAAATTCAGCCACTCGGAATCACTGTCCCCTGTTTCCCTTGCCTAAATACAGCACTGTACACAACTCCAACCCCCATATCTAATTATTATCTATCTAATCATTTAAACAGCTGCTTATAATAAATAATTTAATTTATACCTAAGCAACGATAAACCATTGCTAACGAAAACATGATTCTGCGCGGAGTTTAGTTGATGTGATGCTTTGTCAACAATATACACCGGGTGATCCATTTAAGTTGGTACACTCATTATCTTAGAAATTATTAACTTTTTTCGGAATTTGTTTTCTAGAATATTTAAGAAACAAGCTGCTCTACAATTTTATATTTATGTTATGTTCTGTTACCCTTATTTTTGTGCGTAATAGATGACTATTGAGAGTTGATAGAACTTTTAAGTCTTTAAATTTTAAGTCTCTACGAGTAATTTAACATAAATTACAAGGAAAAAACAAAAATGAAAATAATAAAATAATAATTTTCGTAAAATTTCCCGTTTTTTTCGGTTAAAGTAAAGCTCATTTATTTATAAAATTATATAGAAAATTAAAAATCAAATAAATTACTCATGAACTAGATTCAAAATGAAACAAAAAAGGTCTTTAGTCGTTTAGTCTATTGGAGCAATATGTATGGTATATGATAATATATAAACCGTATAAGTTTAAAATAATAGAATCGTTGGCCGTAATTTGAAAAACATCGTATACTTAAAACCAAAAAAACTAAAAAAACTAAATTTTAGTATTATTTGGTTTTTCCTGGTTATTATAAAAATAATTTAGATATCAAAAAATAACTTTGTGTTATTTTTTGATTATAATAACTAGTGGCTATCTGTTAAAAGGAACAAAATCGATCTCATGTTATTTTTTGATCGGAGTAATATTTATTGTAGAAAATATAAGTTGAACGTATTAAAATAATTAAGCTGGGATACTATATTGTCGTAAATAGTAATCAATTTAAATTTTTGATTTTTCTCAATTATTACGAACACTAATTTTGATAATGAAAAACGACTTACTTTGCAGGTAGCGAAATAGTAATAGGAAAAAAGTCGATCGCTTGTCATTTTTGGATTAAAGCAATATACCTGGTAAAATACTTAAGCATAACACAATGAAAACGGTAAGGCCGCGCGCCGTACTTCCACACAAATGATGCTCCACTACTCTGCCCATACCATTACTTATAAGTGGAATATCTCGTCAACGGTATGACGAAAATAAACAATTCCTTACCAACAAACTAATACTTTGCGTGTTTATGAATTTTAAATGTAAGTTTCAAATTAAAAATTGAAAATAGGTTGTACGAATATTAAAGTGGTTTTACCCCCAAAAATAAAAATGAAAAAAATCAACATCAATTTATAATTTTAGAGCTGCTTGTTTCTTAAATGTGTTATAAAAAAAATTCCGAAAAATGTTATTACTTTCCGAAATAATAAGTGTCTTACGTTATGTGAATCGAACCTAATACAACCCAGATGAAGACTAGAATACATTCAACAATAAATAAAAAGCCAAGGATGGCACTTATATTTGATATTTAATAAGAAAGCAAGAAAACAGAAAAGCGTGGAAGACGACTGCTAATGGAAACCAAAGAGACTATCTACAGATAATTCTAATATAAACATTTGAAACAAATTTCAAGTATCTACGATTATTCATTTTTGAATTACAATAAAATAAAAAATAAAGAATTTCTAGAACTTACTATTACTACCTAATAATATTATTCTTGTTTTGTCCCACATCAAATGTAAACACATATACAGTTATTACAGTTACAGATCGTAACATTTGTTTGCCTATTCGAAAACCTTTAGAATGTTTAAGCAATATTTTATAATAACTGTAGTGATACGTCATACTACTTGGTTGCGTTGTCTCACTTAAGATTTGGATTCCGGGAGTATACGGTCCGCAACAATATTGTTTGTGTGTTTTTTTTTCCGGATTTCTACAGCCCGGGGCTATATGGTTCACGTACATATTTTTTTCCGTGACAATACAGTCCTATATATGATTCCGCAATTCTACGGTCCGTGAGATTACTTTTCAGGTTTATACATACGTGATATACCCTTTAATTATAATGTTTTAATTTGTCTAGAGTAAAATAATTTTTTAAATACCGTTTCTAGACAACTAATAATTGCATTATTTCCCTTCTTTAGTTTTTTAGTTTTACTATGTATTACAAAAATCAAATATTAAACATACTGGATGATCCATTTAAGTGGATACACTCATTATTTCAGAAATAATTAAATTTTTCCAAAATTAATTTTCCAGAACGTTTAAGATATAAGCTACTCTACAATTTTATACTTAAGTTATTTTTTGTCACCCTTATTTTTTTGGGTAAAACCACTACCTACTTTTGGTTTTACTCTTTTAAGTATGGATTGGAGAAGTGTAGTGGAGTATAATTTGTTTGGCGTGTTAATAATACACCACTACTCTCCTCCAATACAAACTTAAAAGTGGAATATCTCGTCAACGAATCGACGGAAATCAAAAATTTCAACAATAAAATATGTTTTAATTAACACTCCATTTATTCATAGACTTTTTAATATAGGTTGTCATTTGAAAATCAATAGTAGGTAGTGATTTTACTCCCAAAAATAATAAGGACGACAAAAAATAACATAACTATAAAATTGTGAGGCAGCTAGTTTTATAGATGTTCTAGAAAACAAATTCTGGAAAAATGTAATGCTTTTCGAGATAATAATTGTACCCACTTAAATGGATCACCTGATATTACAAAGATTTTTGATTAAGTCACTCAAAGACAAAAACAAAATTTAAATAAAATAAAATTTTGTATTAAAATTTTAAATTTTAAATTTCCGCCCAGAATCTCACATTTTTTATGAATGTTAAACTATTTGTTTAATCTTCGATTTTATATTTGTTGTATATATTTATATGTATACTAGACGCCCAATAATCACGGACGGTGTAACGTTGATGAAACATAATCCGTTCTGGATTCTAATTCGATCTCAATTCGTGATTCGCGATCGTAACGGACATAACAATCAGCTCTGGACCCAGAAAAGCGTGTCCCCCGACACGGAGCGTGTTCCGCGAAAATCCAAGTGCGCCCCCCGAAATGTATGTACCGAATTTAATATTGTATGTATTCGTTTTTAATGTAGAAATGTTTTTGAAGATGATAACGGTCAATTAATGAGATCACTCTATCCGATACATTGGTATTTATTTTAAATTATATTATTTTAGTAATATTGTTTAAACTTTTACTTTTTTTGTGTCGATAATTTTTAGTATACACTTATTAAGGTATAAATATTATTAATGTATAAGTTATGTAGTGACATTATTGTTTAATGAGCTACGTCCTGCCATAGGTTTTTTTTTTTTTTTTGCTATGCAAATCTATTAACTCTATCGACCGAATTAAAAAGTGTGTCCCCTGAAATCTGATTTATATTTTAGGCCCTGAATCAGCTGATTCGGCTGTTTGTCGAATTTAGAATTTATATGATTGTCCTCTGCGGTATATTTCTTAAAACTCATTCCGGCCGTTTTTAAATTGGCCGGCACTAAAATTTTCCCAAGTCCATACAAATTTATGGTGTTGGAATGGGGCAATTTTTGGAGTTTGTTGGGTAAAATATGAAACTGATGATTGATTCTGATGCTTATTATGCTGCTGCTGCTGAAAATTATTATTATTTAAGTGATGATTATTCTTATTCAGATTATGCTGATTCTTATTATCATGATTTTTTTGATGCTTATTATGCTGCTGCTGATCATTATTATTATTTAAGTGATGATTATTCTTATTCAGATTATGCTGATTCTTCTCATTCAGATTATGCTGATTCTTATTATCATGTTGTTTTTTTATTTTGATGCTTATTATGCTGCTGCTGATCATTATTATTATTTAAGTGATGATTATTCTTATTCAGATTATGCTGATTCTTATTATCATGTTGTTTTTTTATTTTGATGCTTATTATGCTGCTGCTGATCATTATTATTATTTAAGTTATGATTATTCTTATTCTGATAACGCTGATTGTTATTATGTTTTTTTTGTTGATGATTATTATTATTGTTGTGCTGATTATTATTATTATTATTTAAGTGATGATTATTCTTATTCAGATTATGCTGATTCTTATTATCATGTTGTTTTTTTTATTTTGATGCTTATTATACTGCTGCTGATTATTATTATTATTTAAGTGATGAGTATTCTTTTTCTGATAACGCTAATCCACTGCACTGAGTTATGCAACAAAAATGGACGTTTAGATCGTTGTTATATTTACATTTGTATGGTTTCAGCATTTTTCATAAAGGCGCAATGCAACTTCCGTGCATTTTAGTGATTGAAGTAATTCTCCAAGTGCAAAATTAGTTGAATAATAGCTATTTAAAGTTATTACTTCCTGTAAGTCATATTTCTGGAACTCAGCTAATTTTTGACCTAGAAAGTTGGTTCAACCACTTAAATTAATGAAAAAAATCGTTGTCCATAGAAATTACCATGTGCATGCACAAATCTAAGCATTTGTATAAAATACTGAGACAATAATAATCGCGTTTTTCCCGATTTCCCCGTGTTTTTTCCAGACTATCACATTTGCTAAGAAAACTCTCGGAAAAATCGAAAAATTACCTGTTTAGAATACCTTCACAGTCAAATTTAATTTCAAAAAAGTGCGATCATTGTAAATCGAAGCAAAATTGCTGATAGAAAGGTTGTACATAGAAAAAAAAAAAGGCCGTAATATATTTTGACTGATATGTATCATACATTTCTAATATTTTCCGTTTTTTTTTCGGTTTTTCAAATTTGATGTTGTGCATGGATAAAAAAAAAATAAACATCTTTAACCATAAGCTTCTCTGCTCCACTCAGAATCTAAAAACTATAACCTAGTAAGTGATAGCATTAAAAAAAATTAAAAGGTAGAACCCGTCTGGAAATAGAAAAAACTAAGGATCAAGATAGAGTGAAAGTATACCGAGGAAAACTAAATAATGAACTGATAAAAGCAATTAAAAATACAGAGCAAAACCTTGAAGATATCTGGAACATATTTAAAGATTCAATAAACAAATCAGCAGAGGTATTTAAAAAAGAAAACGCATTCAACGGTAAGTATTCGTGGTTCAATGAACGGTGCAAGGAAGCCATAGAAAGACGCACGGAACCAAGATTAAAAATGATACAAGACTACAATAAAGCTGCAAGCAAAATATTAAGGCAGGAAAAAGAGCAGCCGAAAAACGACTTATTCAAAAAATAGAAGAACATAGGCTCAATCCAAGGTTGTTCTTCAAAAAATGCAGATCGGTAAAAGAAGGCTTTAAAGCTCAAACTCGTATGGTCAAGGACCACGAGGGAAACCTGATAACGGATGAAGAAGGAATCATCCAGAAGTTTCAAGCACATTTTAAGAACATTCTAAATGTCGACCAAGAAATAAGGGAGGAAAATGTAAGTATGATCTACGATACAGCGTCTTCTAGATAAAATCTCGACCTTAAAAAACAACGAAGCCCCCGGTGAAGATAATATTAACTCTGAGCTATTAAAGATCGGTACTCAACAACTTATGACCAAAATTCACGAGCTACTAAAAGAAATATGAGATACTAATCGAATACATGAAGATTGGAAAACAGCCGTTATCTGTCCCATATACAAAAAGAGTGATCCTATGGATACAAGCAATTATCGGGGAATCACGGTACTAAACTCATGCTACAAAATCCCTGGCATTATTACGCAGGTTGGAGGTATACTATAGAGACTTACTAGGAGACTATCAAAGTGGTTTTTTGAGAGGAAAGTCCACCTCTAATTATATTTTCATAATCAGACAAGTGATGGAAAAATTCTAAGAATTCGCAAATGATATCCACATGTGCTTTGAATCCCCAAGAAACTTATCGATCTCATAAAAGCTCGCAACGCGCGTACTGTATACAAATTGGAGTTTTGCAACAGCACATCTGACAGTTTTGATGTTAGCACAGAACTCAAACAGGATGATACCCTGTCGCCAGACCTTTTCAATCTAACGCTTGAAAAGGTGATTAGGTCAATACCAATGCATCAAGGCATATACATATGGATGCATCTGTTGTGATAGTGAAGCGGACTAGTTTAATGAGCAGACCGTAAAACGATTTCAAATTTTGAATCGTAATTAATATCATTCAGTGTCGTTACTAGGAGGGGGGAGGTTATATGGGTGATATATCAACCTCTCAGAATTTTTTTTTCTACATTAAATATTCTTAGTACAATATATATACGTTACAATTTTTTAAAGTACACTTATATATTCCGCATGATATGCAATATTACTAATTCTTATTTAATAATCAATCGTTTTGTTTATTAATAAAATTATATTTTTATCTATTTAAATTTTGATAAGAATATTATCCATGATTGTAAAGAATTGTTCTGTATTGTTGGTATTGCTATTTGCTGTTATAGATAATACATATTTATTATCTATGTTTCCTGTAGACAATAGTCAGAACCTATCATTGTATAACTATTATTGTGGTAGATATGGTATTGCATTATATCATTAGTATCAATGATTAAATGATAGCCTATAGTCAAGAACAACAAAATATTTTGATCTGTATTTATGATCTGTTTTCACTTTTGTATTTTGTTAATTGTATATGATTTTAAATATTTTGGAGCGATATCTGGTATTAAAAAATATGTATAAATAAATGAATGCGTCGCCTGGAGTTTTAATTAGATTATCGACAACAATTAATTTACAGGTTTATCTCTTTAATTAAAGAAACGATAACTACGATAGCGATTAACACTGTAATAGCGATGAAGATGACGATTTAATTGCTGAGTAAAAACTATTATAATAAAAAAATGTTCTTGATTCCGTTTAGATTTCAAAACATGTAGTATGGATAACCTAAATCGATGATAATTATTTAAAACTTGATATATATAATTTATTTTTCTCTTTGAGGGGGACACAAAATTTTAAAGTTGTACTATTTACCCGTTTCTGAATATTATATAAATAATAATGCATCAAAAGTGATTACATATTTAAATATTATTTCTCACTAATTCACATTCCTCTGTATTTACTAATATTGTATACAAGTTATATTTTATTATTTGTATAAAATAAGAAAAAAAAGGATTTAAAATTATGTCATCTATTTTTGCAACTCTTTTACCAAGTATTAAGGCTAAAGCGGTGAAAGTTTCATACGTATAAAATAAATATATACATGTTAAAATCATATTCATTTCAGTTTAAACTCATTATTATACATAATAGTATTGTTAGACAGTATCAAACTAAATTTTTCGATATAATTTCAGACTCTAGTAATCTCGATAACAGTGGTAATTCATTCCAAAACTTGTATTCATCCATGTATGGTTTTTTAGACAGGACAGGCGTACTGGAATTAATCAATAAATATTCCAAATTTTTAATACTGAATAACGGCCATTTGTTCCCCTTATCAGTGCCGTCAATTGTAAGACCCCTATATTAGAACACAATATACGTATTTAGATAATTATAAAAGTATTAAAATTTATTTCGTTTAGACTGCTAAGAGGATTTTTGCATATAACGTACTCAGTGCTAGCGAAACGCGTCCACAAGTCTACTAACAGTTTAGATACTTTGAGATCATCTCCCTTTAAAGGTTCCTGATCTTTCATCGGAAATAGACTTATCATTTCATCGCCGTGTGTCACGCCTATTTTTTTCGTACAGGGTCCGTATAACGAATTAAATGTCATCTCGTTGGTATAATCATAAACGTAAAAATGCACCGGTGACGTCATATTGATCGCCATATCAATTATAGCTTGTAGGAAAATTCCACCTGTAACCATCTGCAAAAATATTGAAATGAATAAATAAAAAAAGAGCTAATACTGGGAATAGGAGCAGCCACTGTTGTGAGTGAGAAATCGGGAAGGTACATAGGTTTATTTCATTTATATATATATATATAAGCAACAATAAACCATTGTTTGACGAAAGACAATTCTAAACGCAGATCAGTAATACATAATTTGAAGTGCCGTCATATTTTTTTACGATTTTCGTTTAAATTTTTTAAATTTAAATTGTATGTGATTTGTAAGTATTTTAAAAGCGAACCTACCTTGACCGCTTGCGTTGTATTATCCAAGTTTCCGTCAGGAAAATAATGTTCGAATATTTTCCTTCCGACTTTCAGAATATCGGACATTTGCGTTGTATACTTGTAAATTAAAAGCGATGAAACGTAATGTTCAAAATGTTTCTTTAACCGTGATTCAGTAAGGTGACCCGTTCCGTTGTATAATCCTACAAGAAAGAAAAAAGAAAATAATATCTGCAAAATATGAAGCTGTAAAACTAAAATAAAATGAAAATATACTGACGGGCGACGAAAAGACCGCCTTCGCCAGAGTTCATTCCTATTAATACCGGAACGTTGGATTCTTGATTAAAATCGAGTAATGGATATCTGGACAAAAACTGTTCGGTTTTACTATTGAATTGTTCGACGACGGGCATAAACGTTATTGCCGGATAAATTGTCCATTCCTGTAATTAATAAAAATGAACAACACGTGTATTGATAGATGGCTGTCATTCGTATATCGATTGGCGTAATATACTCAACATAACAGAAATAAATTATTGAATCAAATTGGCTAATGTCAACTTTTCGTTAGCAGAACCAATTCTATATGAAATTCTATATTGGTTTTAATATAAATTAGAGTGAATTGGTCTATTGTCAAACTTAAAAATAAAGACCATAAGTATAACTAGGGAGGGCTGAGGGCTTAGCCCCCAAATTTACTAACAGCTCCCTCAAAATAAATAATATTTTATATGTTATTGAATTAAAAAATAATAAGTAGTTTAAAAATTCGTTTTACTTAAATAAATATATCGAAATATCGTGCATATCGATTTTAAAAAAAAAAACATTTCTTTTCGATTAAAGTCAGGATTAACTTATCTGGTCATCTTATCATCACGGAAATAATGTGCATATTTGTTGTATATACATTGTGGTATCATGCGTAAATACTGGTTTCTGCGGAGTTATCAGTGGCAAAAAAGGTTTATTTACATCGTGATATATATTCTTTATTCATATATTCTGTGGATTATGGTCTGTGATACTATCTTATAACATGTTTACTATCAATATGTAATATGTTTTTATGTTCATACCGATGCACTGACGTTAAATGCTTCAACTCGCGCCACTCCCACCGTTAACGCCGTTCGTTCTCGCGTGTTTGCCGTTTTGTCATTTGTTTTATATTTTAAAAGTTTTATGTCAAATAAAAAAGGCGTTTCGTTGTATTTAATTTTAATAAAAAAAATTAATCGAATTCCAATGACTTTGTTCAAGTTTAACCCATCATTGATGCAAATATCGAGGAAAATTTAAAAAAGATGATAAAGTAATTGTAAATATATAAGTTGGACTACTAACTTAAGTATACTTAATATGTACTGCTTATTTATTTTACCATTATGAATATAGGACCCAAAAGGCGTAAAAAAGAATCAACTAGTCTAAAATAGAATGACATTATAGTTTCAACTGCAGCAGACTCTGAGCATGATTTAAATAAAAATGATTCAGAGACAGAAAGTTATTGGAAATGTAATACGGTTTTTTATTATTATGGACACAACAATTTTAAATATGAAACATAGATTTTCCATGGAAAGTTTACAAATTGCTACATAAACTGATTATAGCGATTTGATTTAAGTGGTAGTTTGTATCTGATTAAACATTATAAAGCAATTAAATCTTTTGTGTTAAAATTTGTTAGATTAGGTAATTAATTAAATCTTTTGGTGAGAACTAATTAAATAAACAAATTCAATTTTTTTGCTAACTGATCCAAACTAATACAATATTTTTATATGTTTTTCTGGGATTTATCTAAAATCAATAAATGTGACTTAAAAAATGATATGACAGTCTTTAAAAATTCATACTATAATAACAAAGAAACAATGAGTTTTAATTATATTCAGAAAAACGTATCCAAAAATTTTCTCACACTTGAACAAGATAGTACAAGTTGTCATTACATTGTCAATTTCCTCTGCAACATCAGAACGTGCATTTTCTGCCATGGGGCAGATAAATACATACTTAAGTTCAACAATGGACAAAGATCGTTTCAGTAATTTTTTCATAATAAGTATTGAAAAAAATATAGAAATTGATCCTGATCAAATTTTACAACAATTTACAACTATATATAAAATAAAAATGAAACTTAAATATTTTGTTAATAATTATTATATAATGTATAAAAGTTATTAAAAGTTAAATGATTTTGTTATATTTTAGTGTATACATTTTAGGATGTGTGGGTAGGTAGATGTGAGGATGAAGCCCTCCAAATGTACTAATGGTATAATATTAAGGTGGGGCTGTAACCTCCCTAGGATTGTGTGCTAATTGTGTCACTGGTAAAAACATTGTCTGTGTTAGTAATTTTTTTTACTTAATTTAATTTTAAGCAAGATACGAGGATTATTAAGCTATTTCAAATATTTTCATCTCACTTAAAAATTAAAATAAAAAATAAACTAACGTATGAACACTATGAACTCTAATTCATCTCTTATATAAAAACTAATAGCACAAAATTGGTTCTACTAAACAGAAAATCACTCAACATGAACCGTAACATATGTATTATAATATAGGTAGCATATTTACGAAGAAATTGTAATGAAGATCCACCAACAAGTCAGCGGGCATTTTTCTCAAACAGTCTGCTAACTGTTTCGAATCCGTGGGACACCCAGCAATGGTGGACATAGATAAAGCTCTTCGTTTGGCCCAGCCCGGCGGTGAAACAGCCCATCGGCACAATGGCGAGCCACTTTCTATTATTGCTTTGTGGAATAGCCCTACAAAACCGAGATGTAAATAATATTTAGTATTATACACATCGCAAAATAAAAACAATTATAATTAAAAATACACTCTAGGATAATGGGGTCGGATGCAACCACTGTTATAGGTAATTTAATGTATACCTGTAAGCAATGATAAACTATTGCTTACGAAAAAGCAATTCTGAGCGGAGTTCAGTTGATAGTGGTGCTTTGTCAACAATATGTATGTCATATTATAGTTAAATAATAAAATAGGTTTTATATATTTTCTTCAATAATATTTGTTTAATGTTGTACCGATTTTCCCGGTTTTCCTGCATTTTTCCCAGTTTTCCCATGTTTTTTCCGGTTTTTCTCATTTGCTGAAGAAACTCTTGGGAAAATCGAAAAATTACCTCTAAAAACTACTTCCTCAATCAGATTTCCTGACTTAACCTAACCTGTAAATCGGAGCAAAATTGCTAGTAGAAAAGTTTGCACAACAAATTGAGGGATATTTTGCGATTTAAATAGTCCGAGCGAGCGATTGCTGGGTCTCTAGGCACACCCAAAATTTATTTGTTTTTTCCTTGTTTGGGTGAAAAAGAAAAAACTTGCAAACAATTTTTTTCGAAACACGGGTTCAAACTCACAAACCCCAGGATGAAAATAAGTATGTATGGTTATATATACATACCATTCAGCTACGACATACATACTTTAGAAAAGACATTATTTAGTAATTTAACATAACATATAATATCAGCATAATATCAAAACTTCAAAAAGCTATAATTTCGAAACTTAATCCACTCAATTATGACTTCAACATCGTTCTTAAATCAGAAATATACATATGTTAAAAAAATTAATTGAAAATTAGATTTGTTCCACATAATTTTTTACTCGACGATTTTCAATTTGACACATTTCAGGTACTTATATTATTCATAAATAACTATTTTATATTGTTTTATAATATATGTATATGTAAATATATAAATATAAATATATATATATCATAATTTATCTTCATAAATGTATTATTTTAAATGCACTCTTACAAAAAAATAAATAAATAGAACACTTCCATAATTTTAGTCACATTATCATTAAAAATACATAAAAATAATAAAATGTCTGGTCCTCTATCGGGTAGGCAGCGAATCTAACGGTGTATTTAATGTTACATCAATGTTTTCAATAAACCGATAAGCTAACTCTTTACACCTTTTTAATCCACCTTGATACATACCTTTACTCATCGGCGATAACAAATGTAACCCGACACTGACGGCCCCGGCACTTTCACCAAATATCGTAACTCTTTTCGGATCACCGCCAAATATAGGTATATTTTTTTGAACCCATTTCAATGCCAATACTTGATCTTTCATACCGTAGTTACCAGGCATTTCGTCGTCTTCGGTACTTAAAAATCCTGAATCGTATAAATAATTTTTGAATATTATTAAGTTATATAGTATACTATTATATTATAAACCTAGAGGTCCGACTCTATAGTTTATGGTGACGAGAACAACTTCCTTATCAAGCAAATATTGAGGGCCGTACAAACTTGAACCTCCATGCCCTGAACTAAAACCTCCACCGGGAATCCAAACCATAACTGGTAACCGACGGTAATCCCCGAATTTGGGTATCTACGATTTTAAATATAAAATATAAATTACATCTAACAAGAATAATACAGAGTGATTTTTTCATCGTGAACAATTATCTCGAAGGATTTTAAGTGAATTTGATTTCTGTTTTTTAGGGAATAGTTTAAACTTTATTTTAAACCATTTTTAACTTGTCAACCCCTAATCCGTTTAGTATATACTAAGTATATAATAAGTATATACTTTCGTTTTTTAAATAGAAACTCCCGTTTTGAACACAGATTCGAATACAGAATATTTTTTTAAATATAAAAAAAAAAATCAAAGTCAAAAGGAATCAAATTCACTTAGAATACTACGTCGAGATAATTGCTGGTTCATGATGAAAAAAATTCCCTGTAAGTTATCGTTTTATTTTTTGATCGTTATGTATTATCGATTTAATGTATGTAGATATTACCCTCGGTGTGTATACGTTCAGATACAAACAGTCCTCGTCCCCGATAATTTCGTTTAACGTCTGATACATAAACAAATTTTTCTGAATACAAATGTTCGGTTGGGTGTTAGTGTTCAGAATACCTTTCCATGATTCTGCCGGCACCGGTTCCTAAATATGAAAACCATAATAAACTTACCATATATAGAAGTCCTAGGAAGAACCAATGAAAGATGATTAAAAAAATATATAAAAAGATTAGTTATGTACGCTTGAAGAAATATTGTCCAAAATCAGAAAAATTGAGGAAACTACTAGCTCGTACAAAGCTATATAAGCCAGAGATTAAAAAAAAAACATGTTACTTCCTTTTTAAAAAAAGAGTATTGGATCTAAATCTGAGTGTTAAAGGCGGTTCTGAAAATATTTTAGAATAAATTAATTATTAAAAAGTAAAGGTTAGATTTAGTAAAATTTAAAGCCTAAAACATTAGATATCAATTAAAGTGATAATATAATACTCGTATTTTGATTATGATTATGGTTAAAGTTGTAGTTATTTGTTTTATTATTTATAATTAAAAAGATGTTTGAAAAATAAAAATAACATTTATAGTATTAGGTACAATGTTGTTGTCATATGTAAACAGGGTAATTCACTAAGCGTGCTCACCCGATTTGTTTGGTTAAATTTTACATGTATATTCAAATTCTGTTTTTTAAAATTTTTAAGTGTAATTAAATGCAATAAGAAGACTTAGATTATTAGATAGAATATTACTTTAAATAGGTTTTGATTTTAACATTTTTGATTTCCGTCAACCCGTTAACGAGATATTTCACTTTGAAGTTTAGGAAGGGGGAGATTAATGAAGTATTATTTTTGTGGCGGCACGGCGTGTGGCGCTTTATTAGTACAAACGCTTATTGAATCACCCTGTATAGGTAATAGATATATAATATTATGTTACGGGCGTCTCTTCCCTTCAATAATATGCAATACTAATACAATATTTTTGAAAGTTTAGGTATGTGAGTAGCGTGTTCCAAGGTGAGTTGCACCTTAGGGCTTAGAGCAAATCAATCACACGGTGGCCATCTGATGCAACAAATCTATATTTATCAGCCGCGAAACGGATTATCAGATATGTCTCAGCCAAGGTATCTCGAGGAATCTCGAGTATAATTTATAGACTGACCCTCGGATAAATTCACAAAGAAACCGTGCCGCAATAAATGCGAACTATTATAGTTATAATACAAGGTGATCCATTTAAGTGAATACACTCATTATCTCGGAAGTGTTAAATTTTAGATTCTGAGTGGAGCGAAGAAGATTATGATTTTATAAAGAGTTTTAAGTTAGGCTTGCTGTAATTTATAATGGTAGAAATTTGTCTAAAAAGAAATTCGACTGGGGAGGTACTTTAAACGGGTCATTTTTTAATATTCCCGAGAACATTCACAGCAAATGTGAAAAACCAGGAAAAAATATAGGAAAACTAGGAAACTTTCCATCACAATCTAACCTAACCCCGTTGACGAGATATTCTACTTTTAAATTTGAGTAGAGGGAGTAATGGTGCATTATTAACACGCCACACATCATGCTACCGTAAAAATGATGCCCCATTACTCTCTTCTGATCCAAACTAAATGTGGAATATCTCGTCAACGGGTTGACAGAAAAATTACAATTTAATACCGATATTTATTTTAAATAATATTCCAGCTTTATACATAACCTACATGTATGATATATATATATAACATAAATGTAAAATTGTAGAGTTGCTTATTTCTTAAATTTTCTATAAAACAAATTCTGAAAAAAGTTAATACTTTCCGAAATAACGATTGCACTTACTTAAATGGATCAACTTGTGTAGGTGTTCACCGATGTCTGATATGATTTATAGACTTTTATTAAAATACCTATGCACAGCGTATTTTTTACTTGATTATAAGAGTTCAAAGATCAAAATGTGTAAGTTCTATTGTAATAAAGTTAACGTCTAGCTACGCAATTACATTTTTTTGTTGAAAAACACGTAATAAGCAAAACTAGTTGGGGGGTCTAGGTCATAAATATCGGCAACCACCAACGCCTTTTCAGACGAGTCTGGAGCTATCAAATGTGAACACCTTCACGCCAGATTATTTTATGAATATTAATAATAGTGTTTCAATATTTTTGACGATTAATAATATACTTATAAAATTGCGTTCATCATTTCTCACTATATGAAGGCTATGTGAAGTTATAACTCATCTGGAATTTAGTGTTAAAACGATCACCCATAACAATTACATATTTCCCTAATTCATTTAGATACAATATTTTAGATTAAAAAAGATTATTAAATTAATAACTGCAAAATTCACCAAATCCTCAGAAATTATGGAAAAGCAATTAAGTACACTTTCATAAAATTTAAATACATTATTTGCAAATATAGATTCAAAACTATTTTATTCAAAGGATTATTAACTTAATATTTTCCAAAACAAAATTAGGTATGTACATCTAGTTAACATGTTGAAAGTTTATACTATTTTATAATGCTTATTGTCAAAAATTATTTATGTATGTCTTGACTGTTTATGTATGTATTGACTTAACGCCTTTTGTGTGCATGAGGATGATAAATATTAATATACTGGAGTGTGCGGTAAATAATGTGCTAACCTTAAATCTAAGATCCCCGATCGGCGGTTTGGCATAGGGTATTCCTTGAAACGCGTAAAATTCCCGTCCATCTCTTGATTTTAACACACTACCTTTTATCTGTCCTTGATGTATTTGTAAAACGTCTTTTGTACCGAATACCAGTCCCAAGATCAACGTAATATTACCAAATAATAACTCCATGTCTGCGGCTAAAAAAAAATGTATTTATTTTTTATAATCACTTACTTATATATTTAATTAGACACATATTTAATGTGAGTTAAGGCACTGAGAGCAATCACCCCTTGCCCCTATAAAATCCATATAATATTAGTCTTTCTAACTATCTTTAAAATCGAAAACCGTTTCTTTAGGAATAAAGAATAAAGTGGTATTGTATATTATGGTATAAAGCAAATTTTTTATTTTTTTTGCCATTAAATACAGCTAGGTTTATCATAATTTTATAATAAACCAAAATTATTAAGAACTTGTATACACTTGAATATTTGTATCTGTAAAAGCTAAAAAAAGAAACTTAAAAACTCGAACATTTCAAATAAAGCCACATTATTTTGAAAAATATATCACCTGTAGAAAATGCTAATATCAGTAGTTAGATATTCGGTAAAAATATCAATTCTTTAAGGTTATTTTCACTACACTATAGCAAAATTGCCAAATCGATGTTAACGGATACTGTTCTTGCATAGATATTCCCAGTTCTCTCGTGTTTTTTTTTTTCAATTTTCCCCATTATTTAAAAAGTTAAAAAATCGAAACATTAATTAAATAATATATTATGCTAGGAACCACTAACATTTTAATGATTAGAGCAACATTTCCTAATAGATTAAAAGTGGCTCAAATTTCTTGAACATTTGACCACGTCTATAAAAGACAAATATAAGTTGTCTATCAAAATTTCAAGTATTAACAAATATTTTAAACTGAATTATAACAAAAAAACAAAATTGAATTTTCGTAAATTTTCCGGTTACTTCTACGTTTCCTAATTATTATGAAAAATACTTAGAAAATCAAAAAAAGATCTGTGTATATAAACCATCTAGATAAAATTTCCATTCAGAGACTCTACATATCAGAACAAGATTTCTTTTCGAAAAGATGTGTACAGACAAAAAACATACATACGTAGTAAAACCAATCCCTACTCATTCCTTGCTTAGTTGAGAGTTTATTATAACCTAGAAAACATTTATATTATAAATGGCAATTATGCATAAAACGAGGAACAAGTCTACGTCAAAATCTTGTATGACGACACCTTGAATGACAAAATCTTAAAACGAAAAAACCCCCGAAATCTAGAATAAATAATTTCGGCAAAACCTTGAATGGCAAACATTTGAAGAACAAAATCTTGAATCAGCAAAATCTTGAAAAAAAATTCGTGCAAAATGTTGAACAGCAATATCTGGAACGAAAAAAACTTGAACAAAAATTGTCGGTAAAATCTTGAACTGTAAGCTCTTGATCGACAATACCTATATCAGTTCATTTTCTAAGGAATATAAAATTAGCCGGTTCGAGATTTTGCCGTTCAAGGATTAACCATTCAAGATTTTGCTGTAGACCCTACATTTTTACGGTATATATTGGAAAACGGAAAGCGTAAAAATTTAAAATAATGAAATCGTAACGCCGTAAATTTATCAGTTTCAATTTTCGTTTTTTTCCGGTTTTTCCTAATTATTAATAAAAACATAGGAACATTAAAAAGCGACTTATTTAATCACCAACTAAATTGTAATATTCAATAAATAGATTTCGTGTTGTTTTTCTATTGGAGCAATTCTGTTATAGAAAAAATGAGCCGTACAAATTTTAAATAAAATCATTGCACCATAATTTGAAAAAAATGTCGTATTTTTGGTTCTTTTGGTTTATCTTAATTATCATTATTATGAAAAATCATTTTAATAGCAATAAAGGACTTTCTCTCTTAGTGACTGCACATATATTAAAAGGACCAAAATCGATTCATAGTCATTCCTCAATCAGAAGAATATTTCTGTTAGTAAACATGGTTTGCAAAAATCAAAATAATTAAACTTGGACTCTAAGTTATCGTAAATATTAATCAATTTTAAGTTTTTGATTTTTCCCAAGTATTATGGAAATTACTTTAGGTATTAAAAAAGTGCTTTCTTTATTAATGGGTATATATTTAAAAGAAATAAAATAGATATTTTGTCATTTTTTAATTCGAGCAACAATTCTGGTGGAAAACATCATATATCTAGACAAAATTAAAGTAATGAAATCGGTAATGCCGTGATGGGCCGTAAATATTTACGTTTTAATTTTCTTTAGGATTTTCCAAATTATAATGAAAATCCCTTATAAAATCATTAAATTACCTCACTAATGCACCAACTAGACAAAATTATTTTTCAGAAAATTTAGTAAAACCATTGATTTTATAATAAACCAATAGTTAATAGATCCTTCGCTACGCTGCAAATCTAAAATTGACGCATTAGTATAAAAATAAGTATAAATTAAATGATTTGATTAAAAATATCGCTTGTTTAGAATGCCAAATATAATATTAATTATTTAAATTTATTTATTATAAATTACTTTAAATAATTAATAAAATAATACATATTTATTATATTTTAATAAAAATATTTATTTTTTTTTTAAACAATTGTCGAAAGCATAACTTACTTCGGTAATCCAGCAATGTACGATCGTACAGTTATAATAATATTGTATCGTTTAAAACTACGAGTAAAAATTTGTATCGAATTTGTTCGAATAAACCAACTGCACCGTCACCGGCATTGTCATTGGCTCGAATTTTGAACACGAAAAGCAGGTACCGAATATTCTGATTCTAGATTAAGAGGTCATCAGGTCAGGTCAGGACTCGTTATATCACTCATTATAGATGGATATAAAAGAATTAAAAAGTTAATGAAATTTAGATTTTATTGCACCTACATAACAAGTAATATTTTATTACCAATAATATAGATTTAATATATGCATAGAATTATACCTACCTTAAAATATCCCCGTTGAATTCTTTCCACTCCAATATCAGAATAATGATAGTAACAACATCTTTATTTAGTGTCAGTATTTTGGTTCATCGTTTCGATTAAATGAGCAAAAATATGCGCCTTATATTTGCATTAATAATAGCAAATTTAATTTTATTCTAACACGTGATTCACCAAACGAAGGTTAATCAAAAAACAAAACATATACAAAAGTATAGAAACTGTGAATTTTTTCTTTTATTATCTCGTAATGTTTGATTTTATTAATTTAAATATTATGGATTAGCGGGTCTCGAACTACGTGTATCGCTAATGGTATGTGATAAGCAACATAGTGGTACACAAAAGACCGAATGGGAGTTTGGAAAATTAATTATTATATGTGTATATTAATACATACAAATTTTTTTGATGGATCTAATACTATTTTATATTTTAAATTTTTATAATGTTAATATAATATTTCGGTAACCACAGTTTTTTTCACAACCTTTGACACAACTACATGATGTAATAATACAAGAAACGGATAAATAAGAGAGAACAATGATATGATAATAATGAACAGGGTGGGTTACTTTGATACCTATGTTAATGTGGTATTTGAACTACTACCTTCTTCCTGCTGTTCGAAAAGATACTGGCTCCTGAGTCCGAGAATAATGACGATACCAATAAATAGAAACTATAATTATTTTACACGGTGTTGGAACGCTAGGGTTATTAATCGCAGGTATCCTCACATGATCCTAAGATTGCTGGGTGACAGTGACAACTCAATCGAGATAAACTAATTTAATTTATTAACAATTTGCACCTGTATACACACAGATACAAATATTAAAGTTTAAACTAGAATAGAGAAAGATTGGTGGTAGATACTGGTTGTATGTTTGGTTCGCGACACAATGATTTTTAAAAATATTTCTCGAGTGGTTAAGCTAAAAAAACCTATATTTTGTATAATCGATGACTTATCGTTGCTTACAGACTTAAATAAAATAACCATATATATCCTAACTTCCCAATTTCTCACTTACAATAGTGGCCGCTCCCATCCCCAGTATTAGCTCTTTTTTTTATTTATATATTTATTTAAGTTTATTAACCATTTTAATAATTTTGTTTTACTTTATTAATTTATTGTTGTATATGAAAAATTGTGCACCTGATTGTGTTGGGATTGATGGATCATTTGTATAGACGTGTAGTATCGGAGCCAAGACACTGCCCTGGGGGAGTCCATTTCTCTGAGTTCTCCATCTACTATTTTTCCCCTCCAGGACTACAAAAAACCGTCAGTTGTGGAGTAGTGCCTCAACAACTAGTGTGTCGAAAAAAACCGTTTGCATTTCCTCCCCCCCTTTTACCAAAACTAGGAAACAACATATGCATTTTGGGACCCATGACATCACTCGCTCGAACTATTTTAATCAAGAAATAATCCTCGATTTGCTGTGCAAACTTTTCTACCAGAAATCTTACTCCGATGTATCAAGTGTAACTTATTTTATGAAAGAAAATTTTATCTCCACGGTAATTTAGGAAGGATATTTTTTCATTTTTCAAACAGTTTTCAAAATTTCTGGAAATAACCACGATAAAATGTCAGAAAAACCGAAAATTTACGAAATCTAGATATTAGTAAAAAATATTATGGCCTCTTTTTATCTGTAAACAACTTTTCTACCAGAAATTTTGCTATGATTTACAAGACAGCACTTATTCTGGAAGGAAATCTGACTGGGAAGGTACTTTAAAGAGATCACTTTTTAATTTTCCCAAAAGTTTTTCCAACAAATGTGAAAAAATATTAAACAAATATCATCAAAGAAAATGTAACATAAAATAACATATATATTGTTGACAAAGTATTATTATCATCTAAACTGTGCTCAGAATCGTTTTTTCGTTAGCAATGGTTTATCATTGCTTACAGGAATACATTAAATTATCTATAACTCTTGCTATATCAGTCTTTATTATCCTAAGACGTATTTTTTGTGTATTCTTGACAATTTTTTTTTTCCTTTGGATGGACCACTTGGTTTGCAGTTACTGTTCTTGTGTTCTCATAATAAAAACAATAAAAATGATAACATCGCGGCGCATCGTAAACATTTGCCGGTTTGCCTATAGTTTTCTTTTGGGTATTACCAATTTTTCCGAAATACTATTTTAAAAATCAAAAAATGACCGCCTCGATACACTAACGAGAGAAAATTACCTTTCAGAAAAGATATATAGTTAAGACTATAGTTAGTCTATACTTTGGAGTAAGCTTTCATGTAGAAAAGTTCATTGACACAAAAAAAAAAAAAAACACATCATATTAAAACCAATAAATCCCTCGCTAGTCGCTACGCTTCGAATCTAAATAAATAAATCAATCTTACCTATCAAAAATATAAATAAATAATAATGAGTGAAAACAGGTAAAATTAATTTGTACATTTTAAGTTATTATATTGGATTGCACTATTTCATTTAGTAAATAATTTTTGTAGAAATGTATCAACTGATTTTCCATTTTAGCTATCCAAAAATCATCATCTCGCTCAAAGGATAAATATGGGTAAATTATAACAATATTAAATTAAGGTTCCGCTGTAAATAACTTTACGATAATGACGAGGCACTCATTTACATTCAGCCCACTTCTGTGACAGTGATAAGGAAAGTGGACATGAAAGTCGGCAACGTGAATATGTAAACACATCACTCACTTTGACCTTGCTCCTCGCATTGTCGCAAGCAGCAATATAACTGGCAATGTGAGTGTGAGCATGTGCTTACATTCTGTTCAAATGTAGTTATCACACAAATGTGTAAAGAAGAATGTTGTGTGCGTGTAATTTTAAAAATTAAAATTAAAAATTAAAAATTTAGTGTAATGTATTATTTTTTTGTGATAAGAAAAAATGTTGATGAAAATTACGGTCTATAAAAACGTGTATAACCAAACTTCGCTCCGAATCGTTTTTCATTAGCAATGGTTTATCGTTGCTTACAGACATAAATTAAATCACTTTATGCATCCTACCTTCCAAGCTTCCTACCCACAACAGTGGCACATCTGTCCTCAGTATCAGATTTTTATCTCGTTAAAAATGAGCAAATTAGCCATAATAAGGTCTGTCAATATTAAATCATAATTATGGTATATTATTATAAGTTGTAATATCATAGTATATGACATATCAGACTATCAGAGAAATTATTGTTACATTGAAAATACCTAAAATACCGGTATAAATCTTAATACTAAAACACAGGTATCAATAACTTAGCAATACCCTTAGTCCTACTAATGATATAATATGACCTATTGTATACTCAGTAATGATACGAATACGGTGAACAACCAATGTAAGGCAATACTATTGTGAATAATATTATTTAAATGAATTATAATACATTTTAATATATTATTACTACACAAATATTATTGAAAATCAACAACGGACTACAAAATAATAGATTAAACCTAAAATCAATGCATTGGACCCATTACACGAATATTATTAATATTACAACTCTTCTTTTGCAAAATTATTATGATGTTCAAACGCTAATACATTTTCAAACATTATTTTATTTAAATTAGAAAGCATAGGCAAATCGTTCCAAAATTTGTACTTTTCTTCAAACGGATTTTCCATAATACTAGGACGCTCCGAGTCTATGTGCAAGATTTCTCGTTTTTGTGCATCAGAGTTAAACGCTGGCCAAGGAAAACCATTTTCCGTTCCATCCACAGTAGGTATCCTATAAAAATATCGAACATACTATCATATTTTAATATTTATAACTCATTGGGAATTGTAAATTTTTAAATTAAAATTAATATGCTTACATGAAAGTATATATTGGTAATATAATATACATATAAATATATCATTACTAATAAGTAGTTAAATTAAAATATCTATTGCGACTTTCTCGCTTACTCTGACGTGGCAAACTTCGTCCAAATGTCGACCATAAGCTTCGAGACCGCAGTATCCATGCTATTTAACTCTCGAGGATTTATAGCGTTTAACTTGAACAAACTAGTTAACTCGTCACCATGTGTCACTCCTAATTTTCTAGTACACTTCCCGAACAAAGTGTTGAATGAATATTCGTTTTGGTAATTGTATAAGTAAAAATACACCGGCGAGGACAGTTTAAAAGCCGTACCCAGTATACCATGCAAATAACTACCGTCTGTAATCATCTGAAATGTTATAAATTCGGTTCAATAAAAAAAATATAATTAAAAAATAAAAAAACATTATAAATATACTATATTATTATTATGCATTATCAATACTTTATTAATTTGTTCGAAAATCTATTAAATTACTTGGAGTGTTTGAAAATGAGAATCGTCTTCCATTCTTCCAGACGGGTAATATTTCTCAAATATTCGTCTACCAATTTCATTCAAATTTAATGTAAAATTTCGGTACGCCATTATGATCGACATCAAATGATTGAAATTCGTACGAAATTCAGGATACAGGAGAGATGTATCGTTGTACAAAGCTAAAATTGAAACATATCACTCTCACTTCTCAGAGTATATTTAATAATTAGAGCCCGGATTTCTATATAAAAACATATTTTTAATAGTTGAATACACATTGTGTAATCATGAGAGTAAGATATATTAACGGTTAACAATACAAAAAAATTGTATTTTGCATATAAATGCATATTTTGATGTTAAACGAATGTAATATTAATATAAAATCATTTTTTTTGCATATTTGAATAATATAAAATTAAATAAATTGAAATATTTTTTTAGGAATTAAAAAATTATGTACATTTCAACCGTTGCGATTAATTTTATCTATTTTATAATAATTTATTAATGGCTACGTCGTATAATAGTTTTAAATGCCACTACGGTTTGATAATTGGCAAATGATAATGAAGTGTGAAAATTATTATTTTATTATTTAACATAACATGAATACGGTAAATGACTTTGGTACACAACCTGTTAGTCCAATTTTTGATATCTAGTTATCATTTTACAGACAACAGATCACCTACGGCCCGAATAATTGATAATAATTTGTTATCTCGTAAATTATCACATGTTTTCTTCCAGTGATAATGAGTTATCGTTTTGTATTCGAAATCTAATAAAATTAAAAAATTATTTTTTTATATTTTTGAGTTATAAAAGTTGTTCTTTGATTTACAAGTTTTAATTTAATGAAATGCCAAAATAACGATCTAAAAATATGAGTTAATTATTATTTATTAAATTTGTTTTGCATATAAGTACATATTTAGATGTTAAGAGAATATATTGATATAAAAACATATATTTGCATATTTTAATAATATTTTCAGAGAATATTAGTCGTATACACAAAATTTTAAGAGAATATAAATCCGCGCTCTATTAATAATATGTTTTGGATTGATTAAAATCACATATAACATGCTTTAATGTTTATATTCACCAACGACCTTCATACCACCCTCAGCAGAGTTTAAGCCGATAATGGCTGGCACGAAAGACTCTTGTCGGAAGTCATACAGTTGATGGTGGCAAAGAAACGCTTGTCGGCCCGAATCACATCGTTCAACTACCGGCGAAAACAATATCGTAGGAAACGTGCGCCATTCCTATGAACGTGACGAAATACATATTTTTAATTATATTTACGTTTCGTTCCGATCACGATTGTAAATATTATGGTTATTTAACGGTTTTATTATAGCCAAATGTTATTTTTCGAAAAACATAATATACTATTCACAGCCAAAAAGCCTTAGTATAGTATAGTTAAGTGCAATCCATAAGTGCCTACTATAATTTACAAGAAACAATATGGTTACAATATATTAAGAAATAAAAGTAAATTTTGATTACGAGCAAGTATAAATAACGTTACACAAGGGGGTGCATAAAATATTTAAAAATATTTACTCAGAACCATATGTTGTCGAAAAATATTTTGTAAGAAACGTATTTGCCCGAAGTTGTATTTTATCAGTAACGTATTTGCTCGGAACCGTAAAAATAATAATATTTAATAACATAATTTTTATCATTTATCGCTCCAACAAAAGACATTTCCAATAAAATACGATTCTGACAAAATGATACCATCAAAATACGTAGCCAATAATTTATTTTCTAAAATATACTTTCCACAAAAATACGGTTCCGTGCAAGTATTTTCCAACAAAATTTAGCCCTGTACAATCATTGTTTTTGCCACGTGATATTTAGAGAAATTTCAGATCTCGAGGCTGCTATATAATATTATGGTTAGAGTGATTATTAGTCAACCATTATTTATACAACCGTGATTTCGTGATATAAATTCTTGCAAAAAATAAAAAAAGTCGACTTGCCCAGAGTTTTTCATGGACGTCGGCAAAAAAACCAGCCGGTATCGTTTTGAGACATTGCAATACATCTCTGGAAGTATTTCTGGCACATCCGGCGAGCTTAGCGACGATTTTACTGCGTTCGCGGGACACACCCGGCAAGGACGTACTCCAAAGACACGACGGGGTGCCGCTTTGGAGTATAGCTTTGTGGAACAAGCCCTTACTCATTGGTGACAACATATGATAGCCGACGTTGACCGCGCCGGAACTACCGCCAAAAATCGTCACTCGTCCAGAATCCCCACCGAAATTTGCGACGTTTTCGCTGACCCAACGCAGTGCCATGACTTGGTCTTTCATCCCGTAGTTACCTGGTATAACTTCATCTTCGGCACTCAAAAGACCTGTCGGTGACAAATACGCGTGTATAGATATTAATAATATAGATAGATCACGCCTATGTTTTTTTCATTCGGGCCGCAGTCTAAAAGGGACAGGTCTTTGAAGCACGGCTATCATAGGATATGGTAGATGATATAGGCCTTTTCAACATTAGTTTTATTACAGTACAAGGCAATCTACAAGACCACAAACATGTTTTCCTTTTATTATGGAATACCTATTACGAAATATGAAACATGGTACAGCATTAATTTCAAACCACAGGAGACAATGACTAGCTATATTTTATTTTTTTAAATATTTTTTGATAGTTGACATTGACCACCCCGGAACTACCGCCGAAAATCGTCACTTGGCCGGTGGGGACTTATTATGAAATATGTAACATATTACAGCACTAATTTCAAACCACAGTAGACAATGAATATCTATATTTTATTTTTTTAAATAATTTTTCTTAAGAATATGAGAAAGTTGTTGAAGTTCATGATATCTAAGAACATCCGTGAATTTGACCCCTCCCACTCTTTGTCCGATTGACTTAAAATGTATGCCAAAAAAAAGCATATAATAAGCAAATATTTTTAGTTAATGCAGTTTCAAAATTATAAAATTACTATGTCATTGGTAAATATTAAGTTCTAAACTGAATGCTCAGCGTCTTCAGGTAAAATAGGTTAGAGGTTAGATTAGAACATTAGTCAGAACGCTAGTATAATAGATTAATAATTTTATTATATTTAAAATAATCGTAGTTGTGCACACGGGGGAAACCGGAGTGACTGCCATATACCAGGTGATTCATTTAAGTGGGTTCACTTATTGTCTTGGAAAGTATTAACTTTTTCTGGAATTTGTTTTATAGAACATTCAATAAAGAAGTCGCTCCTCAATTTTAAATTTGTTTTTTTTTGTCACCCTTATTTTTGGGAGTAAAACAACTACCTACTTTTGATTTTCAAACGGCAACTTATATTAAAAAGTTCATAAATAAATTGAGTATTAGTTAAAATAAACTTTAGAGTTGAAATTTTTGATTTCTGTCAATCCATTAACGAGATATACCAATTTTAATTTTAGGTTGAAAGAGAGAAGTGGTGCATTATTAACACGCCGTGCACCGTACCAATACACTAGTGGCACACTGTAATATTAACTATAAAATGTAATATAAAATTATAAAGTATAATAAAAATAAAGAATTATCATATCAGAATATTGATTATTGATTTTGATTACAACTATACATAACGGATTTTTCTTTATTATCTATGATTATAGCGCAAAACATGATACTACCTATTGATGTTAAAAAAAGTTTTTATTGTAGTTACAAAATTAGGTACCGTATTTGGTGAAAACGCATGATAGGTGAGTACATCCTAGTCATAATACTCATAATGTTAGAATTTAACTTATAATTACAGCTACCGCAAGAAAAAAAAAAAATTTAGGGGGGGACAAATTTCCTAATTGCCTTTCTCAAATACACCACTGTACACTTCATAAATGTATAGTATAGTTAAAATACCATTAATAATTAAATATGCCAATTGAAATTGTTTGTTTTAGACATATTTATAAGTAAACTATACTAAATACTATTTGAAAAACATTTTTAAATATTTATTACATCCTAAAAAGTTGATAAAGAGAAAAAAACAATTTTATCTGGCTAAAATTGAATTTGTTCTCACTATGCGGCGCGGCAGCTTCGTCTCGTAACTATGATGTATATAATACTAGAATACACTATATTTATATTAGAAAAATGTATTTAAGTTCAATTAAACACTTTAAGTAGGGGTTGCCTTCCAAAATAAATTAGGTGGTCGCGAATTATAAATGTTTAAAAATCATTCTACATGTTGCTTATAGGAAGATTACTTTCAATTTATACTATACTCGATTTGACTACCTAAAGATACCGAGCACCCAGTTTAGAGCTTAAAATTATTTACTATTACTTTACATTGCTAAAATTTATTAATGATTTGCTACTTTTTTGGTACGTGTTGAAAATCGATCGTATAAAGTTCACGGGCGTCATCTAGGGGACCCACGAAACTTTATGGAATCTGGTGTCTATGATTACAACGTTGTTTTTTCCTCCTATTATTAGTATAATGTATCAGGTGTTAAATACGCCATACCCAACACGCCCAGTCTATAGTTAATCGAAATCAACACCACGTTTTTGTCCATGAAATAATCCGGACCGAACATTTCTGGGCTACCGTGACCCATCGAAAATCCACCACCATGAATCCAAAACATTACGGGGAATTTTTGGTCGTCGGTCACGTTTGGCGTGTACACGTTCAAGTACAGACAATCTTCGTTGCCATACATTTCACTCTTTTGAACGCACGCGTTTGCGGTTCCGGTAGCGTCCAACGTTCCATTCCACGGATCAACCGGTTCCGGAGCCTACAACAATATTAAAATTATTCAAATACATATTTATTTATGTATTCATTTTGAATTATAATAATGTATAATAATGTATGTAAAATATAAATAGTATTACAGTGTGCTATACCTCAAATCGAAGTTCGCCAACTGGTGGTTTTGCGTACGGCACACTCGTAAACGAATAATAAGGTCGTCCACCTCTCGACTTCAAAATTCGACCTTTTAGTATTCCTTTGGCGATTTTTACTCGTACCTCGCAAAATGCAGAGTTAAAAAGTACAAATGCGAACATCACGGTAACCGTGTATAACCATTTTTCATGCACCTAAACGCGCAGTTTACAGGATATAAACAAAATACAAATAAATTATCAAGACTATAATAATAATAATATTGTCTTTTACCCTTCTGGTAATGTGATATTTTTTTAAACAAATTATTCAGAATGTTGTGCAAGGTATAATATAACATTTAAAACGTGATGTAAGAGAAGAACATTGGAAATTCCTTGAAAAAAGTTAAAAATTAGGAATTACACTAATTAAGATTGAAATAACGGGAATTGATATAGATAACTAAATAATAAGGAAAAGAAAACAAAAAATAATCGGCCATATAATGAAAAACAATAAATGGATGCAAACACTAATTGAAGTAAAGATAAATGTTTGAACGAGACATGTCAAAAAAATTAATTTATAAATTTATGAAACATATTATAGAATTATAGAAGTATAAGAAAAACAACTGACAAAGAACTTAAAGTTCTATTTCTTCTCATTCTTCTCCTTCATCCTAACTACTTAGAGTCGACCACTCTTGTCCTAAACTTCAAAGTTATTTATGAGCATTATACATTTCAAATTATGTATCGTTAGATTAGGAAATTTATATGTGTGTAAATGGAGAGTGTTGAATAAAAACGACGTTTAGTCAAAGATATATATTATAGTTACCTATTACAATATTGATTCGATTACCACTATCAAATTTAACGATGTTTCTATTTATTTTTTTTTTATTTTTTGTACAATTTTTCGTTTAAGTATAGTTTTTATACTATAGTCAGCAGTATCGTGCCTAATAAAATCGGCTCTCGATGCCAGAAAAATTTACTGAACCTGAAAAAAGCTGAACCTGTATTAAATTACAGAAGTTTTAAAATTTGGGATCCCTATTCTCAAAGTGAAGAAATTTAACTACTGTTTTAATGTAAAACAAATTTTAGGTAAAAATAATCATACAATAATTAATCACAGTTAAGTGCATAATAAATTAATAACATATTTTAAGTTTTAATTTTTTGAAAAATCGAGAAAATAATGTATGTTTTTTAATAAACTTTAGAATATTTAAATGGCTTTATCTCAGGTTATTTTTGAAAACATAGAAAAAAATTATGTCCATCAAAGTTCCTCGAAAAAGAAAAAAATGGATCCTATAGTGCTTAAAATAGGATTTTGGTAAATTTTATTGCATCTGCACAAGAGTTGGAATGTTTAATATTGACTCAAAATATGTATTTCGGTATTGCAGCCTTCTTAAAAAAAATCCATTACAATCGAAATTTATTCAGCTGAAATATTACGTGTTGCCATTTCAGCGAAACTGCACTCATTACTTACGTATGATTTCAAAACAAATAAAATTATAATATTTTGTTACATACCTGGTATACGGTCCTTGAGAAACGCATGATGATAACCGATAAACAAATACCGTATTCGAGTTTTTAACAATACATTTTGTTACTAATTTATTTCACACATTATACTATATTATAATTTATAAACTCATTAAGCTTGTTATATTTACAGTGTAGGGTATTATAATACTAATTTAATTATTTTAAAATAATATTTTATACTTTTATCGTGAACACACACACACGCGTGCATAAAAACAACATATCATTACATAAAACTGTATAGTATGCATTGAGTAAAAGAAATTAATATGATCATTAGTCCTATCAATAAATAACGATAAGACCGAGTAAATTTGCCGAGGATTATCGAGTTTATATCAATAAAACATTACATAATAATTTGAACGTCGATAGTTTCAACACGTCAACACGCACTATAGGCAATGTAATTAAAAATATAATACTCCGTAGCTTTAAACATACTTAACACGAACCTGTTCAGTGGGGCCCATTAAGAAATAAACAATAATGATAATAATAATATTATTACAATAAAATCGAAACTAATTCTAGGTTTTGATTGCTACCTATTAAAACAAAACAGCTGATACTGATACTTTTATTGTAGGTTGGGAAGTTGAAAAGGATAACATACAGAGTAATTATTTAATATTATATCTATATGCAATGATAAATCATTGCTGACGAAAAAAGATTCCATACGAAACTGCACAGTTAGGTACACAATTTTTAATATTTTCATAATATTTGGAACGCTTTTAAAAAAAAAATTACATTACTTAATTTTCAACTTTCTAGTTTTTAACCGTGAGGAAGAATGTAATGATTTTACTATGACTGTGTGATTTCTTTTTTGTTTTGTGTCAGTATACAACTTGTCTACAAAAAATCTTACTTCAATCGAAAAATGACAAAATACTTTTTTTGTTGAATTTTAAATCTAGTTGGTGCAATAATTGGTGGAAATAAACATTTTTTTAATTTATCGAAAAGTTTTCATAATATCTAGGAAAACCCGAAAAATGTCATTTAAATTGTTGTTTTAAATTTTTTTCAACTTTTGTTTTCTACCAGAATTCTGCTCCAAATTTTAAGAGTAACATTTTTTCTGTAAGGAAATGTGGACTTGTTGGTGAGTAAAGAAATCACTTGTTGAAAAGTTGTTAAAAGATAGAATAATACAATTATTTTTTAAAAAAAGCACAGACCATTTATTACATATAGGTAGGAAATAAAACTCAAACATTCTTCGTTGTGCTCAGAATCTAAAAGAATCACTAATATTTGAACGTATAAGTAACTTTATTGAATAACATTCAATGAGATTAAACTAATAATGTAATATGTAGATTATTTAGCACTCAACTACACTTATTGGTATACTATTATTACAAACAACAAGAAGCCAGTTTTACGAGCCTATTAAAAAAAAAATTACAGATATCGATTAAATCGTACTAGAACCATCGTTTATGTGAAATTTATTAATCTAAACTTTTATAAACTTAAAATAATTAAAGAAATTTTCTTTCAAGCTAATAATCAAAACCCATTCAATAGCTTTTAAAGAAATATAAAAAAAGTTTTCATACCAATGGCTTTTTTTACAAATATTATTTTTCAAAACTGGTTAATTTTTTTCATCAGTCTACAGTTTGTACACATTTAATTTTTTGGCGTGAAAAAAGGAATTGCATTTTCAGCCATCGTACAGATCTCACTTTATTATACAGGGTGATTTGTCTATCATGAACCAACAATCTTCTCGGTGGATTTTAAGTTAATTTGATTTCGGTTTTTTTTTTTGTTTGTAGAATCATTTAAGTTTTATTTTAACAAGATTTTTAATTTCTACCATTACATATACCTTGAATAAGTAAATAATTTTAATTTTCAAATAGGAGTCCTTTTTTTTGAACACAGATTCAAATAAAAAATATTTTTCTAGAAATTCTGATATGCATAACACTAATATTAAATTTACCATTTCTATGTTACCTATCACTATTTAAAATGAGATAACCATACATGCCTATCAAATTATATTCTAATTATAAAAAGCCAGGCATTTCTTACTGGGTACAGTTGTATCACAGGTGTGAGTGGGAGGTTTAGAAGGTAGGATACTTAGATATATTTAATTTATATATTTTTAAGCAAAGGTTTACAAGCCACACTTTATACTTTTGAACAAGATTTCTAATATAAATAGTGTTACAATATAATTACAGAATAAAAGAAAAATACATAAACATTTTAAATATGCAATAAGAGATAATATTACTGGGGATATTTTGTACATAGGATACTTTGAGGATGCACCAAAAAAAAATTAAAATTAAATTAATTTCAAATAATCCGAGAAAATTGCTGGTACATATTAAAAAAATCTCTCTGTATTAATGTATAAATGTTATATAAGTAGTCATATAATATTGATTGTTAAAAATGTTTAAACAGTCATAATATTTCATGTCTGAATAAAAAAACTGTTAAGTGTAATATATATCAAATCGGTTTTTGGAAATATTCTTGGCATCCAAAAGACAATTAGTAGACAAGACCAGTTTTACCAACAATTAAGAAATCGTTAAATAAATTGAACTCCGTGCTATAAATTAAACACTTTAATATGTAGTAAATAAATCTGTACAAACCAAATGAGTTTCAAAAAAAAAAACTTGTTTCGAGTAAAATAATGGCAATTATAATTTTTTTTTGATAGAGGTAATTGGAAGTTTTTTCCAAAACTCATAAACATCGACATACGGGTTTTTGATTAAAACAGGACGATCTGAATCCACGTACATTATGGATTGGTCCGATTGAGTAAACTTAGACCAAGGTGTACTGTTCTCTAAACCGTCAACAGTAGGAATGCTGAAAATATAATACAAATTTAATGAATACTGCAGATATCAGATTGGTAGCATAAATAATTGTTAAGGGAAAGCTGTACGTCCGTCACTTTCACAGTTTATATTATAATATCGAGGGGGGGGGATTTTTTTTATAATATTCAGTCGGAAACTTATCGACGGATAAATAAACATAGGTTGAAATATACGATAATTGGTCTTTTTTACTCACTCAGTACTAACGAATTTATACCATATATTGATCATTAATTTTGAAACTTTGAGATCTTCTTCGTTTAATTCAATCGGGTTTAAATCATTCATTTTGAATAGACTATTCATTTCGTCACCATGAGTAACACCCAGAGGTTTGTCACACGAGCCGTAAATTTTATTATGCGAAAACTCATTCTGATAATTATAAATGTAACCATACACGGGAGACGATAGCTGATACGCCATTTCAAACACGCATTTAGTAAAAATCGAATCAGTAAACATCTGAAATTCAATAATATTACAAGTTTTGTTACATTATGTACATTTTTTATTTTCTCAAATATTACTTTAACGGTTTCCGAATGCGAATCGTCATTTATCGATCCTGACGGATAATACTTTTTCCTAATTTTATCCACTATCTTATGTATGTTTTCAGGTGTCACATAAAAATTGTACCCCGAAATGATAGGCCAAAGACGATTGAAATCCTCGGAAAATTCCGTGTACAATAATGAAGTTCTGTTGTACAGGGCTATACGAATAACGAATATACGAATATACGAATAAACAAATTGTCAATGATGTCGGGGTTGGGAAAAATGCAAGTGGAAACAAAAATGTATGAATAAAAGCAATATATTTATATTAAATATTATAATATGAAAAGTAATATTATTGGTTAGTACTACATAATATTATATAGTATCATATAATAGGTACCTCACTATATTTCAATACAATTGACTATATAAAATATTCAATGATATTATTTTAAATGTTTTCACAAAAATAATTATCAGAGCAAATTTTCGAAATCTGAAATCCATAATTGAAAGTAACAAAAATGGCTAATATTGTAGTGTAAGTAAAAAATACATAAAAATCAACTTAAAATAAACATAAAGCTATAGCAGAATATAGTGGAAAACATTTATTATCTAAATATTTTTGTCTCAGAATAAGAAATCGTGGAAAAAAAATTTGGATTTATACGACAGTGATTTAAAAATTAAAATTAATTATTTTTAAAAATAAATAGGTATAATATACCTGGTATATTATATTATTATTTGTGCCATCATTAATTTTTTATTCTATACGAGTCATATAATGTAACACTTATTATTTTGTACGATAAATGTACGAACTATGGTATTTAAACTTACGAATAGCCATAAGTCCACCTTCGGCGGAATTCATGCCGATAATGGCGGGCACAAAAGATTCCTGTTGAAAATCGTAAATCGGATGATGACACAAAAATGCTTCTTGTCTGGACTTACAATTTTCGACAACGGGACTGAATAAAATGGCAGGATATTTTAACCACGTCTGTAAAAGTATATAGGTAATTATGAAAATGTATTAATCTTCTATACATAAATTGATAATAAGTATAAACAATATACATTTAACGAAAAGATACATTTTAAGCATTTTAATTTAATATCGGAAAATTTGTCGATCGCAATTAAAAAAAATATTAATTCAAATAAAATTGCATATTCCTCTGTAAATACTCGTTCATACTAATTAATTTATACAATTGATTATTTAAAAAAATATAATTGATAATAACTTACAAATAACTTAGTATGCATTTCAGACTGCAAGTATTTAGCCGGAAGTATTCTTAAACAATTTAAAATGTCTTCGGAATTGTTAAAATTGCATCCCGCAATAGTGGCTACCGAATAGGCACGCTTACGGGACACTCCAGACGGACAATTTGCCCAAATACAAACCGGGCTACCGCTCTGAAGAATGGCTTTGTGAAAAAGACCTTTGCTCATTGGTGACAACATGTGAAATCCCACAGAAGCGCTTCCGGCACTTCCGCCACAAATCGTAACCTGATCAGGATCACCATTAAAAGTGATTATGTTTTCCCGTACCCAACGCAAAGCCAACACTTGATCTTTCATTCCGTAGTTTCCGGGTAACACATCGTCTTCAGTGCTAAGAAATCCTTTGAAATAATAACGCCATAATATTATAAATATAAAATTATATAAAACTCTCATCTCTTTTAAGGTAAAAAAAAATGTTTCCCGATAAAAAAAATAATATACCATAATGAAACTAATAGCTTTTACGCTACACTCAGATTCTAAAACAGTGTTTCCAAAATTGGGGAAGGGAAATGAACAAATGTATGGGGAGGCATAAGCCGTGATGAAAGGTCAAATTTGTATTTTACAATATAGAGCAAAAATAAAAAATAAATAATGACCAGTGATTGGGTATCAATTAAAGTTATTAGGAAAGCCAATGTATTTAGGTAGAGGCAACAGAGAGCAGTTGTGAATTTTATTTTTATAACTATGATTTGTTTGCTTGGTGACCTTAATGATTTTTTTTTTTGCTCATCATGTTTGTTAAATGGGAAAAGAGCACAAAAGCACTAGTCTAAAATTATTCGTTTTACAGATCAGATTCGCTTCTTAATTTCTGATAATTGATTTATATTATAAATTATAATATACTCACCTAGTATACCAAGTCGATAGTTGATCGTTACCAAAACCACGTCTTTATCCATAAAATATGCTGGTCCAAATAGGCCGGATCCACTATGGCCCCACGTAAATCCTCCTCCGTGAATCCAAAATATGACCGGCAATCGTTTTTTATCAGTTTCCGGTGCATACACGTTTAAGTATAAACAATCTTCGTAACCGTCTACGTATCCTTCTTGAATGCAAATATTCGGTTCTTTTGTAGCGTCCCATGTTCCGTTCCACGGTTCCGCCGATTCCGGTGGCTAAATATTGACAATTTTAAATAAACGTTGATGGTATGATATTATAAACGACTTATTTACAGTAGATAGGTATTCTCAAATTTTAATATCCCAATCCAATTTTATAATATGCTTAACGTAATTGTTTTCATACCTGGGGAAAAATGAAATGTGCGACAAAGAATAAAGTTTACCTCACATACCCGCAATAAGGACCTAGATCTTAAACATTCAAATATACAAAAGAAAATATTGAAGACAAAATGGAATGAGCGAAGGTAGAAAAGTAAGACCAGTATCAGAAGTCTGAAGTACTTTAAGAAGAAATAAACTCTTTCAGGGCCGTATTTAGGAATTTGCAATCCTGGGGCAACAAAAAAACCACGATGAGCAAAAAAAATCATGTTTTCTCCCGATCAGCCCAAAATCTCTTTACATTTCTATAAAAATTAAAGCCGTCCCCTTTCTTCAGCCACTCAGGGCAACTCCCTCCCCCTGTTGTCTCCATCTAAATACAACCCTGAACGTATTTATGTTCAACCTACCATGAATCTGAGTCGTTGTATTGGTGGTTTTGCATACGGTATGCCCGTATAAGAATGATACGGACGTCCATCTCTAGATTTCAAAATTCGTCCTTTGATAACACCGTTCTTTGTCTTCAAAAATACCGGTTGACATCCGACTGAAATGAACATATCTACCGCGAAGACAACACAACTCCATAATGCAATTATATTCATCTAAAATGTTTGTCCATGAAATTACTAATTAGCTTGTTATAGCTCTACAAATTCGAAAAAATAAAACGAGTATTTTCAATAAGTCACTGATATTTACTTATAACACACCTACGTATATACACATACACTTTTTAAAAAGTAAGTATTTATAATGTATTAATTTAAAAACAAATCGAATCCACAATGATTTTCAATATTTAGTTACCATCTAAATATACTGTTCCACAATTATGTCGATATAGCTAAATCAAACCGCTATATTACATAGTTTTAAAAAATACATTTTAATAGTTCTATAAATACCGTATCGACTTTAGTGATTGTAATATCATGTGTCTTTCATAATGTAATGTATTATTAGCTAATGATTTCTGTACTCTATATCGATTATGTTTAACAATTATAGATAATTGTTTAAAAAAAATAAATAAATAATAATTAATCAACACTTTTACACTGTCATGTTACATTGTACTACCAAACGGTCATAATCCGTATAAGAACGGAGGAAGGTAGGTGTAACTATTTGTTACATAAGTGGGGTATTCCCGAATCTTCACTATGTAAATGTGGGATCACACAGACACGTATCATATTGTAGACTCTACAATGTAGAGGAATGCCAAAGAACAATGTTCGAAATTGGAGTAATTGGCGCTGCACGAATGTAGTCCAGTTGCAATAAAATGGTTAGAGGAACACGAAGTACGACTCTAAAGAAAATAATCATAATTCCTGTTCTATTATTCTTAAGTGTCTTAATTTTGTTTTGGTTATTTTATCATACATATATAATATAACTTAACCTAACCTGTATATATATATATTTTTTTATTTAATATACTGCAGTTAATATTCATTTATAATTTTGTTTTACTAAGCAACATTATGCATAGATAAATAGCCGTACCACTATGGCCACGGGTTTACAGAGTACAATATTCGTCTAAAAATATATCCAAATAAAATACTAGCCACTAATTATCTTATCGTTTTTATGTACCTATTTTGGTTGTAGCGAAAAGCCTTATATTTAAAACTTCAGTATACCTTATATTATATTAGAATATCTATAATATGATTCAACGGTTTCAAATGTTCCAATATTTAAATATAGAACAATATGATACCTATTACATTATCCAGATATTATAAATTGCATGTGTACCTTGTGTAATTTAATCAACAAGGTCATCACGAAGCGTTCTAGTTTGCATAGGTGATTTTATCTCATGTTATGCATTCAATAATTATGATTGCAGACATTGCAATAGTAAAAAAAAATAATAATAATAATAATTTAAACATAAATAATTATCTCTAATATCAAATAATCATATTGTACATACATATTTACGATGATTATACCTATACTAACTATGTGAAATCATAATACAATTATTGAGAGTCACGATTAAATAAACGAATAAAATAACGATTATATGGTTTTTATTTCCGGTGAACAAACATGCAGTGAAATTAAAAAAAAAAAAATCTGAAATAAAATTTAAAAAGACTGCCCCTAATTCAAATTTCGCTAAACATGTTTTAGAAAATAACCATAATTTAAGCTTTTATATTATACAGACTTAGAGATATTGAATTCCCAAAATAACATTTACATTAATTCAGTTTTAGAAGAATTATATGTATAGAATAAAATAAAGAAAAATTATTTTAATAATATTTTAAATGTAAGTACAAACCAATTTTAAAAATAAAATCTTACATCACATTTTAAATAAATAATAACCAAATAATTTATATTTCTTAATATATGTCTGTGTCTAATAATAACTAATTTTAAATAATCTCTCCTATTAAAATAAGTTATTTCTATGTAAAACGACCAATTTGGATAATTTTTTTTTTCTATGTATTCCTTCATTTAATTTTTTATATTTTGACTGTGATATACTTGATAATGAATTTTTAATTCGAAACCGGTCGTATATTAAACTTACCATAATACTCCAAGTGACGCATTTTTTAATTTATATATTTTTTAAACGCATTTATAGATTCCGAGCATAGCGAAAGAGCCAATGGTTTTACAACAGCCGATGCTGTTTATTTCTTCTGTTTTTCCTTTGTTCTAGTCTGTGGACACGCTTTTTCCTTTGTAAACTTGCTCAGATCTTTACGGATCACATTTTATCTGAAATATCAAGCTGTCTAGATGGTACTTTAGAGAGATCATTTTTTGATTTTTGATGCTATTTTTTAAATAAAAGCACTTAATTGAGACAAGAGGTTGGAAAACGTAGAATTTCACGATTTTATTATTTTATAAAAACTCTGATAACATTTTCTACTAGAAAAAATTATTTAATCGAAAAACACAGCATAGCTTTTGAGGTTTTGAGGAATTTTAATTTTTTGGAGTTATTCACGGTTATAAATATACGTAGAAACTTGAAACTTGGTAATAATACTTATACTGAACTGACCTAGAAGTGGTAACATTTTCAAAATCAACGAATAACTTTTTTTTTTTATAAACGTTTTGAAATAAAATTTAAACGTAAAATGCAAAAAAAATTACGGCACTTCAAATTATGTACTATTAAACTACGCTCAGAATTGTTTTTCGTCAAGCGATAGCTTATCGTTGCTTACAAATATAAATGAAATAACCTTATATATCCTACCTTTCCAACTTATCACCTACATTAGTGGCCGCTCCTATCTCCAGTATTAACTCTTTTTTTTTATTTATATATTTATTTACTATATTTACTTACGATATCACGGTTATCGATATCGCATAAACTGTGTCAGCAAATATGGGCTGAAGAACGGGTATCGGATAGCTGGAATAAGGCAATCACCATACCACTACACAAAAAGGGAAACAAGACAAAATATGACAATTATAGAGCGTTATCGCTCTTGAACTCTGCGTACAAAGTGTTCTCTAGAGTACTACTAAATCGTATTTTCCCTTATGCGGAGGTTTGCTCAGTTGATTACCAATGCGGCTTCCGGAAAGGTCGTTTAACTACAAAACAATTATCCATAGTAGGTCAAATAATAAAAAAAAAGGTACGAGTATTGACAGAATATGTGACAATTATTCGTAGATTTTAAAAAGGCGAAAATAAAGGCCAGTAGGTCAAGAAGTCAAGAAGCCAGTTCTTGGCACCCTGTCCAAAATGTTTAATCTGTACTGTCAATATATGACCCAAGCCTGCAGCTCTCATATTCTTAAGGTCTTTGATTGTAAGGTTTAGTTCTTCTTAAAAAAATAGAAAAAAAAATTAAGTGGAACAAATTTATTTTTTTTTTTTTAATGTAATATGTATATTGTTGATTTAAAAACTATGATGAAGTCAGAATTAATGGACTGACTAAGTTTCGAAATTATAGCTTTTTGAAGTTCTGATATTATGCGTATATTATATGTTATGTTAAATAACTCTATATTATCTCACTTAAAGCATATTTGTCGTGATCTATTGGTTATTTATGTCTATTACTATCCTAGAAGTTCTGTGTTCAAACCAGTGTGTCGAAAAAAATTGTTTACATTTTTTCCCCTCTTTTACCTAAACAAGGAAAAACATATGCCTTTAAGTGTACCTAGAAACCAAAGACATCGCTCGCTCGGACTATTTTAATCGCAAAATACCCCTCGATTTGTTGTGCAAACTTATCAGAAATCTTACTCCGATGTATCAAATGTAGCTTATTTTTTAAAAGGAAATGTTATCTCCACGGTAATTAAAGAAAGTCATTTTTCTGATTTCCCAAAAGTTTTCCCAGCAAATGTGAAAAACGGGGAAAACATGGGAAAACCAGGAAAAACGGGAAAATCGGTAAAATATTAAATAAATATTATCAATGAAAATGTATAATGCCTATTTAATTATTTTACTATAATATGAGATATATATTATTGACGAAGCATCAATATGAACTGAACTGCGCTCAGAATCGTTTTTCCATTAGAAATAGTTTATCGTTGATTATAGATATACATTAAATTACCTATAATAGTGGCTGTACCCGTTTCCATTATCCTAGAACATCTTTTTTGTTTATTCTTGACAAGTTTTTTCTTTTGCCCTGTGAATTATATTGATTGATCTTACTATTTAAGAGAAGTTAATGGACCACTTGGTTAATGAAATCTACAAAAATCTATATTCTTTATTGATACGATATATTATGTTAATAAACTAAAAAATGCCTAAAACAAATTCCTTTAAATAATTTACAAAATTATAATAATGTATCTAATAATTAGTTATTCAAAAATACTTTTGTTGTTCAAGATAACAAAACGATAATAATTCTAAAACGTTAAAAATGATTTTAAATATAACTGTACCTTATTTACATTGTCGTGTTAATTTCAGTCAACCTTTAAATTATATGTATGTGTATTGTGTATATTGTATACATTATATACTCACTAAAAGAATCGGTAAAAAAATACCTTATTACAATATTAAGTATATGTACATATTTTATCTTTACACTCATGGCGTAAACTTATGAGTAAAAAAAAAAATATTTTTTTAAAATATTGTCTGCTAAGAAAAATTAGCTTTGTGTATACAGACACTGCGGTATTTCCACTTAGGTAAGTAACCAACAAATTTAAGTGTTGATTCCGTTATAAAAATAATCAATTGATTAACATAACATTTACTGGATTTACACTCACTTAGACTACAGATAATCAAGTTCCACAAGAATTTAATAAGTGTACATAGCATTAGAACAGCTACTACTGATAATAATATCAATCTTAAAAACTGTAGTGTTTATAATGTATATATCATTATCTTGTAATAATTTATGGCGATTATTAAAAGACAATTTGCGATTTCAAAAAATTAATCTGTGTGTACAAAATTATATTATTTTTATAATTCTGTTTTTATATTTATCAGTGGTGTTTGTGTCGTAATTCGATTTGAAGATAAAAATACGGGAGTTTACTCCAGAATTTGTGGATATCCTCGAATGGATTTTTGATGATTTTCAGTAAAGCAGAATTGACGTGTAAAAACTGACTAGAAGTGCATTTTGGCCAAGCAGTCCCGCTATATTTACCATCAATAGTAGGCGTTCTATAAAAATAAATACTATGGAAATTGTGAAATAAATGTGTTAAGTTTAAAAGTCTTCTGAATATATTATATAATACAAATTTTGATTATGCTATGAAATTCTACCCATAATAATATTATATTTTTTTTTTTTTTCAAAAATGATATAGATATTAGTTAATGTTTTTCAAAAAACTAATACTTAAGCTCAATTTCACCAAAGATTTAATGATTTTTTTTTCTGTGAATAACTTTTTTACCAGAAATTTTACTTCGATTTCTAAGTGTAGTGCCTTTTCTGAAAGAAAATTTAACTAGGATGGTGATTTAAAGAAATTTTTGTTTTTTTTTTCTCATGGGTTTTCATAATAAATGGGAAAAACTGGGAAGAAACGTTAGAAATAACGGAAAAATGTATGAAACTTATTATTTTCAAATCTTAAATATAATGACCTTTCAAACAGCGAACTTCACTCAGAATCATTTTTCGTTAGCAAATGATTAATTATTGCGTACAGATATACATTAAATTTCCCCTCTACCTTCTCAACTTTTCACCTACAACAATGGCCCACACATCTTACAAAGTATATCCGTTTTTTCTGTATTCATTCCCATACATTAAAATAAAAAATAAAAATCCCTCGTGCTTTACTGTGCACTTTAAAGATACCATTATAAAAACAACGAAGACGATTTTGTCGTTTATCAACCACAGGAAAAAAGACTAATGGTTTCAATAATATAAGAACCCCCTTAAATTTTGTTTTACATTGTCGTCCTATTGTCTTCTTGCACTAAATTACCCTTAAGTGGTCGGCGACTAAATTCAATATCTAGGACTCATAAAAAAAGATTCGCGTTCCTTTTTTTTTAATAATTAATCCTATTCATATTAATTTTTTCTAATTAACTTTTTAAATATTAATTAATATATTTGAACTAACTAGCTGAAATATGTAGTCAAAATGTAATATTTTAATTTAATCTATTTGAATAATGTCACTGTTATCAATATTGCTTATCATGGCGATACGGATGTTAATCGTGAATAAATATGTTAATCAAAGTTAATGAACCGTGGTCAGTAAAATCGTAATTTTTAATGATGAAATCCAAAAAATGTTTATCAAGAATATTTTATCTAATTATTGCTCAGTTACATTAAATCGCGATTAATGTGTTTTTGGTGAAATCGACCCGTTTACTCACATATTTTTATCAAAACTTCATGAATACACACGTATAGCTCTGAACTTATCTAGTCTTAACCTCACGACTAATCGTTAATTTCTAGCCAAACTACATTAAAATTCTATTGGTTCTCCTTGTCTATACTTACATGAGTTTTCTATAGCGTTCTTACACAAATGTATGTTCAACTAGAAACACCACTCATTTTCATATCACTGTATCTTCCTCTAACTTCCAGTCTAATACCCATACATTCAAATAAAAATAAAAATCCCTCGTGCTTTACTGTGCATTTTAAAGTTACCGTTTTAAAAACGACGAAGACGATTTTATCTTGACTGAGGAATCTGTTGTTGAATCATTCTGTTTCAAAATATCAACACCAAAGGTTTTAACCTTTTATCACGATAAAAATAAATTATTTTTTAAACTAACGAATTAGACGTTTATCATGACAAAATCAAGTTTTTAAATGGTTTAGTACGTTTTTACATTCATTTGAAATAATTCAGTTTTTATTTATATATTTATCTCTAAAAATGTTTTATAATATACATATAACAATAGTATAATAATAAGTTCAAATTATTTTTCAACTTATGAATTGTTACTGTTGTCGAATCTCATCCATTTGATATACATTTTATTCTTATTTCTTTTCAAGTTAAGAATAGTGTTCGGGAAATTTGTCTTTGTAATTTCTTACTCATAAAAACATCCTAAAACTGTATTTTTTAAACCGTCATTTAATTGATAAGATATTGGATTTGTGTTTAAAACCTTTGTTATTGTATATATTTTAGTAGTCCAATTTTGTGTATACCCTTTACTGAATGCATGCTTATATTTAGATATTCTAACATTGTCAATAACTTTAAATTTAGGTTTTCTTATTTTCTTATTGTTTAACTTAAATGATAATTTATGCTCTTTTCTAGCATTAACCAGTGTACATTTAATCGTTGAATGATTGATTGTAATTAGTTATTAACTTTGAAATTGAATTGCACCAATTCCATGTACCTGACGATGTAAAATGTTTGTAAATTTTATTTTAAATTATTCTTATAACACGTTCAACCATACCTGCCTTAATGCTACTATACGTACTATAATGTTTAATATTATATTTGTTCATAAGGTCTTGAAACGGTTTATTGTAAAATTCCGTTCCATTATTGTTTGTAATAATTTTGGTTGATTCGTTTTTAACAATTTTAAAAATATTTTCGTAACTTCTGTACTGCTTTTATTTTTTAATGATTGTACCCATACATACTTAGTATACATGTCTATTATAATTAAAATATATTTAAATCCACTGTTTTTCCTAGAATTCTGTTGCATATTTATTAAGTCTGCTTGCCAAAGATTATCCTTGAAAAGAGATATAAGGTTTCATCTAGGAAATATTGCTGGTCCTTTGATAATACCGTTCTTTGTCTTCGAAAATACCGTTTGACATCCGACTGAAATGAAAATATCTACCACCAAGACAATACAACTCCATAATTATATTCATCTAAAATATTTGTTCATTAAATTTCTAGTTAGCTTGTTATAGCTCTACAAATTCGAAAAAATAAAACAAGTATTTTCAATAAGTCACTGATATTTTGTTATGACTAAAGACCGGGTTCAATTGATATTTCAACTTTTTTTTCAATTAAGATAAATCAGATCTGATAGCCGATATATAATAAAAATATTCTGCCTATTTAATTTTAGAAATTTTAGAATGCAGTTTTTCAATTTTCGGCGGTTTTTCAATTTTTTGCAATTTTACCACGTTTTTAAATCATAGACGATTATCATTCGTCTGGAGTTTTCGAAGTAGGAAGGCCCGATCATATATATACATGGAGAAAATTGAATTCAACGTAGTAGTACAACGATTCGTGTGCATTTTCCTGTTAGTACCTATTTCTTTGATCAGTTTGACCGCACAATAAACGTATTCGACGTAATGCCTAAAATAAAATTTAAAATTGGGTTGCTTCTCACGATGAAAATAAAGAAGTTTGTTCATCGAATGGATAGATTATATATTGTCTCGTATGTAACAAATCTGTGCCTACTGAAAAAAAAATATCTATAAGATCATCATTCCAAAACAAATAAGTTTTTTTTTTTATACTGAAACTACACATAATATACTACATATTATTTCAAAAATACACATTTCTTTTTAGTTCAACACATAAATGCATTACAAAGGAATAAAGAAAAAAACAGCTTTTAATTACCTCTCAAAATTCGAATGGTAAAAATATGTTTTCTGAAGATTTATTTAATGCATTTGTTACTGCAAATATTCCTTTGAATAAGCTGGACAACCATTTATTAAAATCATTTTTGAAAAATCATACTGGCAAATCAATTCCGGACGAAAGCACTTTAAGAAAAAATTACATACCAAATATTTATAAAAGCGTTATAGACCAAATAATTAATATTGAAAATAATTACGTTTACATAATTGTTGACGATACAACCGACCCAAGAGGTTTGTATACATATTTTTTTTAATTTCTCATATAATAAAATATATTATTTTCGTTTAGGTTTGGCTATTGCAAATGTATAATTGGTAAATTAAATGGGAAGCCTAGGAAATCATATTTAGTTGCGTGTAAAGAACTAGAATCCACCAATTATAAAACTATCAGTTTATTAATTCCTCGATAAAAAAATGTCCTGGTATTGAACAAAACATTTTACTTTTTATTAGTGATGCTGGTACTTATATAATCAAAGCAGTAAAGACATTAAAAATATTTTTCCCGAAATTAATTCATATTGCATGTATGGCACACGCAGTTAATAGAGTTCTAGAAAAAATTCGAAAATTGTAACCCGACACTAATAAATTGATTGACTATGGTAATAAATTAAGTATCAATTCAAAATTTAAATACATATATAACTTTTTTCGTTTATTTCAGGAAATAAAACTTTCCTAAAAGCACCATCGAGAACAAATAATTACAGAAAAGAAATGCCGAGTATACCATTACCACCGGAACCTATTATTACATGATGGGGAACATAGTTAAATGCTGCACTTTTCTATGCAAATAATTTTGAAGAATTTAAAAACGTGATTAAAAGTTTAACAGATGATGCTACAAGTGTCGAAAAGCTGAAACAGCTTGTACAAAATAACACAATGAAATATGGTTTAGCATTCATAAAATTACACTTATCCGAGTTATCCATGAATCTTGAAAATTTGGAAGAATCTAATAGTCAACTACTGACAAACATGAATATTTTTAGAAAAATTGAAGGTATTTTAACAAATATTCTTGGTCCTATTGGGAAAAAAATTAAAGAAAAATGTATGTATGTAATTGAAAAAAATGAAGGGTATAAAACTTTAAAGTTTTTCTATGAAGTCATGTCAAGTAATGCAAATGTTAATTTAGATATAACGCCTACTTTATTAAATTGCTTTAAATATGCACCAATAACTAGTGTAGATGTAGAACGTAGTTCTTCTTTGTACATATTTTAAGTAATAGTAGGTTTAATTTTAATGAAAATAATTTAGAAATGTATCTAATTATCACTTTTAATTAAAAAAATAACACATTTATCTAATTTTTTTAACTTTTCTAACTTTTATATTTATATAGTGCAAGTTTTATGTATTTTTTGGTAAAATAATATAATTTTATATGCAATTTTTGTTTGTTTTAAATGCAATTAAATCAGGTCTTTATTTAAAACAATAAGTTTCTCAGAATGTCGAAAGGACCTATTATTGCAAATGACAAACGCGAAATGACAAATTATTTACAACGTAATTAAGTACAATGATTATTTCAAGGGGTGATCGGAGAGGGTATTAGGGATTTAGGGGTTCAACCCCCTTCCCCCTACATTTTTAAAGTAGGAATATATTATTAATATAACAAGGACTAACTACAAGTTCATGTATTCAAAATATTTTAAATCCCTTTTTTTGACACTAGTGTCCGAGTAGTATCGAAAATCGTTAGCAATGGTTTGCTTACAGATATACAATAAATTACCTATAAATATGGCTGAATCCATCTCCATCATTCAAGGGCAGCTTTTTTAATATTTTATTTAATGTAAACTAATTGTACTATAGGAATTACATTCATACTACCACAGTATTATAAATTAATCATAGACTACAAACACTAGATATAACAACTATAGGTAAAAAGTGAAACTACTTTTATATTATTATACTATGCAATGATTATGTATGTATTTACTATTTTAAATATTTTACATAATTTTAATTTTGTTTTCATAAATTCAACATTACCATGACAAGGAAATGCTTACTACAATCCAAGTATACCACGATACATTTGATTGCAATTTTCTTTTCTTGTATGTTTACGTTTATTTAGTTACAAATAATAAACAAATATAATAAAGTATTTTAATAATACACCTACTAACTGTATATTAAACGTTGTGAAGAAAATATTACAAAACTTTGATTACAAAGGGGGGAGCTGGGACACTGGTAACATCTATGTCCGCATTACATCAGTTCTTAGCCGTTATGCCAATATGAAATACCTCATTACATACAATGAACCTTTTGTATCAAATTCTCAATAATTTATACAAAACTTAACAAATGTATACACTGATTTATAATGAGGAGTCGAAATCTACTATGAGTACACTAGTTCATTTCGAGCACTGAATGTTCGGTTAGATATGTTTTGAAAGACAGTAATATTTAAGGTTAATGTCAAAATTTGATTTTAAAATTCTTATAAACAACAAAATACTACATTACACTCAATTATTTTTGACTACAAATGACGACTTATAATAAAGCTCTTGTCAAACTTTCAAGCATTTCTGTTTAGTCTATTATCTAAAGACTGCCTACCAAATAAATATTACATACAAAAACTCGCAAAATTAAAATATCTAATAGATTAAAAGTGGCTCAAATTTTTTGAACATTTGACCACATCTATAAAAGACAAATATAAGCTTTCTATCAAAATTTCAAGTTTTAACGAATATTTTAAACTGAATTGTAACAAAAAAACAAAATTGAATTTTCATACATTTTCCGGTTTTTTCTACGTTTTTTTCCGGTTTTTCCCAATTATTATGAAAAATACTTCAAACAGCGAAAAAAGAACTTTCTATCTTAATGACAGTGTGTATCTTAAAAGAAACAAAATCGATTTATTGTCATTCTTCACTCAGAGGAATATTTCTGTTAGTAAACATGGTTTGCAAAAATCAAATTAATTAAACTTGGACTCCACGTTATCGTAAATATTAATCAATTTTTATTTTTTATTTTTTCCCAAGTATTATGAAAATTACTTTAGGTATCCAAAAAGGAATTTCTCTATTAGCGGGCATATATTTAAAAGGAATAAAATAAATATTTTATCATTTTTCAATTAGAGCAATACTTCTGGTGGAAAACATCGTATACCTATACAAAATTAAAATAATGAAATCGGTAATGCTGTGGTGGACCATAAATATTTACCGTTTTACCTCCAATTTTCTTTTGGATTTTTCAAATTATTTTAAAAATCCCTTAGAAAATCATAAAATTATCTCACTTATACACCAACTAGACAAAATTATCTTTCAAAAATAAACACAATTTAATAAAACCATTGATTTCGTAAAAGATCAATAGGTAATAGATCATTCGCTACGCTCCAAATCTGAAATTAACGCATCAGTATAAAAATAAGTATTAAATAAATGATTTGGTTAAAAATATCGCTTGTATAAAATGTCTAATAAAATATTAATCATTTAAATTTATTTACTATAAATTATTATTTAACATTAATAAATAATTAGATAATTTTTAAAATAATATATTTTTATTATATTTTAACTATAATATTTATTTATTTTTTAAACAGTTGTCGAGAAAATAACTTACTTCGGTAATCCAGCAATGTACGATCATACAGTTATAATAATATTGTATCGATTAAAACTACGAGCAAAACTTTGTATCGAATTGGTTCGAATAAACCAGCTGCACCGCCACCGGCATCGTCATTGGCTTTGAATTTTGAACACAGCAGGTATTGAACATTTTGATTTTAGATTAACAGGTTATCAGGTAAGGTCAGGACTCGCGATATCACTCATTATAGATGGATATAAAAGAATTTAAAAGTTAATGAAATTCAGATTTTATTGCGCCTACAAGTTAAGTAATATTTTATTATAAATAATATAAAGTAGATTTTATGTATACATAAATTTATACTTACCTTAAAATATCCCCGTTCAGTTCGTTCCACTCCAATATCAGAATAATGATAATAACAACATCTTAATTTAGTGTCAGTATTTTGGTTCATCGTTTCGATTAAATTAGCAAAAATATGCACCTTATGCATTATTAATAGCAAATTTAATTTTATTCTACCACGTAATTTACCGAACGAAGGTTTATCAAAAAACAAAACACATACAAAAGAATAGAAACTGCATTTTTTTCTTTTATAGTCTCCTAATGTTTCATTTTATTAGTTTCAATATTATAGATCGGTGGGTCTGGAACTGCGGTACGTGTGTCCCTAATGGTATGTGATAAACAACATAGTGGTATGCAAAAAACCTAGTGGGAGTTCGGAAAATTAATATATATTTGTACAAATATTTTTAATGGATCTAATAATATTTTATATTTTGAAATTTTATAATGTTAATATTATATTGTAATATTTTACTGTTTTACGCTGTTCTTAAGCCAGGAAATAAAGACTAAATTTTTGCAAATGGCAGAAAAAAATTGCAACCAAGATTTTTCTTTTTAAGTTTTAAAAAAATGTGTCCTATAACATAATAAAATTCCCCATGAATTGGACAAGAGCTTTATCTATGGTATATTAATTTTATTTTAAGTATTTCAATAAATCGCTTTTCATTGTTATCATTTGATAAAAAGTTCTCTTTTGAAACCGGACCACCATATGATATGGTTATCAAAAACCAAATTATTACACTTTTAGTTTAATCTTCGGCGTTAACGCCATAAACTTTTTATACTTTTTACATTTTTTTCATAACCATCGAACATAACAATTGCATCAGTACCAAAATGTTTTGGTTCAAAAAAAAATATTTTGTTGGTTATTATGTGCATTATGACAAACCTATTTCCTCGCGCATTCATTTATATTCTATTTTAATTCCTATTAATATTTTATTATAAATTATAAATTTGTTTTGCTAAATATTTGTTTAAATGAAAAAATATAAAATAACTTTTTTTTTTTGAAATAATTATTAGACAACTTTTGTTTGAAACTTTTTGAAATATAACAAATATTTTTTTAAAATATACAAAAAAGCTCACTTTAACTTTCATGAGCCTATTCAAAAAAAGCTCCAGTCCAATCCATGGGAACTTTTAATATGTTTTAAGACTCATTTTTGGAAAACTTTTTTAAAAAAATCTTGGTTGAGATTTTTTTTTGACATTTTTCTTTCTTTGCCTGGACTATCTTATCATTTTGAAATAAACTTAAAGATTTTTTTGAATTTTTAGTATAATATTGTTACACTCTCTATCTCTAACTCAAGCTCTGCTTAAAAGAAATAGATAATCATAATATTGTAATTATCAATTTGTGTATTGTAAATATTTTTTTATTGATTAATAAAAAAAAAAAAACATCATTGTAAAACCAATACATTCCTCGCTCCGCTCAGAATCTAAATAAGGATTATTTATTTCATTTAATTTCTACTAACCTAACTTCTACTAATTTCTAGAGGCCTAAATACAAAGTTAATAAAAACCCACATTTATTTTTTAACTTCAGTTCTTTAGTGTTTACTGAGACCTGATTTCATAATAATGTAAGCTCTTTAGAGCTTAGTCTATTTGATTATACAGTATATAAATATGTATATTTGATATATTCTATCTAGCCTACTAACTATAGGTGGAGGCGGTACTAATAGCCGTCAATAATAAACACATAACCACTTTTCTTGATATTTATGTTGAATCACAAGAACTTTGTTTCACCTCGGCCAAAATGAATTATCGCAAAAAGCTAATTGTCGGATTGTTTACTTCTCTCCTAATTCTTCTTCCTCTTTGTACATTGGTTACTTTAATAATCTTGTATATTTAATCTTAATTTATCCTAATGCCGAAATTTTACTTTTTAATGATTTTAACCTACCTAATTTTAGTAAAACTACATTAAATTTAAATTTAAATATATCTTCTATCGAAAACATCTTTCTTAAACATTTAACACTTCTCAATTTCTTTCAATTAAACTATACCGAACTTAAAGGTTCTATGCTTGACTTAATTTTATCTAATTCTTCTTTTCCTAATGTTTTGTTGAACAATGATCAACAACTTCATCAATCCATTCAGAATCTAAAATTAATAATACTAATAGTATTTTAGACTTTTTTTTTATATTTATTTAGAAAAAACTTAAAATAAGTTACATAAAATAGTAAAAACTAAAAATTAATATTATTATTTTACTATTAATATCACAAATACTCGCGCTTTACTATATTATAACATTATTTACAAACTTTCAATTATAAATCTAATAGATAGATATTTACATTATATTATAAATCTGCGATTAAAACTGATTCAATTAAATTAAGTCAAATCATTATAATTCATATTTAACGTTCGGTTTTGATGTAAATTGTTTTAAACGCGAGAACAAAGGCAATTCATTCCAAAATTTATATTTCTCCGCAAATGGATTTTGCACGAGTTTCGGTCGGGCCGAATCAATGTGCAATACAGACAATTTTTCAATCGATTTAAATTCTGGCCACGCTTTTCCGTCGTCCTTTCCATCAATAGTAAGTGTCCTAAAATATTAAATTATTATGGTTATTTATTTTAGTTATTTTCATTTAAACTACAAAATTACAAAGTTTGTATTATTTTCACTAAATTTTACTCACAATAGATTGAATTATTGACAAATAAAGATATAATATATAATAAATAAAAAAATGAATTTTTTAATTTGTACTAAACTATTGTGTTCAAATTTTAAAGTATATCAGTATTCAAATAAAACTGCAATAAAATTATTAAAAATTATACTCACTTGGATGAAGCAAACTTGACCCAAATATCAATAATTAGCTTTGAAACTTCTTCGTCTCTTTCGTTTAATCCATTGGGATTTACGACTTTTAGTGGAAACATGCTGATCATTTCATCGCCATGACTAACTCCTAGGGGCTTTTTACATTCGCCGTAAAATTGATTAAACGAAAACTCATTTTGATAATCGAATAGATATATATAGGACGGCGAAGACAATTTTAAAGCCATGCTGTAGACACATGGAAGAAACGTGCCTTCTCCTAACATCTGTAAAAGAAAAATAAGAAAAATGTAAGACAATCTGTATTAATTACCTAGAAAAGAACTTTAATGTTTCGTGTAGTATACATACATTTACTGTGCTTAAGTGGTCGTCTATTTTTCCAGATGGAAAGTACTTTGTCATTATCCGATCGCCGATCTCGTCCCAATGTTCGGGCAACGACAAATGTTTGTATGTTAATAAACTGCCTAATAATCGATTGAAATCGGTTTGCAATTCCGGAAATAACAGCGATGTCTCGTTGTATAAATCTAAATTCATATAAATTCAGATTTTTAAATATATTATACTATATCGACGGTGTTTGGTTAAACGGGCGTCTATCAAATTTCACTTTTTTTCAAGAAGCAAAAGAAACTATTTTGCAAAAAAACAGAAAAATAGTTTATAATGATATTTATCATGGAAAACAATAAAATTACTCGTACACATAATACCTTGTACACAAAGTATACACGCATTAAATGTGGTAAACGCCCTTTTAACAAATTAGTGCTGATTTAAATATATTTTAAAAGGGCACCAAGATCTTTAAGTCGATATTACCAACTTAATTTTTTATATTTAAATACGCCCTATAACCAGTTTTTGCTCATAATTTGTCTGATTTTTTTGATATAAAAAAACGTATTTTTCGATTTTAAGTAGTATACTTTTAACAAAACCACTGATATTGAAAAAATAAATGTATAGGTACATTTATTCATATTAGTTTTTCTATGAGATACTACACAAGGTTAGCGCATGAATATATTTCATTTATTAAATCTCTAAAATAATTAAAATGCTATTGTTTTTAACTTTTAATTAAAATGGATTAAAAATATATATTCTTCAATAATTTTACGATAACCGATTTAAAATATTAATATTAGATAGATTATTAAAGTTTGATATAACAATAATAACAATAAATTATTTTTAGAAAACCCATCACTTTGAAATAACTTTTTTAAAAATGTAAGTCTACATAATCGTCATAATCCAAAATAATAAGAAGTTCAACTATATAAAATTGTACACAATACCTACTTGAATTAATTAGGTTCAAAATACTGTAATCATAATGTCCAACTGAGATACGTTGTTTATACGTGCTATTGCACGTAATATGTAATTATAGGTCTTCTATAATATTTCATTTTTATCTTGTTTCAACTTTTGATAACTATTATTGTATATAGATATACCAGTGCTCAAATTGAGGAGAACACAAGCGGACGAAGTCTTCTTGCTTTTTTTCATAGATTTCAGCGTACCCTTTCATTTAATTAAGCAAGGAATGCTAGAAATACGTCCCCTTTAGGAATGTCTACTTCTGGACGGTATATTTGGATTTGTTTTCATTTATTTCTAACAAAGCAATAGTTATTTTTTATCAGTAAACGGTTATCATCAACGTCAATCGAAGTGGTACCAATAATATTATAGCAACATGCATACACATGGGCATAACCGTTTTCAACCAAAATCGTACACTTCCCTTTTAAGCCGATCCACTTTTCGGCCAAATTTAAAAAAAAGGTCAATTCCCTTTTTGACTAAAATAATCGTACCCTTCCCTTTTCGGCCAAACAAAAAATGTATAGGTGAGAAAGATTGCCAGTAAGAAAGATAATCTATAATAATAATATAAGAAAATAAAAATATCTATTTACAGAAAAAACCATTAGTACCTATTTGTTCTCAAAAGCCTTCGATATTCGCTAAACGGTAAAGCTAGTTTTGTTTGGGCACAAAAGCTGATACTTATATTATAAATACTAAAATAATAAATATTAACGGATTTTCATGACTATCATAGCTTCATAACAAATGATTAAATTGTTTAAAACTATAAGTATGTATATGGCATGTTAACATAAAAATACCGTTAATAAATCTTATTTATATGTGTAAATTAAACTTTCGTTTTGAATATTTTATACTTTTTAATATGTATAACATACTTAGTAAATTAGTATTGTTTTGGCTGAAAATTGAATTGGCGAAAAGGGAAGGGTACGATTTTGATCAAAACGATCTCGCCCATATACATAGTTATGTATCTATTTATATGTAACTAATACTACATTTTTTATATTTTCCCGTTTTTTTCGGTTTTTAAAATTCGTTGAGAAAACTCCTAAGAAAATCAAAAAATGACCTCTCTAAAGTACCTCCCCACAACGAATTTCCTTTCAGAAAAGGTAACATATTTATGTTTTCTGATAGAAAAGTTATTTACATTATATTAAAAAAAAAAATAAACATATTTGTAAAACCATAACCTTCTTCGCTCCACTCAGAATCTAAAATAATCCCAGTACTTTGTCTGTTCTATACAATTTCATAGATAAGCGCACTCATATCCTCCAGAACAATATCGTATCTAATTTTGTACATATTAGGTATTCACAAATACCAGTATTTTTAAATACCGTTATACCGTTCAATCGCTAAATACTACTTAACCGGTGAATACCATTCAACTGGTAAATACCGTATAATCGGTAAATGTCGTATAGTTAGTAAGTATGAACAATTAAAATATGTTACTTAGGTATAGGTACCTATAATAAACCTACTTATCAATTATTATGTGAATTAATATAACATGTTTGATGAAAATAAATTTAATAACAAATTTAAATTGATATAATCATTAATTATTATCGAAAAGACGGTATTTATTGAAAAGAAAGTGTTTAACATTTTTTCTAGAATTATACTGTCCGTGACTGTAATACGGTTTCTAAATTTTTTTCTCCCGAAAAAATACAAACCAAAAATAATACGGATTTTACTTCGATTTAATTCGATTTATATTCCGGTAAAATACATTCTGAGTGTTAACAATCCGGGAACAGACAAACCGTACAATTATGCATATTTTTCGATTCTGGGTTTTTACGGTCCGTGACTATACGGTTCATAAATTTTCTTTTTCGCAATCCTACATTCCGTAAAAATACACTTTTGTTCCGGAATTATACAGTCCAAGCAAATACATTCCGAGATTATATGGCTTCCCAAAAAGAGGATGATAAATAAAGATATACGTCGAGTCTCACACAAAAAAAAATATTCTACTTGCCACTGGGATTATAATGTAGCTGTAGTATTATATTTATATGTCATCATATATTAAAAAAGATTAAATAATACCTACTCGCAACAAATAAGCCTCCTTCGCCAGAATTTAAACCGATAATAGTGGGCACATTCGATTCTTGTTTGAACTCGGTAATCGGATGATTGCAAAGGAACGCTTCCTGGTTCGAATTGCACGATTCTACCACAGGAGGAAATAGTATGGATGGATTATTAATCCATTCCTAAAATATAAAAATCATGTGTAAAATATTATGTTAATTTATTTATATTATTATATTATTGTTAGAATATTAGCATCAGCATAATTTAATTAAGTATAGAATACAATTAATGATAATAATTAAATAAATAATTATGTGAATAAATAAGTAATTACTAGATGAATAATTTTACCACAAATAAAGAAAGACAAAAATAATGGAAAAACGAAGATATGAACATCAGAATCAGAATACTTACGAATAACTTATTATGAAGTTCGACTAGATAAAAAGCTGGTATTTTCTTCAAACAGTTTAATATCTCTAAAGAAGAATTGGCGTAACATCCAGCAATAGTGGCCACGGCTTCAGTACGTTTTCGTATTATTCCGGGTGACGATAGAGCCCAGCAGCACAGAGGCGTGCCACTCTGGAGTATAGCTTTTTGGAAAAGACCTTTACTCATTGGTGACAATAGATGGTATCCTGTAGAAGCACCTCCCGCGCTTTCGCCGAAAATCGTTACCTGTTCGGGATCACCGCCAAAATTCGCAATATTTTCTCGAACCCAACGTAATACCATGACTTGATCTTTCATTCCGTAGTTACCCGGTATCACGTCATCTTCGGTACTAATAAATCCTAGAAAAAAAAAAACAATTACAATATTTGTTCGACTTCTAATACTAATAATATATATAATATATAATTATTAAAACCTAAGCAATAAAAATCTTACCGAATAATCCCAGTCTATAATTGAATGATACGAAAACCACGTCTTTGTCCATAAAATAATCGGGTCCGTACAAATCAGGTGCGCTGTGGCCGGCGAGAAATCCTCCACCGTGTATCCAAAACATAACCGGAAGTTTTTTATTCAAATCGGGAGTGAAAATGTTTAAGTATAAACAATCCTCCTGCCCGTGAATTAAGCTTCTCATTATAGGGAAGAAATGGTTATTTTGAACGCAGATTTTCGGATCATTTATAGCGTCCCAAATACCCTCCCATGGATCGATTTCTACAGGAGGCTGTACAAATATAATACATATTACTGTTATATAATATTGTTTTTCACTAGAGTTTAAATAATAATATTGACCTGAAATCTGAGCTCGCCAACAGGAGGCTTTGCATAAGGAATACCAGTAAACGAATAATAATCTCGGCCATATCTCGATTTTAAAATTTGTCCTCTTATTTTACCTTTTGCGGTTTTTATCACTGGTTCACAAGATACGGCACTCAAATATAGTAAAAAGCACGAGATATAAACCCACCACATAATAAACTAAAAAAAAATAATAATAAATATACATAATTTTATATTTTTAATCCCGAGGAAGAAGGGCTCAAATCAATTTTGTACAGTTTTCAATACAAGTAAATTCAATTGCAAAAATACATAAACTAATGTCACCATTAAATTGAGTGAAATAATTGCATAGAGAACATTATAAAAATACGGACATTCTTCGCACGATAGGTGGGCCATTGTTGTAGGTGAGATATTGGAAAGGTAGGATATAGAGGGGAATTTGATTTATATCTGTACGAAACGATTAATCTTTGCTAACGAAAAAGGAGAGGAGTTCGGTTATATATGTTTAAAATGCCGCAATATTTACGATTTTCGTCAAAATTTGATAATAAAATTCTTCTAAAAAAAAATATATACAACATTAAACTCAACTTATTCTTGTTAAACAATGAGTACAATTTATAATAAACCTCCTATCAAATTTTCAAGTATTTCTCTTATGTCTAACAGTTTACCTAAAGAGTACCTATCAAATAAAAATTGTGTAAAAAAACTCATAAAATTAAAATGTCTATAATTAGCTAAACAATTTCTCAAATGTCCCAAAAGTTTTATTAAGTCTAGAAAAAGTAAAGATAAGTTTTCTGTCAACATTTTAAATCTCTATGAATATTTTAAACTGAATTACATTAAAAAATACGGATATTAAATTCTAAACAGAAATGCTTGAAAATTTAATGAGAGCCGTACTTTGTGGTTAAAAAAAAAATGAGCTTAGTACTATTTATTAGTATGTTTTTTTTTTACAAATTAATTTTAATATCAAATTTTAACGAAAATTATTTGAGTATAAAATTATGTGGAATTGGTCCATGCGGATTTTTCAAATTTTTTAAGATTTTAAATCAATTTTAGACTTAATATTGTCAATTTTATAGGATATCTATCGTAGTTTAATGGTTGTACTTACCTGTTGATATCCCAGGGGTTTTGAATTCAAACCTAAGTTCCGAAAAAAATGTTTGGCAAAACCACGTCGGGTAGAGAACGGAAAAAAAAAATTTATTTTGTTTCAAAAAATAAAATATAGTACATTATAATATTCTTTTTATAAGTTTTAAAATCGAATTTTGACGTGAATCGTAAATATTACGGCCTAACCTAACCGAACTTCGCTCCGAATCGTTTTTCGTTATCAATAGTTTATCGTTGGTTACAGATATAAATATTAAGGGTAGAACACGATTCCTCACGTTCAATGTTCGATATTACATTTTTTTCAACCTTTTTTTCTACCCATCTCCGTATTGTATTCTAATGCGACGTTACTAAATTATAAATATGATTCCGCATGTTTTTTTCTAGTCACACGATTCCGTAATATCTGTATTTATTTACCTCTTTACCACGACATTTCAAGTTCAAATTAATTACAAACAACATAAGTTAAATATTTTTATAAATATAACAATACGCATTAAATTACATGAGTCTATATGATTTGATTAATATTTGTTATAATAAAAGTAATAGTATAACTTAACTATAATCTCATAATGACGAGATTATTTTGATAAATGACCCACAATAACTGTTGGTAAATATATCCATATAGTCAGTCAGCTGTCTACTCAAAACTGTTAAAACGCCACTCAAGAATATATTTCAATAATAAGTTGTATTAATTAAAAGCATTATTCTATACTTTATATTTTTACGGAGTTAAAATTTATAATAAATAATAGAATCTGAAAAAGGCAACGTATACAAAACGTTATACAACATTTTAATAATTATAAAAAAGAGCTGATACTGGGGATGGGAGTGGCCACTGATGTAGGTGAAAATGTAGGCAGGTAGGATACCTAAGGTTGTTTCATTTATATAAGCAACGATAAACCATTACTTGACGAAAGACGATTCCGAGCGCAGTTCGGTAATACATAATTTGAAGTACCGTAATTTTTTTTGCGATTTTCGTTTAAATTTAATTTCAAAACGCTTATTATAAAAAAAAGTCAACCAATTTTGTACATTTTACCACGTCTAGGTAAGTCCAATATAAATATTAATACCATATTTCAAGTCTCTACGTATATTTATAACCGAATTACAGCAAAAATAACTCCCAAAAAGTTAATGCTGAGAAATGCTGGCAAATTACGTTTTGGTGAAGAAAAACAAATACCCATTTTGAATATAAAATTAATAATTCAAAATTAGCGATTGTAACCTAGAAAGAGGATCTAGGTATTATATTGTCAAATGGCTTATCATTTAATAATCATATAACCATAATGTGTAATAAAGCTCTCAAAGTATTCGGTTTTATAAGAAGAAACTGCTTAGAATTTAAAAACCCAAGTTGCTTCAAACTATTATATTGCTTATTAGTCCGTTCCATTCTGGAATATGGCTCAGTTATTTGGAATTTTTACCAAGCTAGACAAATTAATAAAATTGAACTAGTTCAAAAACGATTTTTGAGAGTACTGATATTTAAGTCTAATAAAACTGACGCCTCGCTTGAGCAACTAGCTACTATCGAGTCGCTAGAAAATAGGAAGAAATCTCATGACGTGTCTAGGTTGTACAGTAGATATCAGCTTTTTTTTTTTCTATTGAAGCAATATTTATGATAGAAAACATAAATTGAACATATTAAAATAATTAAACCGGGACGCTACGTTGCCGTAAATAGTAATGAATTTTAATTTTTTAGTTTTTCCCAATTATTTAGGCGGGCGCGGATCCAGTTGGGGCAGTAGGGGGCGGTAGGGGCTCATTGACATATTTGCTCAATCAGCAAACAGAAGATTGGATTTTGTTATATGATTTACAACTACTATATGTTTTGAGATTTAAATTTGTATTTTATTGTGAAATTTTATAAAGGTATTTGATAATAGGAGGTTAATTTTAAATTGTAAATAATTCAATAAAGACATTCAATTCAGTTTATGAAAAAAAGTATTCATTATAATTAATAAGCAATTATTGCATTTATATATATATATATATATATATATATACTTTTATTTACCAGTAGGAAAATAGTAAAAAAATATCTAATTTATAATCCTCCCCTCCCGTTAATGTAGGCTGGATCCACACCTATATTTTCGAAACGACTTTGAATATCAAAAAACAACTTGCTCTATCAATAGCGAAATATTCATAGGAACAAAATCGATCTTTTGTCATTTTTCAATTGAAGAAATGTTTCTAGTAGAAAACATCGTATTAACATAATAAAAACAATTAAAACGGTAACTTCACGGTGCCCCGTAAGTATTTGTAGTTTTACTTATAATTTTCTTTCGGTTTTTCCCATTTATTTCAAAAACCCACTAGGAAATCAAAAGATAACCTACTAAATACACTAAAACTAAAAAATTACCTACCAGAAAATGTGCTATGGTTTATACTTCCAAGTAAGTTTTCTGGTAGAAAAGTTGTTTTTTTTAACTAAATTACTACAAAGAAAACAAAATTAAAAATAATGTAACTGTTAATACCGTTACTCCCTACCACATAAAATACGTATTCCGTTTTCGGAATTCAAATCCAAGGTCATCCGGCCGAAATATTTAGTGTTCACTGGAAATGTAATCACACTGTGTAAAATATCCTATAATATAATATAAATAATTTATATAAATACGGACTACGAAAATCGTTCAGACATCCCATTAAAATACAGAGTGATTTTTGTTTTATCATGAACCAGTAATTATCTCAGAGGATTTTAAGTGAATTTGATTTCTGTTTTTTCTAATCATTGTGGAATCGTTTAAGCTTTATTTAAAAACCATTTTTAATTTTTACCCCTACTCTATATACCTTAAATAAGTTCATACTTTTAATTTTCGAATAGAACCTCTCCCCTTTTGAATACAGATTTTAATAGAGAATATTTTTCTAGAAATTTTGGTATGCATAATACTAATATCAGATTTACCTCATTATTTATGAGTTATAAAAGTTTAAAGTTTAAACCGGGGGAGTAGGGAAGGATAATAAATTGCCTATCTATGACTTTAAATGGTTTTAAAATAAAGCTTAAACGATTCCATAATGATTAGAAAAAACAGAAATCAAATTCACTTAAAATCCTCTGAGATAATTGCTGATTAATAAAAAAAATCAACCTGTATAAACAAGGTAAACCATCCAAGTATATTCTGACCAATATTATAATATTCGATTGGCATACTAAATTAAACAAATTTAATATGACAATTCTGAATTCAAGTTACAAGATTATTGTTTTTATCGTAGTTTTCTTGGAGGATTTAAAATAAATTTGATTTCCGTTTTTATTTTTTAATCATTAGAGGTAAGATATAGCTTATTGTTTAAGACTTATTTTAACACCATATTCAAATGTTTACCCCTACTCCTTATACCTATCTGAATTAAGGATTGAATTTTGATTTTTATATGGAAACCGTCCTAATTTCAAAACAAATATGAAAACAATATGATTTAAATTTAGAGTAGAGAAGGGTAAAAATTATGTATTCATTGTTAGATAATAGTTCTTCTCTACTTCTCCTGTCTATACATTTTAAAGTTGTATAGCTCGTAAATGGTACCTTTATTAGTAGTATCCAGTTTAATATTTTTTAACAAATATTTTCTCTTTAAACCTTATTTTAATCGATGGAGAATTTAAATTTTAAAATCGAAATTTGATGTACGGAATAAAATGGTAACATTTTGAACATATTGTAAATACAATTATTAAACTATTTTAAAAATTAATGAAAAAGACATTAAAAATAATTTACTCAAAATCTTCATGGATAATTTTTGGATCGTGATATACCACCTGTATTGTATTTTAATAATATATTATAATATAAATCTGAATAATGTAAAATTATTCGTTAAAATGACTCGGAATAATTTGCAGAAAATTTAATATTAAATATAGAATTTCAGTAGGAATAATCTTAAATAAAATAATTATTGACTCGTTCCATTCAAAATTCAGGAATTTTCGAAGGTTAACATCTAAGTGTATTTTTATTTTATTTTTTTCACGTTATATATAAGTATATAAACAACAACAGTGGGGGATCTGTTTTTACGATACTTTTGTACTGCTGTCATTTATTAATAATTACACTTGGTGTACACAAAAACCTGTTTCCCCTTCGTAGGACAGGGTCACATACAAAATATACAGTTAAAAATACATATACCAAATTTAACGTTATTTTCCTCTACTTTGTTTCAATGGTGACTTACACATTTGTATTACCTTGTGAAATTAAATATACAAATTACAAAATAGTCAATCTAGAATGAGAAGCGGGAAACGTAACTTAATATGCCTACTTACGAACATATTATTATTGTAGTCATTAAAATATACTTACCAGTGTGTGTGAATATATTATTTCCAATAAATTATTTGCATCAGTTTAATGAGACTAAATACGGAATAGTCAACGGGTAGTATAATTGAAATTTATAATGGACAGTCAACATCCACAATAACAAATATAGTCGCACACAGACACAAATATCAAGAAAACTCGAAAAATAGACAAAACAGCTAATGCTACTATTTTTAAGGTGGAATAATCTTTTGGAATTCCATTTCACACTTTCAAAATCGTGTTCCCTATGTTTACGATCAATTTGTCTATCGCCCCTATCACGCTGAATTTCTTCTAATTCATTTCTCGGTATAACGAATTTTTCTTTCCGTATGGTACTCGCAATGTTATATATTATTTATTATTATTTTATCTACAGATAAAATTGAATAATCGTTATTGACCGATAAAAGCCGTATGCTCAAAATATTTTTACCTATTATAATATTATATAATATATTTTATAGTAAAAATATTTTAATTTTTCGCGTGCCCTCAAAATCTTTTCGCGTGCCACCTCGGGCATGCGTGCCATGGGTTTGCCATTCCTGCTATATGAAAATACATTTTTGTTATTATTATTATTAAGTTTATTTTTTTTATATTACCTAGACAAGTACTACCAATCATTTGTAATTTAATCATAAAAGTTCTCATTTTTACTGTATAGAATAATAATGATAATATTACCTATTTACATAACGAATTATTAAAGTGAGCAAATATAATAAAATAATTCATTGTTTAACGATATCAGCTTTTTTTTCTTTTCTTTTTTAACAGGCAAGTTTTATCATTATTAGTTTACATTGTTTGCAGTACATTCAACAGTTAACACAGTCAATAAGATTTTTTCTCAGAAATAATTCCCAAAAGCTGGATTTTTTTACATATTATAGAACATCTTAAGAAATGCATGTTTATAAAAGTTTTTGTTGTGAAATCACCCTTTTTTTGCTATTAATTTTAACATGAATAACTCAGAAAATATTGTTTTACGATACATTTTTTTTTTAGTTGATCAATTGTTAGTTGCACATAATTTGTATTATTTCAGAATACTTTCGAATTGCATTCTAGCAACACCTAAAGGAAATTTTAATTTACACATAAGCCTATTGGTCCATATCAATATTTTTTTTTGGTAAAAATTTTGAACGTGTACTAATTTGCATGAAATTAAAAAAAGGCACCTCTCAGTAATATTTTCAATGTTTTTACATAAATTAGAAGTTAATTGATTCTGTAGTTTTAAAGTAATGCTTGCGCAAAAAAACATAAGCCATTTTACATGTGTTTAAATGAGAACGTTGTAATTCAATATAATATACATTTTCATTCGCTACACTTCTTTTTTTTTTTTACTAAGCGCGTGCAACGGCCGTTGCACTGAATAATATAAAAGTACAGACTACAGAGTGATTCTTATATCGTAAAATGGCGATTATCATACGAAGATTTTAGTTTTTTATTCAGACATTTATATTGGTGAACAATCTTATTTATCAATAATATTTTTTTAAATTTTACCCTAATTCCATAAATGGCATCATAAAAACATATATATGCCGTAGTAGATTTTCGAACATTAACTGAGATTCGGAGAGGGAATATATTTCTAAAAATGTTGGTATTATATTATCATTATGCATTATAACAATTTTGATATAATATAATATGTGAATATGGGTATACAGACCCGTCGCTAGGGTACAAGCAAGCCATGCGTTACTTTAGGACGGCATACAATTTTAATCAAATTGAAATTAACAATCGTCAAAAAAGACCGGCATCAAAATGTTCGCTTTAGGGCGAAAAATATCTTACGACGGGTCTGTGTATATATACCGCTAATGAGTTATAACTAATGATTATATTGTAACAATTTAAAAATGTTCGACCATAAGAGTCAGGGTAATCAATTTCATATTCATACCAATATTAATGTTCAACAGGATAAACCTATGGAATAAGGACACCATTCTAAACATATTGTAAATAATATCCTACATACCAAAACGTATTTCTATAAAATGTCCGAAAACAACCAAAACCGAATTAACTCAACGTTTCCGTAGATGATCACTGTATATTATATAATACGTAAACTCAAAAATACGGTTTCAACACAGGCAAACATAATCAATAAAATATAATCACAATCTGCTGTTTTTTTTTTTTTTTTTATTTTGGCAAAACCAATCATAATAAAATGTTATAAATCGCACGAATAATAGAATAAACAATACAATATATCGAATAGGGTATCAATATATATTTTATTTTATTATGGTTATCACAGGGAGTCAAAACTGGTCGAAAAATAGATAAAAAGGCTATTCTAAAAAATACTTTTCTTTAATAATATATTTATTTACTTGTCTATATTATCTATTTCATTTGAAATACATAGTTATACAGTGTATACTTTTGTACCAGTGTATACCTATAAATAAATGCAAATGTGAATAAATGTCAAAAGTGTATAGTGTACACTATACATATTTTTCAAAAACTTACCTACAATAATTATTATAAAATAATGTTGGTTTTTCCTAAATTAAAAACTGCCTGTTACCTACCAATTTTCAAAATAATTTTTTTTTTATCCAAATATGAACACTTACCATTATAGCCTTATATAAGTATACAGTACATAATATACTTATAATATAATATTGGCAAACTAACTAGAATGTGGTTTTTAAGCATAATGGGAAGGGGATAAATTATAAAATCGAAAAAAAACTACTTACATATTATTAGGTATAGCGTGATGTAGTTCGTACAGCTGCCGCGTTCGTACTGAGGCTTACTGCAGAGAGTGGGTATACCTAACCTTTTGTTCTGTCATCATCGGTTCGACGACGGTCGTGCTACCCGTTTATAGACAGTTGAAAAACACGGCTAAATTAGCTTACATAACTATACTAAAATAATATTAAAAAATTAGTAATTTTAATCTGTAACATCTAAAATCAAGTTCAATTTATGTTGGTTTTTATACAAATCTACAATTTTATTCCGATCTTGATCAAACTTTGCACACTCAACATTTAGAAACAATCATAAGGCCACTGTCTACTTTTTATCTCGAAATTCAACCCCAAAAATTTGGCTGACATAGTGGTATCTTTGAAATAAAATCGAACTTTTTTATTGATTCATGAATTCACCTTGTCGACACCGATAAAAAATAATTATTATTATATTATTTAATTATTATTTTAGTTTTCACCCTTTGTAAAAGATAAATTATCGGTTAACAATGATTCAATGTGATTGGGATAAAAACAATGGTTTAGTGGAAGGTAGCAATGCCCACGGGTATGCGTATATAACAATTTTTTTCGTCGGGAGTACTCGATTCTATAACTTCAACTTCATTTCAGCTTATATTTATATATATAAATAGTTCACCCTCGAGTGAATGGAATCCTGAACAATATATAAAAAGTTAGAAAGTTAATCATAGAACCAACAATGACAAAATACTCAAGATGGTTGAAGCTAGTCACGTAGTTTTCACCTTTATATGGGACATGTGCCCACTTATTTATTTACTACATGGATAAAAACGAGCCCAGGAAATAAGGTAATTTAGCTAATAATAATAATAATACATAACTCATTATGACAATTTTCAAAAGTTGAATATAGTTGAAAAATAATGAATAATTTAAGAGGAATAATTTTTCTTAAAAAAGTTTTTACTATACACTATCCCAAGATTCACCGAGAGAATTAAAACAATATAAAATGAATCCGATTAAGACTACATCTAGACTCGAAAACGTGCAATAATTACGGAACATTAAAATGTGTGTTTGACTTATTGTACAATACTACTGCAGTTGCTGTGGCGCTCACCAAAGTTGGCAAAGGTTTCAATTAGGTGAAACTATATTAAAAATAGAATTCCGTTTCTCGTGACGATATTAATTAATTATAAATATTTCGTCAATAAGTGGTAAGTAATAGCAGTTCAACTATACTATGAAAGGCATATTTTATACGAAATTTAAATCGAATGAAACTTATGATTTGATCAGTTTTAATTTGAATTTATCCAACTGCAATAACCTTTTAATAAAACGAATTTAATATACTCGTTCCGATTGCAATAGCGTTGTTTGTACAAAAAAAAATAAATATATGCATATTCACATCAAGGTAGTGACCTCACTGTTGTATGTGAGAAGTTTGAAAAGTATTGAAAAAAAAAACGATTTTAACGGTGACCCAGAAATCAGCAAAAATAAAAACCTATGTCATCTATTGTGTTGTTTCTTTTTTTCAAACTCGTAGGAACATTTACATCTTTTAAGGTACAATGTAAAGTCTAAATCACTTAAAATGAGTCGAATTATTAACGTTGTAAACAATTTGGCTCAACATAGTATGTCTCTACGAATATTTTTAACTGAATTGTATAATTATAAAAAAAAAAAAAAAAATTGAAAATAATAAAAACATTCATTTTGTAACATTATTTTTCATTTTTCGTCTTTTTCCAGTTTTCACAATTATTATGAAAACAACAGTATATCCAGTAGAAAACATTAGTTTGAAAAAATTAAAAACTATGAAAACGAATCGCCATAAATATTTACCGTTTTACCTATAATTTTCTTTCGTGGTTTTCCTAATTATTTTAAAAAACCACTTGAAAAATCAAAAAATGAGTTTCCCAATGCAACAACAAGATAAATGTTCCTTTCAAAAGAGATGCTACACTCCATATATCGAAGTATGATTTCAGATAGAATAGTTATTTCCAGATACAAAAAAAAAAAAAACAAAAAATTAATTAATTAAAAAGAGCTAGTACTGGGGGTGGGTTCGTCTACTGCTATAGGTGGGTATTTGGGACGGTAGGACTTAAAGTTATTTATTATGCCTGTAACCAATAATAAACGATTGGGCATTGATAACGAAAAACGATTCGGAACGAAGTTCGGTTGTACATGTTTTAAAAAGCCGTAATTTTTACGATTTTTCTCAATTTACCATAATTAATAATAAAATTACAGATAAAATCAAACAGACTTTCTAACTCACCAACTAAAATGAAAATACAACAAAAAAGGTCTCTTGTCGCTATTCTATTGGTATAATTTATCAAATAGAAAACATCATAAGCCGTAAAAATTTAAAATAATGCAATCGTTGCACCGAAATTTGAAAAAACATCGTATTTGGTCTTTTTAGATTTTTCCTAATTATTATGAAATATAAAAATATTTTAGATATCAAATAACTACTTTCAAGGCCGTAGACACAGGAGGGGTTAAGGGATTGAAGTCCCTTATAACATGGATATTATACATAATAAATATGCATTTACAAACATTTAAAACTATTATTTACCAATATGTTTTAAAGTTCTTTTAGATTCCGAGCATAGTAAGAGAGCTATTGGTTTTACAATGCTGTTTATTTCTTTTTCTTTTTTTTTTCTTTGTTCTAGTCTTTGGACACATTTTTTCCTAGTAAACTTGCTCCTATGTATAAGTGTAACACCTTTTCTGAAATCCCAAGTTCTCTAAATTGTACTTTAATTAGGTCATTTTTTGATTTTCAACGCCATTTTTTAAATAAAAGCACTTAAGTGAGGAAAAAAACGTAAGAAAACGTAAAATTTTATGATTTCATTATTTTATTAAAACACGGACGACGTTTCTACCTGAAAAAATGATTTAATCTAAAAATCACAAGACACCTTTTTTGTTATCTATTTGGTTTAATTTCTTAAGGTATCATCACCAAACTTTTGAGCCACTTTTGAGCTTTTAAGTAACTTTAATTTTTTAAAGTTTTTAGCTGTAATTCGGTTATAAATATACGTAGAGACTTGAAACTTGGTAATAATATATATTATTATATATAATATTGGACTTACCTACACGTGGTAAAATTTGCAAAATCATCGGAAGATTTGCTTTTTTTTAATAAGCGTTTTTAAATCAAATTTAAACGAAATTCACAAAAAAAATTACGGCACTTCTAATTATGTATTATCGATCTGCCCTCGGAATCGTCTTTCGTCAAGCAATGGTTTATCATTGCTTACAAATATAAATGAAATAACCTTATTATCCTACCTTCTCAACTCCATCACCATTATCAGCTCTTTTCTTTTTTTAAAAAATGTATTCTAGGTGAAGTTACTATAATAATATACTAAGTAAAAAAAAGTAGGTATAGATACTCGTATAGGGTATACACCAATAGTCACAGTAATTTTAAAAATACATATGGATATTATTATTATTACCTTATCCTACCCATATTATAGTACTTAAATAATTCATTAATAAATACTGGGAATGGGAGTGGTCATTAGAAAGTAGGCAAGTTAGAATACATAAGGTTATTTCATGTATTTCACCAGTAAGCAACGATAAACCATTGCTTGACAAAAGACGATTCCGAGCACAGTTCGGTAATACATCATTTGAAGTTGCGTAATTTTTTTTTACTGATTTTAGTTTAAATTTGATATCAAAACACTTATTAAAAAAAAGCAAGTCGTCCGATGATTTTAAAAATTTGACCACGTCTAGCTAAGTCCAATATAAGTATTATTACCAAGTTTCAAGTCTCTGCGTATATTTATAACTAAATGACAGCAAAAAAACTCTAAAAAATTAAAATTCCTTAAAAGCTCAAAATTTTTTGCGTTGATACCGTAAAAAATTAAATATAAAAGGCAACAGAAAAGGTATCTTGTAATTTTTCGATTAAATCATTTATTCCGGTAAAAAACGTCGTCCGTGTTTTTATAAAATAATGAAATCGTGAAATTGTACGTTTTCCAACGTTTTCTCCACTTAAGTGCTTTTATTTAAAAAATGGCCTCGAAAATCCTAAGAAATCGAAAAGTGAACTCCTCAAAGTCCCTCCCCAGTTAGATTTCCTTCCAGAAAAATTACTATCATTGTAATTCGGAGCAAAATTGCTGGTAGAAAAGTTGTTCACAGGAAAAAAGAAGGCCGTAATATTTTTTAACTAAATTGGTATCTATTGAACAGCGCATAGGTCGTACATTAAATTATATTATTGCGTTAAAAAAAAAATTAAATTAACTTTAAGTCAAATAAATCGAAATTAACTCATTATTCATTATATTCAGGTCCCGCTCAGGCCGCTTGGCCGACGGCTTTGGGTTACTAGTTTCTCCCTGATACATAATTTTTATTATTGATATATAATTGTAAATAACTATTAAGAGTGAATTTAATAAACAATAATACTGATAACTCTTAGCGTATTTATTTATACGTGACCCGGCCATCGGGATATCATATATTAAAATAATAAATTATTAGACTTAACAATTTTTAAATTCAGAAGCCTTTTAAAATGATTGAAAAATTCTAGGGCATCAGCTACTGAGGAGCCCAACGTTTGTGTAACAAATTTTACTTTCATTTTATTTTTTTTCCAATCTGTGTGAGATGCAGCTAAATTATTGACTAAATCTAAACTAACATTTTCTTTAACTATATTAAAATTTTAAAAAAAAGAGTAGTAATATTATATAATTTAATACTTGACAAATGCATTGTACTTGAATATAAATTTTGAATAAACTTCCAATCACCCTTTCACAAATTTTGAAAACTTTATAGTGCAAGAGCATTTTGTACCAATTTTATGTTATAGTATGCATCTAGTATGTAATAAATCTAGAATGATGAAAATTTAAAAATATCTAATTTACCTAATATACAAAATAAATAGCAAATATGACAAAATAAAAATTTAATAAGGAATATTATAATTTTAATTCATAATATAAGACCAGTTTTAATTTTAAATCAATTTTCAGTACTATAAAGTATACATTTACTTTTTTACAAATTGATGATCATTTTTTTAAATCAAAACCAAAATTATAAAAATAAAATAATATATTTTTTTTTATTTATTATATTTAATACATGGCACATACTTTTGATTTTATTCCTGGTACATAAAACCATTCTACAATTTCAGCATAGAATATTAGGTCTGCAGCCTCGTTGATTCGTTATGGATAAATTAATAGAAATGCCGTCACAAGTTACACCCCATAATAGTTAAAATTCGTTTTGATTTTAAATTTTTAAATTACGTCAATCCGTTAATGAGTTATTCCATTTTTAAATTTTGGGTCGGGGAAGAATAGTAGAGCATCATGTGTGTGACGGCACAGCGCACCGCGTTTTAATAATGCATTATTACTCTCGCCGATCCAAACTTAAAAGTGGAATATCTCATCAACGGATTGACAGAAATTACAAATTTAAAAACCAAAACGTATTTTAACTACTATTTCATCTATTTATATAATTTTTAATACAGGTTGCTATTAGAAAATCAAAAGAAAGTAGTCGTTTCACCCCCAAAAATTAGGGTAACAAAAATAACATAAATGTAAAATTGCAGAGCTGCTTGTTTCTAAATTTTTTTTAAAAACAAATTTCGAAAAAAGGTAATACTTTCTGAGATAATGAGTGTCTTATGATAGATTGATCACCGTGCATATACCTACATTTATATTAATAACTCATAATATAAATATTGAGAAATAACTACTTATACAACTAAAAAAAAATTATTTACTAATAAAATATTCAATTTTTTTTGTCGAATTAATGCATACTCTGTAGGTTCATTGTCAATGTTTTGCCAACCGACAAAATGACGAGCACTGATATGGTAATGACTGGTAATCCTCAATATATTATTCGAGTTCCTTATCTAGTGTAGTATAAAAGTCTGTGATTAATCTAAGGTCTATGGTATCACCTAACTGGTATCAGCTAATCAAATTTGGACTAGGTATGCAATTCAAATTTACAATAAGGATTGGTCATGGTTTATAGATCTATTAACCTTGAGTATTGGTTGCATGTCCCGTGGCTAGTTAACACCTAAGCAGTTATAGGCAACCCGTAATTCACTGACTCAGCGTACCATTATATTATATAAGCATTATGTAAACTATTGTTGCAATTTTTTTTTTTTGAAATTCAAAAATTCTCAAAATTATAGCCAAAATTATTAAAATTAATATTACAAATACAATATTTATATCAATTCACTATCAATATAAACTATTACTACCTATAAAACATAATATGCAAAGACATATCTATATAAATAAAAATGAATCGCTCAAAATGTTGGTAAGCGCAAAACTTGAGAATGACTGCCCCGATTTGGCTATTTTTTTTTTTTTTTTAAATATTTGTTTAACTCTTAGAAAGGTTTTTATGAATTAGATAAATAGCTCAGAAAACTAAAGATTCGGTTAGATTTTTTTGAACAGCCGCATTCATTCAACCCTAAGGAAGATTTTTATGAACAGTTTAGGTTTTTAAAAAATAAGAAAAGGTAAAAAAAGAAATTAAATTTCAATAAAAGTTCTATGTAATTTTATTATTTTTTTTTTTAAGCAAAATCTGATAAAATTGGTTCAACATTTGTGTATTCAGTTTAAGAATCATACCGCCTATATGACATGCACAGAACAATTTGGGATGCAGAACATGAAATGCCACAAACCAAGTACCAATTTAATTTTAATTTAAAAATTAAATATTTCTTTTGACCTATTCTTCATAAAATTACATTATCAATTATATAAAATGAAAATGATTTATTTCTTTGTTAAAGAATAAAAAACTGTACATATATACTTTCATATATTGTATAGTTATGTATGCACCTTTATTATTGGTATTTATTTGATAGTGAAAGATAATAGTGAAAATAAAGGTATCACTTTGCAAAACTATTAGTTAGCGACACATGTCAAACCTCCCTCTCTCTCCCAACTAGATTCTTTGCACACACACAAGGCTCTAAGCAATAGCTTTTAACAGAACAAAGTCTGTCGGGTCAGCTAATGTACTAGATAAAATATAAATTTTACTTAGTATGTCTTTATTTATTATGTCTTATGTTATTATTATTATAATTCATAATTTTAAAAATGTCAATATTTTATTTGTTTTTATGATTAAATATGACTTAAAATTATTAAATTAACTATCCTAAAAAAAAAAAAACACTAATGAAAAATAATCATTTTTAAAAGTGTAATTTTTTACACTTTTAAAAAAAAAGTTCTTACATTTTATTTTTTTATTATATAAAATAATAAGTAAGAATATAATACTATAATAAGGTAGATATTTGATAGGGTTAAATGTAATATAAAAATAAAAAACTGAAGTTTATGAAAAATTATTGGTCACATGTTAATTCAGTATACATACAATTATTTATTAATGTTAGATTTATGTATAAAAAAAATAATAAAATGAATAAATAATTTGTAATCTGTTAAAATTATTTCCGTTTATGTTGATTATCTTCTCTAGCATCAAAATCATTCATGTCTTCATCATCTTCTGTACATATAAACAAAAAAAAAAATGTGTCAATATAAAATATTTCAACTAAATTAAATATAATAATAGTTATATTGTAAACATGCAAAATATTGAATGTTATTTTAAATAAGAAAGTATTTACTTTAATAAAAATGCATTATATTATTTTCAAAAAAAATAGTATTCCTTATGGGTTTCACTATTCTATCAAATCTCTCTCAAAATAACACAATCTACCTTCCATAGGATGTATCTTAAAATGATATAATGTTGTAATAATCCCGCAACACATGCAATTAAAATAATTTTTGTTTAAATTTATATTTGTATGAATAAGATTGCTATTGTACAAAACAAATAAATTAATCAATAGAAAAATAATGGGTTTCCAATCTAATCCATTGTCAATTGTCATTTTCTTATAAGCATAGAAAACTATTTCATCTAATAGACAGATAGACATAAACATAAAAAAAATTTTAGAGAGTTGTTTCATTTTTCTCACCTGAGATAATAGTATATTATTATAAATATTTAAGTATGATAATAGACAAAATATAACAATTATTACATTCGGAAAAAATATTTGAAGCTGTATGAAAATTAATATAATTGTCTTATATATTTGTCCACTAGTTTTCAAAAACCTTTTTAAAAAAACTGCATTGTAATTAAAAAAAAAAAAAAAAACTATTTAATATATTATTTTTTCTATAAAACTACTATTCTAATTTTAACAACTTCTTCTGCCCCCATAACATACACACCAGGCAATAAAAAAAGCAAAAGCAATATGACATATTAAAGCTAATGACTTCCTCTCTTCTCTTAAAATCTAAAATAGCATGCATACTGTCCATCTCACCATCTTCTTTAAAGTGGTCTTGTTCATAATCATATTTATATGCATTATTTTTTTGCTTCAATAGTTTATCTTCTTCACTACTAAAATTTAATTTATACAATTTAATTAATTTTGAAAATGTATTTTTTTTTTTTAAATTGATATTACTTGTTTATAATATGTTCTTTTTTAATAATTGTTTCTCTAGGTGGAGCCTTCATAGGTTCATTTTCACCAACTTGAGATTCCTAAATAATACAAAAAAAATCTCTTGGTTTCAAAAAATGTATTAAATTTGTTTTTTTTTTTTTTAATAAATATGTCTTATTTTTTACTTGTGTTGGAGGACTAGTTTCTTTTTGACCTATTAAAACATTATTCAATTCATTAGCAGAGTCGATATCCATACTTGGTTGATTAATTGGATTAGCTTCATTCTATACAATTTTAAAATGATGTATATTATATTAATTAAATATATTATATAATAATAAATGCACAAATAAAAATAAATATAATTTTTAAGTTTATTACATTTTCAATAGGCTTCTCAGGAGATTCATTTTTAGGAGATACTTCTAAATTGATCTTAAAAAAATAAAATTGCATAATTTAATTAAAAAATCTATTTTCGTAATCAACTTTATATTTTTACAATATATACCATTGGTGTTGAACTTTTAACTATAACTCCATCAATAGCTTGTGGATTAATTGCAGGAGTCACTGAAGTTGACTTTAATAAAACATAATTTTATATAGTAGTTATTAAATAAAGCAATAAATTATTATATATTCAGTATACTTTTGTAGCATTTATATTTTCATTTGACTTTGGAATAAATTGTACGACTGGAAAATCATTTGATTTTTGTAAACTACTATTATTTAGATAATTCTCTAGTTTGGAATTTTCTTTCTGAAATAACAAATATATATATATATATATATATATACACAAACAAATAAAAATTCAGTAAACAAAAATAATGTTTAAAGACCTTGAGATTTGTTATTTGACTTATTGCAATATTAAAGTTTTTTTGAAGTAGATCTTTTTTTCTTTTTTCTTCTGTGAAATTTGTTTTTAACATTTCTAATTCATCTCGTATCTCTTTTTCTTCTTTCTATAAAATTTATAGTAAATAAAATAAAATATATTAGTTTATACAAAATTCAGTTTTTCTATTTTACTTCTTACGTGAATAATAATTAATAAAAACAAATATAAATATTATAATCTTTCAAATGTGTTATACCTGTAAAGTTAATAACTGAGCCAATTATTATTTTACTTCACTAATATATCTGGTTACAAAGGACAATATCTCTAAGTAATGGCAAAATAAAAGTATTTACTTGACTCAAAATTGAGAAAACTCAATCATGTCAAGTAGTCAATCAACTTTATAATTTATAATGTATTATTTCAAACTTATTAAATGTGTTAGATTCTGAGCATAACGAGATATTTTATAATATATTTTATTTGTACAGCTATAATAATTAGTTTTATTTTAATATAAAATAAATATATGATAAAAATGATCTAAGATATAGTTTGGTATTTGATTTAAAAGAACGTTATACCTGCATCCACTGTCTTAGTCCAACTACCTGGCAACATGCAAAAACAATACTTATACAGATTAAGTAAAAGTGCTTTAAATTTGATTTTAGATTTTTTAAATGCACCAATTATGAAATTTATAGAGAACAATATTTTGGAGGGAATGTCATAGGGTTTTTGTATTGTTCAAAATATACTACTCGATAAAAAATAACTGTAACTTTTGTAATAGTTCATAGTTCATAGTTCAAAAAATGCCTATAACATTCCCTCCAAAATATTGCTTTCTATAAATTTCATAATAAGTAGTTTTACTTTAAAATCAAAATTAAACTAGTTTTACTTATTTTGTGTAAGCGTTGTTTTTGCATGTTACCCCGTAGTTCAACTAAAACAGTAAATGTGGGTATAACGTCCTCTTAAAGATATTTTTGGTTTTATACTTTTAATTTCATCCTCTATAATTATTTTATACTGTGAAACAGATTTGTCTGTAATTGAAATCCCTATTAATAATATACATTTTTATGAGATTTCTTAAAGACAAAAAAAATGTAATAAAAAAAGTGTAAAGAACCCAATGATATATCTAAACATATTATGAATAAGTATACTTCTAATGCTGCACGAGTTTGGTCTAAATCATTATAACGATTCACAGCTTCAAGATTTTGTTTGTCACGCAATTGTTTCTCATCTAGAATTCTTGCATTAAGTTCTTCTTTTGTTTTCATGTGTTCATTTTTTTCGTCTTCTAAGGATCTCTCTAACTTCAATTTGTTTTCAACAACAACTAAATAAGATAAGTTAAAATAATTTAAAAATAAATTTGATTTGTGATTAGCAGAATTTGGTATAAGTTATAGGTACTAAATTTTTGTTTCAAATTTGTAATTAAATATGTATATTTACATTGGTGCCTAGAATAGTGCAACCCCTAAATTTTAAGTAATAATTAAATCATCATACAATTTATACAAATATCATATACCTTAAACATGGTCCAGTTAATGTCATTTTATAATGTATTAAAAACTCCCGATTGTTCCACTTTGCATAATTAAAAATTATTTACATGTATAAAATAAATATGCTATCAGTATTGTCATATAATCACAGGCAACTGTATTGTCATGGTTAAATGAAAAACCACATCATGGTAAGGTAAGAGAAAAAGTCACAACCTAAAAGTGGTGTCAACCTATTTTCCCTTAAGCAAAAGCTGATAACATACAATCAATTTAACTTTCACTCTAACCAATAAATATAATTCAATTTAAATTGTTTAGTATTAATTAGTATAACTTACTGATACCTATTTATTTTGTGTTGATCATTTCATAGTCCAAACTTTTTATAAATCATACGTAAGGTAAGTAGTGTATATAAAGTTACACCCCTCCCTGGTTTTTTTTTACTATGATGGAAATCTATCAACGCTATCAATTGAATTAAAAAGTTTCTCCTAAAATTAGATGTATTTCAGAACTTTGTTTCAAACACTAAAAAGCGCCACTATAGAAAAAAAAATACCTTTGTTGATAATAAGAGTACACTCAGAAACTATTTCCTGCCAAAGTAAACATAAAAATATCAATTTTTACTTTATATTACTTTGCAATTGTGATGAAATTGATTCTAGATGATGTGTGCATGAAGATGCAGATTGACGATAATCTTCTAACTCTGAATGAGTTTCATGAAATATATATAGTATTGCCGAAAAAACCAAAACCATACATATGAATCCAATAAATCTTGTTTTACTTCCTCTGGATACCATTCTACAAGTGGGAATTGGACTAGAAAATATTCAATGTACGGTTAATTCAGTTTAAATAGAAAAACAAAATTAATAATTAATAAAACTAATAAGTAATTTATATTAATCTCGATTACCTTTAAAATGTTTCCAATTTCAATGATTTACAAATATTATATTATGTTTTACTCTTTTAGGTATTCAATAAACACTGATACAATAAAGTCACCTATGCTTGTTCTAAAACACATAATTTTTTCGCAGCTTGGCTGTACCTATCTGAGTAAAAAATGTTTAATAAAAATCAAATAAATCAAATAAGATAATATTTGTTTTTCAAAAATTTCAACTAAACAAGTGTCGAGTAAAATTATGTTTTACATTTATAATTCAATTTTTATTGGTAATCACCATTGCACCGTCAAATGTCGAACACAATATTATGTTGTGAGAATTTGATAAAAATAATAACAATCAACGAACACCAAAACCGCAAACGGTTACGAGATAGCGTTGCAATCGTTTCTTTTTTCTCTCCAGTGGTGTCCACAAATCACCATAAGATAAACTTATCTTTAATCGTACATACTGCTTTGCATTCAATATGGATATCGAGACAAATTTAACGCTGTTGAAAATTAGTGTATGCGTTGTTCGAAGTAAGATTTAATTAAATAATTTATTTACAAGTCTATTAAACTTTTTGAAGTAAAATAATAACACACAGGTATTATACACTTGGTGCGCAACTCTGTTCCAATCTTGTATAATAGTGGTAAATCTTTTTATAGAAATTAAACATTTTTATTTTTATAAAACTTCAAAACATTGTTTTAACTATCTACATTATTTCACATTTCTGCTTTTCGTTCCTAAGCAGTGGCCTTAAACAGTGGCAAATTCAGAGGGTGTTCAGAGGTCTTGCCCCCTCCCAGACTATACCAGCAATCCCTAAACTGTGAGACGTTAACCGTACTTAGCAGGGGAAGCATGAGGTAAATATTGGTATTTTTAAATCAACGTTACCTTCGTCGAAACGTTTATCTGATGAAAACCCAGCATTATCGCATTACCCGAATATTCTCGAACCATAATAACCAATATTATTTATATATATATATTGTCCGACAATAGCAATAACAGTACCTAGAAGTCGTGAATTCGCAAGGTGTGCATTATTAACTTGTATTTTATATTTAATCTTATTTAAAATGGAAAACTGTCTCCTTATTACATCAAAACATCCAAATGAAGACGCCAGAAAAAAAAAATTAACTTAAATTTGAAAACACGATGCTAGTTATTTATATTTTTGTTTTACTTATATACTTTTATTAGTATTCTCCGTCTATTTATGTAATTTCTAATATAGGTTTTCATTTGAAAAACCGAAGTATTCAAAAATATCGACTTTAACTACACTTAAAAATTTCAAAAATCAGAATTTAAAAGTATGCAAAATTTAACCAAAAAAAAAAAGGGGTGAGTACGCTTAGTGAATCATCCTGTTTATATATTATAATATATAATATTTATAATACGCCCACTACACTTTCCTTACACCAAACTTTTTGTCTGTAAACTATTTTTCTATCAAAAATCTTACTGCGATTATCGACTTCAGAGGTGATTTTAGTAGACAAATTTGTTTATTAGGTACTATGACATCATTTTTTGATTTCCTTAGAATTTTAGAGAAATAAAAAGGACGGACATGCATCGCACATGAATGGACCACTATTGTAAGCGAGAAGTTGAGAGGGTAGAAAGGAAATTTAATGTATATCTGTACACAATTACCATTGTTAACAAACAACGATTCTGAGCAAAGTTCATTTAATAATGTTGCTTTGTAAACAATATGTCACATTATGGTAAAATAATTATTTTAATAATATGCATTATATATTTTTTTTTATAATATTTGTTTAATGTACCGATTTTCCCATGTTCTTCGCTGGTTTTCCATATTTGTTGGGAAAACTTGAGAAAATCTGAAAACGGCCTTTTTAAAGTACCTTTCAACACCGATATCCTTTCAGAAAAAGTGCTACACTGGAAGCAAGACTTCTGGTAGAAAAGTTGTGAAAAAAAGAATAAATAAACATCTTTATAAAACCAATATAACTATATAACTAATATTATAACTTAACTTATTATTATAACTCTAATATTATAACTTTATATTTATATAACTTCTTTACATTTAGAATGTAAAATGTTCAATTTAACAATTTGCTCTCTTCCACTGATAAATGAAAACAATTATAAAAAAAAAATTGATCACGAATACCAATAAAATACAATTTATTTGAGAAAAAACGTCAGCTAACATTGAGCAAAAGAGATAGAGCTACACGTTGAAAAGCATTGTTATTGTTATAAAAATCTGAATTAATTGTTAGTATTAGTTATAATTTATAAACAATACGGTTTGTTATTATTATAAAACCTGTTGATTAATGATTTTAAAATGTATGGTTCGTTAGTTTATGTTCTAGTCTAGCAGATTTATAGTAAAGCACTTAATGAATAAAGTGTTTTTACGTTTATTATAATAATATACTTTTATAATGATCAATGTCTGTTGCATTAAAGAATGTTCCACAAAAGCTAGTTGAGGCATTATGCTGCACAAGTCTTTTTTTTATGCATCTTCATTTCATTTTAGATTCTGAGTAGACTAAAGAAGTTTATGGTTTTACAATAATGTTTATTTTTTATTTTTTATCTGTAAGTAACTTTTCTACCAGAAATTTGGATCCGAACCTTAAAAGTACAGCACTTTTTCTGAAAGGAAATCTGATTTAGGTGATACTTTAATAGAGGTTTTTTTTTTAATTTCCTAGGAGTTTTCCTGATGAATGAAACAAAACCGGGAGAACTGGAAAATGGGTACAATATTAAACAAATATTATTAAAGAAAATGTTTAATGCATATGTAATTATTTTACCATAATATGGCATATACATTGTTGACAAAGCAAAACTATCAACTGAACTCTGCTCAGAATCGGTTTTTCGTTAGCAATGGATAATTGTTACTTACAGATATACAATAAATTTCTCTCTACCTTCCCAAATTCTCACTTACAACAGTGGCCCACCGATGTGCGATATATGTTTGTCTTTTTATACATAAAACTATTTCATTTAATTTAAAATTCTAACTGGTGAATTTGATATTATTTTTCTATCATAGTATGTATAACATACGGATACTGTACCTACCTTTATATTTATACTTATAATGTAAAAATTTGGCTAATACTTACTAATTTCCTAATATAATATGTCTACATTATTTAATATATTTCTAATATAACTCAAATTATTGTCAGCTTATATTGTTTAAATATTTAATTTACAAATCTTAAACATTAACTAACAATTTTGAAAAAATGTTTTACGAGTTTTACATTTAATTAATGAATATGAATTATGAATAAATTAAAAAGGTATAATTAAAAAAAAGCTGATATTGGGGACGGATGCGGGCACTATTTAGGTGAGTAGTGGAGAAAATGGGATACATACAATTATTTAATGTATATCTATAAGCAACGATAAACCATTGCTTACGAAAAAACGATTCTGAGCGGAGTTCAGTTGATAATGGTGATTTGACTGACAACAATACATATGCCATTTTATTGTTAAATAATTACATATGCTTTATATATTTTCTTTAATAAAATTTGTTTAATGTTGTACCGAATTTTCCAGTTTCCCTACGTTTATTTCGGGTTCCCCATGTTTTTTCCTGATTTTCCAAATTTTCTGGGTAAGCTCTTGAAAAAATCAAAAAATTACCCCTTAAATTGTACCTCTCCACACCGATTTCCTTTTTGAAAAAGTGCTATACGTCGAAATCCGAGCAAGTCTTCGGGAAGAAATGTTGCGCACAGATAAAGAAAAAATAAAAATCTTTGTAAAACCATAAGCTTCTTCGCTCCACTCAGAATCTAAAACGACTTTCTTGGTCACGAACTAGATTAAAAATTCAACAAAAAATATCTTTTAATGTTTATTTTGGAGCAATATTTCTATTACCAAACATAAGCCGTACAAAATTAAAACAATGAAATCATTTTGAAAAAAAATCCTATTTGCCGTATTTTCCAATTATTATGAAAAATACTTTAGATATCAAAAAAAATAACTTTATCTATCAGTTGATATATATTATACATAACAAAATCGATTTTATGTTATTTTTCGATTCAAGAAATATTTCTGATAGAAAACATAGTTTGCAAAAATTAAAAACAATGAAATCATGAACGCCATGCAGTAAATTGTTACTGTTTTACCAATAATTTTTTTTAGAGTTTTTCTAAATTATTCGGAAAACTATAAGCGTGCGCAGGAAATTTTCATTTGGGGTGCAAACCATCAAAATACTACATATAACTACCTAATAAGTAATAAGCCATTAAAAAAAAAAATAATAATTTATTATTCAATATTACCCAATTGTCCTTTAATGTTCAAATTTATTTTATTCAGCGTGTAATAAAAAATCCCATGCATATACATACATCATTGTTATGATTTATAATTTTTTTAAAACTAGTTTAAGTCGATAAGTATTGTCAAGGCGATACTTGTGAACAACTTGAACAGGATAAGATCACGTGGTAGACCGAAGCAACGGTGGTTAGATGTAGTCAAATAAGACATGCAGAAGTTGAGACCGGACTGGCATGGGGACCTGAACCACGCATATAATAGAAAAGAGTTGAGGTGTTTAGTATTGACATCAAAGGGTCTAAATGATCTACAATGTTAAAAAAAAAAAAAAAAAATATGTATGTCTAAACTTTCTGGGGGTGCAATTGCACAGTCTGTATTCCTCGTGCGCATGCTTATGCTGAAGAGTTCTTAGAACAGCAGTTCCCAACATTTTTAGTTGAGCAGATCACCAATTTTGAAAAGAAAACTTTGAAGTCCACTAAACTAATATGCAGATAAAAATAAAACAGACACCTATTATATACGTGTGACCAATATATTATATATAATATACCTATAATGTGCATATTGCACACACGTCATTAATTAGAAAAACATACCGTACAAGAAGATTAAAAGTGTAATTTTTTATAAAAAAAAAGAAGTTTATTATTGTTTTCGATTTATAAATAAGTGGTTTAAGTTAAACTTAAATAAATACGATTTTTGATAATGTGTTTCTCTTACGAGAGAACCATTATCGGGATTAAGTATATCGTAACGTGTCCACACTCCACGCCAAGCATGATAAAATACGATAAAAATGATAAAAATATTCCAGAATACTATATAAGAAAACGACAATCAATACAATTTTACGACGGCGATAATTGTGGAAATATTACTAAATCTTGAACAAAATATAGACGTTTATATTATTATAATATACATTTTTTTTTAAATTTTCCGACCCTTGGCGTATGTCCTCGATTAGCGTCCGTGGCCCAGTACTATATTGACCACGGAACCACTGCCTTAGAAAATCAAAAAAAATAACCTTCTATTTTTAACTATAATACTACTCATTTACTGTGGTAGTTCTTATTATACTCTGGTACTTTTTAATAAGTGAGATTCGTGTAATTATTTTGACGCATTTCATTAATATCATTATTGTCATCCATTTCACTCATATTAATCATTTCATACCATGTTTTTAAAACATCCTTTTACTTACGTAATTTGTCTTATTTCATTTATGGTTATCACTTATTCAGAACACCTATAATGCCTGGTTTTGTACTCCATATAATCTCACTTCATTTCGTTAATCTCACTCATCGAAAAACACCCCCTTGGGCTGGGTTGCAGTGTTGTACCCTAGAAAATATACGATCTTCCTTTATTAATAGTTAATATTATCGTAAAGTATTTAGTACCAATTACTCGACGTGCATGTCCCAAAAATAGCTGCCCGCCGTACATAATGAGACGAACAAATTAAGTGCAATTTATTGTTTTAATTCCGACATAACGTGTATTTTACGAAAATATTGATAATTCTGTATAATATAATCAATAGGTATAAATGTATAATTTTAATATTATATTATATTTTTATCGTGCAATAATGTGCAAAAAATTTACCTTTCAATGTTATAATAATAATATAGATACTATGATACCGGGGAACTACACGCTACCGCGGTAACGTCATGTTTAACTACAACAATAATAGGTTAGGTACACGTCATTCGAACGAAATTCGTCGAGTTTGTGGATATCGTCTACGGCGACAGTGGGCGTGCCGGTTGTGTGGGTACCTACAAAACCGAGTCGAACGCCATCTTTTGATCTGTCCGTGCTTTTGAGTTTTCGTCGATTTCTCAGCGTACCTATACGACCGAAACTCGGCCGGTCGTGCAAGACTACTTGTGATTAAACTTTTAACAACGCGATATATCATAAGACAGTATATGGTAAGTACCAATACTCTAATAGCAATACTTATAATAAAATATATAGGTATTAGCCGTCCTACCGTAGTGTTATAAATGAATAACAGTAAGCACCGGCATCATAAAATAGTAATTAAGCAACCTACGCAACTATGCACTGGTTTATCGTTGGACGAAATAATAACCCCGTCGTGGTTAAGTACGATAAGAAAATTCCGTCTAGTTATTTCGACGAGCCGAGTCCTCGGAGGGGTTGCACGGTTTGTGCGAGTTTTGCGAATTCTTCCAAAACTCCAAATTACGCTTTACGGCATTTTTATTTTCCGGATTTCGCTTCCCAAGTATCGACGCGCTCCGGACGTCCGGTATGCTTTGGTAATATTGCTGTAGTGTTCGTGGAGTGCTCTAAAGACAGGTAACGGCAATCGGCAGTGGCCAGTGACTCGAAAACGATGGGGGAAGAAAATATTAAGAATTCATGACATTCGAAGACTCTGACCGCCGCGCTATCTGTTGCTGGGGTGATGGGGTTCAGGCGATTCGGCGATCCGGCAGATGGCTTTGCGTTGATCGGCAATCGCCGTCCGTCGATTGTGGTGGCGGACGACGCGGCAGTGTCGTGTGTACATACGCGTGCCCTCCTCCGCCGCCGCCCAGTCGTCACCACAGCCGTGCCGAACGCGCGCACGGGAAGCCATTGCTGTTCGTCCGGCTCTCACGTTTTGCGTGCGTGTGCGTGTGTCGCAGGCAACGAGTTCGGCGTCATTGTCGGCCGACCGCCGTGGTGTGTGTATTGTATACGCTCACTTTTCGCCAGGGGGGTCGTCGTCACTACCGCCGCCGTCTCTGCGCCCTAGTTTTCACTCCCCCCACGTAAACGTCTTCGTCTCCGTCACCGTAAGTATAATATAATTTGATTTTGATATTGCCTATTTTTATTAACATTTTGCGCGCTTATGCATTGTCATGACCGTTCGCACTGAGGTCTTTATGTATTACGGTTTATGAGTATTATTATTCCATATTTTATCGCCATTGTGCGTCGTTGCGCACTACCCGCATGACGAATGGGGGGATCACATGTACGTACACCGGAAAAATTATTCGTTGGACAGAGGATCCGACTAAATGCAGTTGGGATGACGAGAAGTTCTCGAACTACGCGATAAAAGACTTAGTGTATGGGGCGACCCATTAACGCCGAAACAGGGTCGATACACGCGTCCCGGTTCCCTCGTATACACCCCCGACACGCACTGGTCTTCGTAGATCAGCATCCTCTTGTTCCCCTCCACACACTCCCGTCACGGGCTACCATCGACACGATGAGTCTTCGCGGTACACCGTCCGTACACCGTAATTCACGACCTCAAGTTTCCGGAACGACGCGATATAATAATACAGTTTTCTCACGTCAAGCTTCCGGTTTGCGTCTAATTTTCTTCGCGTTTTTTTTCCACACCTACCCACCGTGTTTACACTATTTCGTTTCTTGTTGTATAACGACTGATAGCGATGCCTATTTATGACACCACTAAAACGGTACACTTAAATTCTCAATATTAAAACCAGGTACACACGAAAATTATTTTCGAGCACAGAATTAAGTGTACCGTATACCTGCGATAGTTTATAATTCGGCTCGTTTGATTAACCGGCACCGGCCGGAATACACTGTCGGCACAACCACGACTATTATATTATTATGATCCATCCGCGGTGGATGGACGAGGACTCGTGGAAGAGTGCGAAAAAAAACAAATCACCCGTAGGTATGCCGACTACTTTATCGACTAGGTTTACTAGTTCACTACGCCACCGCCGACTCGTCGGTTTTTGATTTCACGTACTCGTTACCCCGTAGACCGTGTAAGGCAGTTTTCACGAAGCCGTCTCTTTTGCCCCTCAATCCCCCTCACCACCTAATTTCCACGGCGCTCTACTTTTGGATTATTTCTCTGGCGGAACGAGGCTCGGATTGCGCGTCACGTTGTTTTTCTCTACTTTTCGGTATGCCAGTACGGCCGTACACTTGTCGCGAAACGTGTCTGTCCGTGTTCGCCTTCGCTGTTACGGATATTAGATTGCAGTCGCTAATTATTGTATTCACCGCCCTCCCCCCTTCCACTCGCCCAAACGACTCGACCGTTTAGCGAGTCGATCGAGTTTCGGGGGTTTGTCTCCCCCCCTCCCGCCTTAGACACCTTAGATACCGCCGTTGCAACGATTAAAAACCTATTAAAGATTTAAGACTCCGTTTCGACGCGTTTTAGCGAGTGGCAGTCGCGTTTACGACCTACGCTCGCTATTCACTTAGACGAGGGGCAAGCGCACTCTAGCGTTTTGTCATCGCAACGACGACGCCGTGTCGAATGCGTCTTTGTTACCGACACGTACGTATGTACGTGAGTGCGTGCGGCCAAAACGTACGTATGACGTATTGACGGTACGGTACGTACGGCTACCTAATTGTATGTGTGTGTATGCTTGGCTTATCATCGAGCCGACGATAATACCATTTGTCTTTGTGAAATATACACCCACACGCACACTATACACTCATAATACCATGTAACATTGCACACACATAATAAAAATAACAATATTATCAACCACCGCGGCCGCGCAGGATTAAAGAAATGTACCACGAATAAAAAATACCATAGTCCTATTATAATATGCCTCCGCCGCGGTACCGCTATCGTCGTGTTCCATGTCGTTGATCCGAACGCGCGAATTTTATTCCGCCACTCTACACGGCAGACACTTAAAAACCCGCGACACCACAACCGTCGAGAACCGAGAGGTACTAAGTATTCGTTTTCGTTATCGTTTTTCAAGGTTAATCGATAATATTGTGATCGTCGTACCCTGTGAAACGTCGTTGACAATGTAAAATTATTATTATTAAATACGGTTTGTGAAAATCAAAAATAACATTACACCGTTTTCCATAATATTAACATAATATTTATTTAATAGTAATAGCATAATAATTCTCGTGTAGACGAATTCGATCTAAACGCGTTTCCGTCGGATTCGCCCGTCCGACCGTCGACCATGTCGGCCACTACCTCGTGCATGTGTGGAAGTACTATGTCAAGGCGAAAGACTGCAACGACAAGGTCGCGGCCGTCGATCGCGGTGCGAAATATGTTACGTTTTTATTATAATGTCGCAGTTGCACTATTACAATAACATTGCGTTCGTATGTTATAAAGTTTGTCGCGCGACTGGATTTTACGGCCGCGCAGATCTCTCGTAAGACTAATGCGTGGCGGACAAAGGCACTCCACCGGTCCACCGCCATGAACGTCCATCCGTCCGGTATTAATCCCGTCGTCGACGCTTCGCCGCCGCTTTTCCGAATTCCGACGTCCCAGCGCGGTCGCTGCCCTGTAGATTCTAATGCAGTAGCGCGTGTCATAGCTAAATATTATACAATACGCGCAATTTCATAATAATTAATATAATAATATAGGCGTTTTGTGATTGAAACGGGTTTTTAGATAAACCGCAGCCGCCGAATCGCATATTTCCACAGATAGAACTTAAACCAATTTAACGGTACCAAACAAGTACCTATTAATTTCGAATATACCCACCTAGTTTGTTGGTTTTTTTTTTTTTTGGTCAGTACTGTAATTCTACGTTATTATAGGGAGTCCGTGGGCGAACATGTTGATTTATCGTGGGCCCTTTTATTTCATATATAAAACTGTAAATTGTACCCAATACAATGTATTGTAGATCGCAAAAATCGAAATATTATGTTTCGTTTCTGTGCTGTGGGTTAAATGTTGACGCCCTCGAGGCATTTGGCCCACACCCTAGTTTTGTGTTCGAAACGTCAGTTATTATATTTGGAATTCGACTGTATAAATGCTATCATGAATCGTTCGACAGAATGTCACACCGAAATAAGAATATGTATTTCAAATAAAATTACTTAAACCGCACAGTACAATTTATAAGGACCGCCGTGATTATTCACCCCGGAGGTGGTGAAAAACATATTTGAAGATATATAATATAAAACTGACAATTTGAAAACGTTTAGAATACAGAATTAACAGCAGTTAAAAATTATTTATCTAAAATAACCATTATCTTGTGATGTAGGGACCAACGTTGCAGTATAAGTTATTTAGGGAGGGTTTTCTAAGCCTTGTGAATAAGTTTCCCGTATCTGGGGGTGAACTGCACTGCAAGGTACGAAGTATTTATCAATAATAATTAAAACGACTCGTTTTGTTTACAATTCTGATATAAATTATGTTTGATAATCGACTTTACCTGTAAGATGGCTGTTAACGTGTCCGTTTATGTTGATGGTAGCCGGCGAACTGTCCCTCGCCGTCTGTATTTAAATATGTAATAATATATTATTATACAGTTTGGCCCCCACCGAGAAGTGCTAATGTAGTATAAATGTATAATATACATATTACATGGTGAATATAATATACTACATACATGTAACGAATGTTAAAATCTCGTAATGTTCACATTTTATGGATGCCCATAGTTATATAATTTCTCTTTTCTAATTACAAATTTATAGTCATCATTCATCAGTGTAGGGTGGGGGTTGAATAATGAAAAATCCGTTTGGGGGAATAAACAAAGAGGTCTTTCTATATCTTGTATATGCAGTGGCGTAGCCTGGAATTATCAATGAGAGGTCTAGGGGGGGTTTAGGGGCTCTATAACTTACTTAACCTATGGAAATGGATGGTTATAAAATCCAACTCCTGCCCCTTGGTTACTCCACTGTATCTATGTTTTGTTACAATAATCTAAAAAAATGAATTTTTTACAAATCAACAGCAGTGGTGGATCACTAGCCTTGTAAATGATGTAGCAAATATTTTGATAATTACAAAGCGTGGAGGTTTTATAATAAGTACTATCAGAAATATGATTATCATTAATTATTTGATTAGTTAATTTTAGGATTTGTTCATCAGTAATTATTTTGAAAGTTTAAAAATATTCGGTAATCGTACATATTTTTCTGAAACCGAACATTACTATATATTTTAAAGAAATTCCTTTCGTTTTGGAAATATATTATACTACAACATATATTAGATATATGTTATATAGGTTCCACGACATAATATCACGAAACTACAATATCCCCGCAAAAATATTCCATGTCAAAAAATCCCGTGTAAATAATAATTCAAAATGTCAACCTTTATTATTAACACAAAAAAATTAATTAAAAAATGTTTACTGTTGAAAATTAGAAAATGTCATATTTTAACTAGGATGTTATGTTTAATTCTAATCAAAATTAAGAAATCGGTTCTAAATAAAATTATTTACATGATAATTCGTCTGTAGTTGTGTGACATCTTGTCAAATAATTTTTTCTTTTGTAATCAGTGCAACGCCAATTTATTATTTTTTTCAATATTTCGGTGTATACTAAATGAATAACCTTCAAATATTAATAATTTATTGCTTTTTTGGCTTTGGATAAATTCTAACATTTTGTACCTGTCACAAACTTGTACTAACATAAACAGTTAACTCACGAGTAATAAAAACGAAACACTATACCATTATTATATTATTATTTCTTATCGCAACTTTCATAATAGAAGTTAATTATTTTAGGTTAAAATGTTGAATTAATACTTACGCGGGAATTTTTGACATGGAATATTTTTGCGGGGATATTTTTGTCGTGTCACCATATACATATACATTTATCTAGTAATGAGTATTTCTGAATAGTCTTATAGTTTTTCTTATAACCGAATAAACACTATTCGAAATTCGAATAGATTTTAATCTATCGAATGGTTCAATAGTAATTATTCGATTGTGTCTATTATTAAATCTAATTACCTATATGTATATTTATTGTAATTAGAAATGTATATGAGGTGACACCTCATCACTTTTCTCGTCTAGGAAGCCATCACTCGTCTGCAGTCGTCAATAAAATAGTCTACAACCGAATAAGTTAATGAGTGCATAAGAAAAAAGAAATCTGATGGTGATATCAGGGTATTTGGGAGTATAATCGAATCTTTTAAACGACAATAAATAATAATGCTGATAATAATCTGATTTTTTCATTTCAACATTTGTGCGTTTTCCGAATTTATCCACGTATATGACCAATGAAGTCGAGGTCTTGGATCTTGTATAGTCCGCATTTTTTACAGTGCAGTGCGAATGTGTTTTTTTCCCGACTTATTATTATTTTATCGGTGTTGTTCATTCATTAAACAAAAAACGAAATGGATACCAAAATATACGTTTGTGTAATGTATGACTATTTAATATAACATTATTGTCTATTGATGGTATATTATAATTTGTATAAAGTATTTGCTTGATTCGATATCTGCATCTTCGTTCAACGGTCCTATATATAGGGTCTTCCAAATTATATATAGATTATAAATAAATAAATTTAGAGCTGTGAATTCGTAACGTGAGTATTTTTAAATGTAGATTCCGTAAGATGTAGTACAATTAAAATATAAAATGTTTAAAATTTAAAATTTAAAAAATTAATAAACATAATAATTTAGATTTAAAATTTTGAGCTTACTGAAGATGCTAGATATCATAGTTTTAATAAGATATTTATTTTTAGAAAATACTTTTTTAACGAATAAAATACTCCGATTTTTGCATGCAGTACTTTAATAGATACGAAATTTCTGTCTGGTTGTACTTTATTTGATACACTTTTTGAAATTCTCAACACAATAATCCAAACATTTTCTTTGAATTTTTTTTCTTTAGAAAAACGACTTTTCCGTTAGGAAACATTTTTCAAATTGTTCACACCTTACATTTTTTACCCGGTAGTACTTTATTGAAAAATATTTCCAGATTCATTACAGTTCTTTTATTTAACTATTATAGTGATAAGTAAAATTAATAATTAGATAATTAAAATAGTCAAACTCCTACCTGCATATGATTTTATTACAATCTAGTCAATAATATTTTTAAATTACTGCTACTAAATAATTATAATATGATTTATAAAATATATAATTAAATAATTTTCGTATTAAACTTTTTTTAAAATCATAATCGATAAACAATTCGTCGCTTATCGGTGTTTTAACAAAACATCATAATATTAACTTCAGTTTAATCTGATTACTGTACAATGTACAGATACTACTATTATTATTAACAATATTATTTTTTTTACTGCAGTATTCTTTATGAAACTTATTTAGTAAAACTTACTTAGTAAACTGTTAATATGAAGTATAGTAAACACTATGCATAAACTACAACATTATGCATGTTGTTCGAGTGTACGTTGGAAACTGAATGTTAACTCTTATTGGCATTAACTTATCTACATGGCAAAGTGTGAACTCTTATTAAGTATTTTGTCGAAACGTATTTTGCAGGGATTCTATTTTGTCGGAAAATAATTTTTACCCAACGACGATAATATGCAATCACTGAGTGCTTATGATGTAATAATATTGTACGGTTCGACAAAACACTTTCCAACAAATTATTTTCCTGGCAAAATACGGTTACGAAAAAAACACTTTCTGACAAAATATTTTCTAATAAAATATAACCTTCCTACTTATTCTCTTATTTTCGAAAAAATTATAGTAAAAAAAAAAAAAAACTGATACTGGGGATGGGAACAACCATTGCTGTAGGTGAAAAGTTGACAAGGTAGGATATATAAGGTTATTTCATTTATATCTGTAGCGATAAACCATTGCTAGATGAAAGACGATTCCGAGCCCAGTTCGGTAATACATAATTTGAAGTGCCGTAATTATTTTTGCGAATTTTCATTTAAATTTGATTTCAGAAGGCTTATTAAAAACAAAAAAATTCCGATGATTTTGGATATTTTACCACGTCTTGGTAAGTTGAATATAAGTATTATAACCAAGTTTCAAGTCTTTACGTATATTTATAACCGAATTACAGCAAAAACTCTCAAAAATTAAAAAATTTTTAAAGCTCAAAATTGGCTAAACAGTGTTGGCGATAATACTGTAAGAAAGTAAATAAAAAAGGCAACATTTGTGATTTTTCGGTTAAATCATTTTTCTATTTTTCTGGTAGAAAACGTCGTTTGTGTTTTTATAAAATAATGAAATCGTGAAATTGTACGTTTTCCTACGTTTTTTCTCACTTAAGTGCTTTTATTTAAAAAATGACATCAAAAATCAAAAAATTACCTGTTTAAAGTACTATATAGATAACTTGAGCTTTTAGAAAAGTTGCTACATGTCAAAGTTGGAGCAAGTTTATTGGAAAAAACGTATCCACAGACTAGAACAAAGAAAAAAAAAAATAAACAGAATTGTAAAACCAATAGCTCCCTCGCTACGCTCAGAATCTAAAAAACAAACGGACATTCTTCGCACGATGGATGAGCCACTGTTGTAGGTGAGAGTTGGGAAGGTAGAGGGAATTTAATGTGTATCTGTACGCAACAATTAACCACCGCTAATAAAAAACAATTCTAAGTGGAGTTTGATTACACAGGTTTTGAAAAATCGTGATATTTACGGTTTGAAAATAATACATTTCGTAAATTTTTCCGGTTTTCCAACGTTTTTTCCTAGTTTTTCCTATTTATTAAAAAAAAAACCATGAGAAAATTAAAAAATAACCTAGAATACAACCCCACGTAAATTTCCTTTCAGAAAAGTTGTTCATAGAAAAATAAAAAATAAATATCACTGTAAATCCAATGCATTCCTCACTTCACTCAGGACCTTAAATATATATAATAATCGTTATAATAAATAATTTTTATCAAATCGGATAACAAGAATCTATTTTTTTTCATTGAAACATTTGTAATCTGAAATACCTACCGAAATTATATTATTATAACTAGGGAACGGATTTTAATGCCATAAAAAATAAGAAAAATGTCCTGAAAAAATACGACTTAATGCCTTAAAAAAATGCCCTACAAAACATTAATTTTTTTTTTAATTCAATAAAAACTATTTTGAACTTACAACTTTTAAAAACACATTATTATGAACAATTTATCTAATACAAAATATTTTCTGTAATTATATATATAAAAATATAGTTCAATTATCTTCTTCATCTTATTATTCTTCATCTTCTTTTTACCCTGAAAATTATTTTTAAGACGAGGCTATACGCGATATTAAACGATGAAGTAATGACAACTCAATAGTGCAACACAAAATTACAATTCAGATAAAAAGATTATCTTATCTTTACTTGTATATATGTATAATATACGTGTGTCAACAATAATTTCGTCTGGAGTCAGGGTTTATCCGATCGGTAAAAACATAATAAATATTTATTTTTATTTTTTTAGAATGAATGTTAATCTACATTTTTATCGAATTTTATCCATTCCTATACAAAAATGACTTAAAAACATTAAAATGTCCTAAAAATATCAAAATATAATCTAAAAATGTAATAAAGTCTTAATAATACAAACATATGCAAAAAAAAATGCAAAATAGAAGTTACATTTCTTAATTCCTTGATGTATGAAATGAACTTTGTGCTTGGAAAGCAATGTTTTCTGATATTCAGAAAAAATACAATTTGCATTCAAATCCGTTCCCTAATTATAACCTTTGATTATAGGGAAATTGTGGTCCAGGGCGAAAAGAAAAACAGGAATCGATTATTGCATTTTGAGATGTTAAAAATTTAACATGCATTATTTTGATTTTGTTTACAATCAACGTAAATTGACACGACGGCGTATAAGTAGTGCTGTTGTCCTACTTACATGAAATATTATATTATATTAAATAAATACGCGCATAGTGAAAACAAAAATACAGCTAAACATACCTACCCATTTATAGAAGTAATTAAAAAAAAAAAAAGTATGGACTTACTTCACACGATGTGTGGGCCACTGTTGTAGGTGAGAAGTTAGCAAGGTAGGATATATTAGAGAATTTAATGTATATTTGTACGCAACGATTAATCTTTGCCGGTGCCTGCCCGATAGATTTCGGGGCCCTGTGGAGAATTTTGCAAGGCCTATATTTATTTATTTTATTTACTAACTGACTTACTTTATTTTCATGTAATTTTATAAACTTTAAGGTCTTGTTAGAAATCTAAATTTATATACCTATATATAAAGTAATAAAATAAAATTAAGTAGGTATACCTACTTAGGTACAAACAATATTTTATTGATTAATATTTTTATTAGCTATGTATAATTGGTACCATCTTGATTTTCGTTAATAACAATTCTTGTCCTAAGAAAACTACACGGCCACACAGTTCATGAATCGAAATTTGTTTACTATTGGGACAATATTATTATGATTATTTATAGATAATGTGATATTAGTAATATTATATACATAATTTTTGGGGTTCCGTAGAAGTGCGGGGCCCAGTGCGGTCACACCGCTTACCCCTCCCCCCTTGGCCCGGCACTGATCTTTGTTAATGAAAAACGATTCTGAGTGGAGTTCGGTTATGCATGTTTTGAAAGTCCGTAATATTTATGATTTGAAAATAATATAATTCGTAAATTTAATGGTTGATAATGATGATTTGTCAACAATATATATGTCATATTATGGTAAAATAATTATATAGACATTATATATTTTCTTTAATATTATTTGTTGAATATTGTACCGGTTTTCCTGAGCTTTTCCCGTGTTTTTTCCCAGTTTTTCACATTTTCCGGGAAAAATCATAAAATGAATTCCCCAAGTTACCATGGAGATAAAATCCTTTCAAAAAATATGCTACACTTGAGACATCGATGCAAGATTTTTGATAGAAAACATAGCACAACATAACGAGGGGTAATTTGCAATTAAAATAGTCCGAGCGAGCGATGGCTAGAGTCTCTAGGTACATCAAATGCAAACAATATTTTTTCGAACTCGTATACCCTAGGAAAAAAATATTTCTATATTCAGCTGACAAACATAGTTTAGAGAATACAGTATTTAGTTATTTACATAAAATATAATATCAGAACTATAAAATGCTGTAATTTCGAAATTTTATCAGTTCGCTCAATTCTGACTTCACCATCGTTCTTAAATCTAAAAGTAGATTTCTTCCACGTAATCTTTTTCATAATTTTTAACGATTTCCGACAAAATTTGATATTAAAATTTCTTTATAAAAAAAAATACTTCATTATACTCAAATTTTCTTTATTGATCACAAAGTAAGACTCTTAATGAACCCCCTGTTAAATTTCCAAGCATTTCTATTAAGTTTAACAATTTTACCACAGAGTACTTACCAAATAAAAATTACGTACAAAACTTGCAAAATTAAAATGTCTATATCTAAATTTTTGAGCTATTTATAGCTCAAAAATAGCTTACATTTCTTTGGACATTTTACATTTTCTAGAAAAGGTAAATATAATTTTTTGGGCCGAATTTCTAGTCTCTACGAATATTTTTAACTGAATTACAAAAAATAATAAAAGCATTATTTTTGTAAATTTGCCGATTTTCTTACGTTTCAACTTGGTTTTTCACAGTTATGAAAACCGCTTGGAAATCAAAAAATGTCCTCCCAAAAGTACCATATGGACAACATTCCTTTTCAGAAAGCGTGCCGCGCGTATGTATCTAAGTAAGATTTCTGGTAGAATTTGTGCACCATTTTTTTGATGTTGCCAGCAGTTTTCATATTAACAGGGAAAAACCAAGATGAAACGTAAGAAAAACGAAAAATTTACGAAAATAATGCTTTTATTATTTTTAAATTTTGTAATTTGTTATTCAGTTGAAAACTGAGGATTCAAGGAGACTTGAAATTTGTTCAGATCTTCCAGAAATCTTACTCCGGTGTATCAAGTATAGCTTATTTTCTGAAAGGAAATTTTATCTCTTTGGTAACTTAGGGATGTCATTTTTTGATTTCCCCAGGAGTTTTCCCAATGAATTGAAAAAATCATGAAAATCGGAGAAATAATGGGAAAATGTACAACAAATTACATTAGTAAAATATTATGATTTTTTTTCTATAAATAAATTTTCTGCCAGCGATTCTAGTCCGATTTACAGTAATATCGTTTTTTCTAAAAGGAAATCTGACTCGAAAGTTACTTTAAATAAATCATTTTTCTATTTTTCCAAGAATTTCCTCAGCAAATGTGAAAAACTTGGAAAAACATGGGTAAACCGGGAAAATCGGTACAATATTAAACAAACATTATTAAAGAAAATATATAATGCCTATTTAATTATCTGACCATAATATGACATAATGAAATATATATTGTTGACAAAGCATCACTATCAACTGGACTGCCCTCAGAATCGGTTTTTCGTTAGCAATCGTTTATCTATGTTTACAGGTATATATTAAATTACCTATAACAGTGGCTGAACCCGTCTCCGTATCTTAGGATTTCATTTCCATATTTATTTACGAGTATTAACAATTTAAATTATTTTATTTTTACTTTATTATTTTATTAATAATAATCAATTAGCAAATGTAATTACAGCCTGCTGCAAAATTATAGTTACTTTTCTCCGAATTTTAAAAAATGTACGAGTTTAATGAAAATAAGAAGTAAGTACGTAAAAACTTTCAGAAAATTAAACTCTATTAAAAGGGTTATTTTTTAAAAATAATATAATTTTCCCATAATAAATGGGAAAAACTGGAAAATAGGTACAATAATAAACAATTATTATTTAAGAGAATATAAAATTATTTTACGATAATATGACACATACATTGTTGACAAAGCAACACTATTAACCGAACTTCGCTCAGAATCGTTTTTCGTTAGTAATGGTTAATCGTTGCGTATAGATATACATTAAATTTCTTCTTTACCTTACTAACTTCTCACTTACAACAGTAGTTCATCCGTTGTGCGAAATATTTGTCCATATATATTTTTTTTTATACATAAATCGAGTTGATTAAGTGTTCGTTAACTGTCTAAAAATTGAACGGCCATATTTTAACGTATTTTATTGTTAATTGATGAATACCAATAATTATAATATTTTAAACAGCTCGTAATTCGTGTATTATATTTAAACAATACAATAAAGCCATTTAAAATCCTACTTGTATCATAAAAAGTTGGTTTGGGTGTATAGATATATTTTATTATTTTTCATCCAAACTTCTTATCAGATTGATTTGAAATTTTGCATAGATGTAGTTTTAAAGAAATATTGACATATAGGTTACTTTCTTATCTTATTCAATCCCTAAAGGAGAGCTAACACAAAATTGTTGGTATTTTGAAAACGAATTATTTCTTTTGATGATTTATGGAATAACTTATTGATAAGAATCGGACAGGACCGCTAGTATTATACATTTGATTTAGATATTAATGCAAACTCTTATAAAAAAAAAAAAAAAATACTACATTAAACAATTTTTTTTTTACTGGTATATACGACTTGTAATGAATCTCCTACCAAATTTTCAAGCGTTTTTGTTAAATCTATTAATTTATCTATGAAGTACCTACCAAATAAAATAACGTGAAAAACTCTAACGTCTATAAATAGCTCAAATGTTTTAAAAGTTATACCACGTCTAGAAAATGTAAGTATAAATTTCAAAATTTAAAATAATAAATAAATTATTTTCGTAAAATTCCCCGTTATTTCTACGTTTTTTCTGTTATGCTCAAATATTGATAAAACTACAGAGACTAAAAAAACGAATAACTCACTCATGAACTAGATTAAAAACTAAATAAAAAAGTCGCTTGTCGTTTATCTATTAGTGCAATATTTTTGGTTTAAATATAAAAACATTTAACGCTCCGAATCAAAATGATATGTAATTGACACAAAAAAAAAAAGATTTTTATGTAGACAGCTTCATGTTTACAATTTTGAATTACACGATAACAGGAGAAAAAAGTGAAAAACAATGTTAATTATAATTTAGAATTATTAAGGAAACAATTTTTTGTATAAATACGGCATAGAGTTGAAATATACAAGCCCAATAATTAACAAAATATTGCCCAAAGGCTTTACGTGTGCATTTTGCTGAAATATTATAATGTTTACATTTTCTTAATCCCTTTTACCATCATAACATTATCTGTTTTCATCTTTGATCTTTATCGGAAGAACACTCAAATTCTTATAGTTTTGCTTCGTAGATTCTTTTAAGGAAGATTTATCGAAACAGATTTTTACAATGTTATTCTGATTTGTCTGCAGTTTTTTATTTATAAAACTGTCACCTTCATTATATACATCAATATTGTTTAAATAACGTATTTACATTATTGAATGTATAGTCAAAACGATAGTTTGATTATTTTTAGGCTCGTATCGGTCGTATCCCACAGGAATTATCGGATATGTTGTATTTACAATACACGTAAATAAGATTATAAGTATTTAGCATAAAGATAATATATGAAATGTGGTGATTATTTGGCAATCTGTTCTTCAGTCAGTCCATAAATTTCGTGTTTTATTATTTTGTAAATATGCCAAAAATTATGTCGTATTTTTCTCATTTTTTTAGTGCAATTTTTATTTTTTTTCAACGCATTTTTCGGTATTTTTTGGTGCAATATTGCAATCAATTTTACTATTCCTTAACTATTACAACATTCGTGCCCTAATAATTACAAATACCTATATTATTATTTTTATAATGTATACCGATGTGTTGTACTTATACAGTTTTTAAAACAGATACAACATTACTAAAATATTACAATATATTATTAATGTGAAACATTTTTAATTATTCAAAACACAAAGCAAGATTTTAAATTAATAAACAGGTTTTTCTACGTACTTCTTAAACTCTTACTTATTATACTCGGTCATGCATTTATAGGTTTAAGGTTAGGCCGCGCATGCGGTGGCACAGAGCGAGTTAACACTTCAGGTTATACAATTATATTTGAAAAAACGAAAGAAAACATCGATCACATCTTTTATATATTTTCGCCTAAGGGTTGCAAAATATCAACTACAATTCTATAATATTATGGGTAAACGAAAAAAATGTTTTGGATAAAAGCTCAACACCCCTCCCCCCAAACCTAGATGGTATAAGAAAACTACAATAAAGTTTTCGATTGAGACAAGATTTCTGGTAGAAAAGTTGTTACTGAGCTCAGAGTCTAAAATAAGTTCTGACGAGTGGTAGTGCTTCAAATAAATATTTATATAATTATAAAATAATAAAATTTCACTGGAAATTGTACACACCGGGTGTACAACTACATCCTGTGAAAAATTTCGTCCGTTTGATATTTGTGATTAAACATTTTTACTGGAAAAATAATTACATAACTTAAATAATAGTCAACTAATATAAATTAATACATAGTAGTATTTACTATTTATATTGTTTTAATATTTAAATTCAAACTATATTCTCGCTCTTCAAAAGATCATATTCATTGTAGGTTCGTGCTTTTGGCGTCAGTTTAAAACCTAACCTGACGTATTGGTGTTATATTTTTAAATATATGAATTAAAATGAAAAAATTGTATAGATGTTTTATTAAAATGCTTTTTTTTTAAAGCTATATTAAACTGTGAAGTTAAAATCAAATCTATATTACTACTATATATTTATTATATACTTAAATACGTTATCCACAAATAGAGCGATAACAGTCAGGGTTTTAAATGTTTTAATTACGTAGTTGAAATAGGTACAAGGTAGTTAAAATAAGTCAATATAAAATGTATAAATTTATATGAAATAAAATTGTCTTCTTGGTCAGTAAAATTATCCTTTAATTTTAATCGAACACAATATTGTAATATAACTAATGCCAACTAAAAACTGCGTATATATGTGGAGGTTAGGCCAACCTAACCAGGTAATCCATTTAAGTAGGTACACTCATCTCAGAAAATGTTAACTTTTTTCGGGATTTGTTTCCTCGTACATTTAAGAAACAACCAACTCTATAATTTTATTTTTATGTTATTTTATATCAAACCACTACCTACTTTTAATTTTCAAATGTATATGCAAACTAATTTAAAAATTCCATAAATCAATGGAGTATTAGTTAAAATAAATTTTAGTGTTGAAATTTTTGATTTCCGTAGACAAGATATTCCACTTTTAAGTTTAGGTTGGAGGAGAGTAATGGAGTATCATTTGTGTGACGTGTTAAAAATGTACCACTACTCTCCTTCAACCTAAATTTAGTATATACTTTAGTACTTGAAATGTGTACACAAACTGCGTAAAATAGATTTGAATCGTAATTTTGATTCTAAGTGTAGCGGAGAATGTATTGGTTTCACAAAATTATTTTTTTTTATGTAAACACTTTTTACCAGAAAGCTTACTGTAATGTAGCCCCTTTTCTGAAAGGAAATTTTCTTGGAGTAGTACTTTAAGGAGGTCATTTATCGATTTTCTCATGATTTTTTTAGTCAAATATGAAAAACCGAAAAGAATACGGAGGAAAAACAGAAAAATGTAAGAAATATATTAGTAAAATATTATAATTTTTATTTTCTACCAGCGATTTTGTTCCGATTTATAATAATAGACAATAATAGCAC